ATCTAGTTTTCTAATAAAGCTGTCATATTTGCATCCGGTGACTTACACTCACCATCGTTTTAGATTAATTCCCGTCACAACCTTTTGATTTATGAATGCATAATAACTGAGGGCAATGTCTGTGACTGTGAACAAGTGTGTGTGTGCGCGTGTGTGTTTTCGTGTGTAGTTGTGTAGGTTTGAATTTGTGCCTACAAAGCCCTGACTTTTAATCTAACTTGTAACTTCAGCCCAGATGATAGAAAATCACATTTTGCAATAATTGAGTGTGTTAAGAAGGAGAAATCAGATGTGAAGGAGCATGAGTTGCATCATGGCGTCTCTGTTCTCATCTTATCAAAGGACCAAATGCATGAGAAACTCCTCCTCTCCACTTGACTTTGTCTTCCTTTATCTGCCCCTTATGAAAAGCAACCAAAGTTCAACATCTACTCTTTCCAGCACATGTGAATACAAAGTGTTACTAACACTTTTTGTTGCTTAAAGTTGTATTTGCCTTTACATTTTGAGGGTATATCATTAATTTGCAAGTAAATCATTATTTTGCACAATTTCTAAACACAGACATTTGATAATAGGCATTTTACAAGTGTCACAGTCAAATTACGTTTTCTTTTAGCACATTATAACAGTTTCCTCAATAATAGCAGCTGTAGCTCAAAGACTGGTCCATTTATCATTATTTCTCTCTGTTACAGCCTTATAACTCAATCTGTAATTCTATCAGGTAAACATTTGTCCTCTTCACTTTGTCATCTCAGCTGTGTCGCCAAAAGCTTGGAGGTGTTGCCTGTAGAGGGGGCTGTCAAAGAAAAACACCAACACCTGTTACATTTTTTTGCTACTACTATATTCGCTTCACTGTTGTTGAGTCAAGAAACCGAAGCGCAAACAAGGGCTTCACAATAATCCCGTTATCATGACTCAATCCAAACTAAACAAGCGCTTGATATTTCTGATAATACTGTTGATTTCTATAAGCTCATACACAAACAATTCTGCTGGCGTCAGTTTGCTTTGTTTTCACCTTGGATGATAAAACAGGCAGAGGATAAATTCTTTCTAAATGGTTGTTTCCTGAGCAGTGTTTTAAACGTGCGGATATTAAACGTTTGTAGTCTTTAATCAAGCAAGTCATACGTCAACTAGCTGGTTATGTGACTGTGTTTGCTGTATCTTGCCCTGTGTGCTTAAGTCAGCGTAAATATTCTCACTCTGTTTCATTGTACCATTTACTCTGGCAACAGAGAAGCATTTTTGGTCTCTCATGGTAACTCATAAAGCTATGAAATAACTCACCTGATCACTGAGACAAATCATCTGTTCAGTCGCCGTAGCAGCAGGACAGGGAGAAGACACGGACACCTTCCATGCTGCCGGCGAGAACGTAAATGTCACTGCACCCGCTGATTCTGTTGACACCTTCCCCCTACCACGCCACCACGCCCAGCTTGGCAGATCTCGGTGTGCCTCAGTCCACGCAAATACCAAACTGGCTGTGCACTGGGCTCCTCCAGACGAAAATACCACTACGCGGGGTCCACCACCCTCTGCTGTGCCGCCGGCGGGCACGAAAATAGAGCCCTGAGCGTCAAGTTGTTCCACGGACACGATTCTAATTTATTAGTGCCTTGGTGCATTTGTCTCATGGCCCTGACAAATAAGTCCGTGCAGCAACAAAAGCATGATGGCGAAGAACTTTGTCACTTTATATGCCACAATCATTTGCACTTTTAATCTTAATTTATAATTGTTTTAGTAATTTATATACACTGTCCTTTTTACTCTGAATTTGTGTCTGTTGTATATTTTGTTTCATTGTATTGACTCTCATTTCTTTTATTCTAAACATTTTGCTTGTAATTTTATATATATATATTTTTTTTTAAATCATAATTTGTCGCCTTTCTTGAAGCACTTTAGATCTTAGTCTTGAAATATTGCTCTATAAATTTGGAACAGTTTACTTCTGTCAGTTAAATCCTGCTGGCTTGGTGTTGATGTTTCCATTGTGGAGCACTGGGGTTTTAAAAAGTGCTCTCTGAATAAATCTTTACTCACTCTCTCAGATTACAACATGACTGATATAATCTTGATAGTGGTAAACAAGACCAGGAAGTAGAACTGAGACATCTGTTTGTGTAAACTATTGGCTCCATCTTTAAATCTGCTGGTGCACCACAGAGTTGGCATGATCCAAAAGTTAGGCTGGGGGCCAAAGCAGCCTCTGAAACTTCTTTATTAGGGGTTAGGGTTTGCTGAATCAAACAGATGGACTTCTGAAACCTGATTACCATCTTCTGGCTAGAGTTTGCCTCTAAAACTGTGAACTAACCAATACATGCGAAGGCCTTTTTAAACCCACAACTAAAGCTAAAACCAATATCAAACACTCTGCATTGAAAATAAAGCTTTAATCCCTCTGTTGGCAGGCATGATTAATGTTTGTATTATGTTCAAAGTTGCCACTGAAAAGGCCTCAGAGGACTAAATCTCACATCAAAACCATTTGAGTAGCTCATCTTAAGCTGCATTTTCACCATCTCCAACTGACTTTGCTTGTCATTACACATGCTGTACACTAGGATCAGCAGAAAAATCTGTTTTCTTCTGCCACCATCACAAGAAGACCCCACACAGGCTGCTGTGCTCTTTTCTACAGGGGGGAAGACAGCTCCGGTTGGCTGACACCAGAGAGTGAAAAAACTTCCCCTGGTGACAGAGCCTGCCAACAAGGAAGATAAGATGAGACCCAACACAACCTGGTAAATGACAGGGGGTACAACAAACCAGCTCTCACGCTTTTGGTTTCAAGATCTCTCTGTACTTTCTTTGGTTCCAGTAAAAGAAAAAACATCTTGCAATGGTTGTGTTTACAGTAATACTACCTCTGGAAGTCATGTAGTTTCTAATGGTAGACCTGCAGCTGTTCAAACCTGAAGACAAGCAATATAAAATCCCAAAACATCTACATCTAATTGTATAACCCTGACCCACAGTTGGCTCTCACGAATCAGTATGGTATTGCTGTAAAGCTATACAGTGCTGCCTCCTGCTGGTTTGTCTCTGAAAATACTGTCATAATACTATGCCATTGCCACTTTTATGCTGCCGTTCATGGATGGCAGAACACACAGTGTGAAAGCAAAGTTTCTAACAGACTTTGGGGAAAAATTTGTCGGATCTAAGGAGCCGATAAAACAAAATAGAGTAGGGGAGAGTGGGGTAAGATGAGCCATTTTTCAGATTTCGGATCACTACATCAAGGCCGTCATAGTTTTGTCTCTAACTAGTGTATCTGTAAATATTTCAAGATGTTGTTCATCCCTGCAAACCAACAGAATGAGTGTAAACATAACTGTCTTGATAATATAGCATGCCAAATAAAAGTGTTCTCTTAAATTAAATTAGTCAATTGCTCCTACGGTCCTATGGTCAACTTACCCTGTGTATGGGGTAAGTTGACCATAGGACCTTGGGGGCAATTGACTAATTTAAGTACTCTCTGGGATTAATCTGACCAAATTGTTAATAATCAGTTTTACTCATAAAAGCGAAATTTAGATAATTTTTACCAAATGCATAATCCTATTTTCCACAGCAACATAATATTTATCTGACATTGTTGCAAAGCTACAGAGCATTTTGAGGTTTGCAAATAGTCACACACATACAGTACAGGCCAAAAGTTTGGACACACCTTCTCATTCAATGCATTTTCTTTGTTTTCATTACTATTTAAATTGTAGATTCTCAAAACTATGAATGAACACATGTGGAATCATGTGCTTAAGAAAAAAGTGTGAAATAACTGAAAACATGTTTTATATTTTAGATTTCTCAAAGTAGCCACCCTTTGCTTTTTTGATAGCGCTGCAAACTTTTGCTGTTCTCTCAATGAGCTTCATGAGCTAGTCACCTGAAATGGTTTTTACTTCACAGGAGTGCCTGAAGTAACCCTGACAAGGTACTTCTGTCATCAAGAGCAAAGGGTGGCTATTTTAAAGAAACTAGAATATAAAACATGTTTTCGGTTATTTCACACTTTTTTTATAAGTACAAAATTCTACATGTGTTCATTCATAGTTTTAATGCCTTCAGTAATAATCTACAATGTAAATAGTCATATAAAAAAATAAAGAAAAGACATTGAATGAGAAGGTGTGTCCAAACTTTTGGCCTGTACTGTATGCAGACTTACAGTATATAGTCAGACAGAGTTTGGCTCAGACTATTAAATGTAGAATCTCTGCAACAAGAGAAGTGAGCAAAAAAAATATTTCAGACTCTCAGGGTCCAGTTTTCTACACGCTTGTTTTGCTGGAGAAAATAAAAGCTTATTCACATGTTTGGGTGCGCTGCAGCAGAAAACATGTTTATTCAGCGCTGATGATGCTGGTTTACCGGGATATTGACCTGCAGCTTCACCAGTCTGTGAAATCTCTGCATGTCTGTAGAAAGTTCTTAACCTTCAGGTCCGTCTGTAGTGGAAGCTGTGTATTACTCCCTAAATAAAGACCTGATGGAGACTTGCTGCACGTTTGCAGCTCCTTAGTGAGTGTCTTGGCTTTGCTCTAAATGATTCAGACTGAATAAATGCTTTAGGGTCGTCCAAACACAATTTAAATGAATGTCTGGCTGCGCCTTTTTTTCAGCAACATGTCCCAAACTGGCTGCAGTGCACCAGGATCTACCGCTGGCCTCGGGACACCACAGACCTGCTGCTGCGTCTGCTCCGAGAAGAGCGATACATCATCCCACAGAAGGGTGCTGACCTCACCCTCCCTGTCAGGCCCTCTGAGACCAACAGGATGAGGCACAAGATACAGTGAGGTTCTGGTATCTCTCTCTTTATCTGTCTCTTGTGTCTGAGAAAGTATGAGAAAAGATGGCAAAAAAAAAAAGTTTTGTAAAAAATGTTAATAAAACATTTTTTATTTAAAAACAAGAATTACTGAATCGTATTGAAATGAATATTCAAGGAAATTATGCACACTACTACCAGTGTAGCTTAAATGTAAAACATTATTTTTTAAGTATTAATAAATTCTACAAAAAAATCTAATGATACTTTTGTTGTAAGCAATAAAAACACTCATTAATCAAAAGTAAAAACAATGAAACGTTAACACTATGGAAAAAGTGAATACGCAATCGATATGTAAATCACTTCCCTTCCAGAGACCAATCACGGTTTGAGCAGTCATCGACGTCATGGCGCGAGGACGCTATTTAACTGCTTCAACTTTCACTTTCTGTTCATGGTAAAAAGTGCGACATGTACCGAAGACTTTCGGGTAGAATACAGTAATATTGGCCTGTTGTTTCATTTGGTTTATTACTTGTCGTTTGTTACTTGCTTTAAGTTCGAAGACGTGACTCTTAATCATTCGAGGCAGACGATGTCCGGTTTACTGTCGACCATCGAGAAACTCAGCAGCCAAGCAGCATCTGCCCTGAAAGGTAAGTGACTGTTTAATTGTTGGGAACAGAAACAAACCTCTGTAAAGCATACACATGATGTGGATTTGTACTAAATTGTCCCCCTGTCTGTCTATCTGCACACTTGTTGTTGTTGTTGTTGCAGAGGCAGATTATCTCAGTGATGCAGATATCAGGATACTGACTCGACAAGATCTAAATGAACTGCTGCCTGGACCCAAGAACCTCATACTAAGAAAGAAAATATTTGACTCAATACAAGAACATGTGAGTTTACCAAAGAAGTCAGATTTGTCACTGACATAAAATAATGGAAATGAACAGGCTCTGTAAATTATTATAATTACTCTGTATCATATTTGTGGTTTCAGGAGCCAATTAATGGGCCATCTAGGGGAGAGGACAAAGTCTTTCCAGAGGAATCCTCCAAAAGTTTGTTCAGCCTTATGAGCTCTTTTGCTTTCATTCTGACCAAGCCATTTTGGTTTTGGTTTTGATTTGACTCAAAAGATGTCCTGTTTTTCTCTCCCCAGCCGCTCTCAAGGAGATCTTATCTGATAACCTCAGTATCCTACAAAACTTGAAGACCTCTTTGCACAATGCCCAGAGTCCCCTTGATGCTCAGTATGTTCGTCTTCTGAATATAGCGACAGCTCACCAAGAGTCTGGTAAAGGCTATATTGCAGAGTTTTACATCATTTTTGTGTTACATTTTTTTTAACAGCTTCACTATTTCCTCACAGAAAAGTGACCATCTTCATGAGAGACTGTGGCTTTTTAAACTTGCTCATGTTACTTAACTGATGCTGTTCCTGTCGCAAAACTTCTGTACTGGCATAAAATTCAAAATAAGCATGGATTTTTATTTTTTCAAAACTCTGCATTTTTTTAAGTTAAAACATTTAACATGTTGTCTTTGCACTTTTTTAAACAGCACTTTTAATGGGTGTAAATAATTGTAATTGTCAAATTCTGTTTTGTCAACATTTTACAAAGTCAACAAACCCTTATGGAGTTTGGGTTGTAATGCCTTTAATTTTTGATGTATTATTTACTCACTTGAGTATCCTCGTATGCTAACTATTTTTGCGTGTTTAATTCTTGACAGATATCACTAACACTGATGATGACATGGAGACAAGTACTGGTGGGGTTACTTCCTCCAATGTCAATGACAACAGCCAGTCTTCTGGCATTCTTTCAAGTCAGTAATCTATATCACATATTTACTATTCAAAAACTTAAAGGTTGTGTTATAAGTTTAAATGGAGCGCCCTTTTAAGGTCTTCAGTTGTTTTAAGACTTTGAGCAAAGTGGTCTTATCATCAACAGATTAAAATAGACATACATGTTACAAATTGGTTTTAGTTTTAATAAAAATAAGCACATGGATCTTAATTTTCTAAGCTTCAATCTAAATATTAATTAATCTGATTCTTGTTCTAAAGAATAGGTATAGAAGCATTTCACTGACTGTCTTGACATTGTATCTTTCAGTTGCAGAGGTGAAGCAGTATCTTTCTCAACTGCATGGTAAGAATTTTGTTGTGTAAATTAAACACACCATATTTAAAGGTCAGGTGATATTGATATTGACTCTTATGAGATATTATCACTGTTTACATGACTTGTAAACTGACAGTAAGATATTAGGATTACTGATATAGAGGATGCTTAGAACCAGTTTTCCTCAAGATGGAGCAAAATAAAAAGAGATATTTAAAAAAAAATGTTTTTTCTTATATTAAGGGAAACTCAGTTTTTTGTCCTATCTGCAAAAAGGTTGACTATTTTAAGTGTTGGGAACATTAACACACCTCTGTAAAGCATACACATGATGTGGATTTGTACTAAATTGTCCCTCTGTCTGTCTAACCGCACACCTGTTGTTGTTGTTGTTGCAGAGGCAGATTATCTCAGTGATGCAGATATCAAGATACTGACGCCACAAGATCTCAATGAACTGCGGCCTGGACCCAAGAACCTCAAACTAAGAAAGCAAATATTTGACTCAATACAAGAACATGTGAGTTTACTCAAGCAGTCAGATTTGTAAATGACATAAAGTAATGGAAAAAAACAACTTCTGTAAATAATGATAATTATTCTGTGCCATATTTGTAGCTTCAGGAGACAATTAATGGGCCATCTAGGGGAGGGGACAAAGTCTTTCCAGAGGAATCCTCCAAAAGTTTGTTCAGCCTTATGAGCACTTTTGCTTTCATTCTGACCCAGCCATTTTGGTTTTGGTTTGACTCAAATGATGTCCTGTTTTTCTCTCCCCAGCTGATCTCAAGGAGATCTTATTCGATATCCTACAAAACTTAAGGACCTCTTTTCACAATGTCCAGAGTACCCTTGATGCTCAAAGTCTTCTTCTGAACCAACTGTGTAAAGAAACACCTCACCAAGAGTCTGGTAAAGGCTATAATGAAGAGTTTTACTTCATTTTTGTGTTATTAAAAACTTGAGTTGTCTTATAGTTATTGTTTTTCTGTTGTTGAATAAACAAAAGGACTCGAGAGATCAGATGCAAAGTTGGAAATAGCTGCAGTAACATTTTCATACTTTCAGGTCAAAAGAATCTTCAGTCTTGTGATAATTTTGATGGCATTGTTTTAGTGTTGTTTCTTATATCCTCCAAAGTGATTGATTCAGTTGATTTTTGATAGTGTTTCATACTTTGAGCCTGAAACTTAGATTTGTGCCTTTATCAGGTACAAGTAACCCAGCCCTCAGTGGTTCTGTCCAAAATGATCATGATCATCCACAAGGAGCGTTTGGAGGACGTCCCAACCCACAAGGTATTTATTTTGAGTCTTTTTAATAAATTATTAAAGTTTTCGCCTTAAGTAAATTTGAAATTATTCTCCCAAGTTTTAGAGTTAATGAGTGTACCTATTCTCTCTTGTGAGGCTCTTGCACAGGTATCATGGATACAGATGATGCCCCAGCGGTGACCAATCCAAGTTCAGACAATGGGAAATCACATGGAACAAGTAAATACTCAACCTCCTTTTTATTAGAGTGGGATGCTGGGTAAAGTTTTGAAGACAGATATTGATGTTTTGCAAACCATTTCAACCCTGTATTTGATTGAAAGTGCAAAAACAACACATTAAATGTGAATACTGCAAATGTTATTGTTTTATTAACAATATTACTCTCATTTTGAATTTGATGCCGGTAACATCATTTCAAACAGATCAGACAGGCAAACAACTCTGTGAACATCAGAAGCGAATGTACCCTCATAGATGTGTAGGCTACCCATGGGTCCTCATGTATCTCCATACTATCAATGATCCTATCATAAACTCTGTACTGACAGAAAGCTTTTCTCTTCAGGGCAGAGAATGAGGTGTCAGGGATTTCCAAAACTAATGCAAGGACCTCCATTTATTTTGAACATGACAGGAGTTTACTGCTGAGCAGTGGTTTTGTGCAGAATCTGCTTTGTTCATAAAATTCTGTAGATGATGTATTAAAGATGTGGAAAACCCCAGATTCTTTGCTCATTTTTGTGTTACATTTTTTTTAACAGCTTCACTATTTCCTCACAGAAAAGTGACCATCTTCACTTCTGAGGGACTGTGGCTTTTTAAACCTGCTCATGTTATTTAACTGATGCTGCTTCTGTTGCAAATGTTCTGTACTGGCATAAAATTCAAAATAAGCATGGATTTTTATTTTTTCAAAACTCTGCATTTTTTGAAGTTAAAACATTAAATTTGTTGTCTTTGCACTTTTTTGAAAAGGATTTTTTACGCGTGTAAATAATTGTAATTGTCAAATTCTGTTTTCGTCAACATTTTACAAAGTCAACAAACCCTTATGGAGTTTTGGTTGTAACTGCCTTTTATTTTCAATGTATTATTTACTCACTTGAGTTTCCTCGAATGCTAACTATTTTTCTGTGTTTAACTCTTGACAGATATCACAAAGACTGTGCCTTTATCAGGTACAAGTAACCCAGCCCTCAGTGGTTCTGTCCATAATGATCATGATCATCCACAAGGAGCATATGGAGGACGTCTCAACCGACAAGGTATTTATTTTGAGTCTTTTTAAAAAATTATTTAAGTTTTCACCTTAAGTAAAATTTGGTATTATTCTCCCAAGTTTTAGAGTTAGTGAGTGTACCTATTCTCTCTTGTGAGGCTCTTGCACAGGTATCATGGAAACAGATGATGCCCCAGCGGTGACCAATCCAAGTTCAGACAATGGGAAATCACATGGAACAAGTAAATACTCAACCTCCTTTTTATTAGAGTGGGATGCTGGGTAAAGTTTTGAAGACAGATATTGATGTTTTGCAAACCATTTTAACCCTATATTTGATTTAAAGTGGTGCAAAAACAACACATTAAATGTGAATACTGCAAATGTTATTGTTTTATTAACAATATTACTCTCATTTTGAATTTGATGCCGGTAACATCATTTCAAACAGATCAGACAGGCAAACAACTCTGTGAACATCAGAAGCGAATGTACCCTCATAGATGTGAAGGCTACATATGCCATGGTTCCTCATGTATCTCCATACCATCAATGATCCTGTCATAAACTCTGTACTGACAGAAAGCTCTTCTCTTCAGGGCAGCGAATGAGGTGTCAGGGATTTCCATAACTAATGCCAGGACCTCCATTTATTTTGAACATGACAGAAGTTTTCTGCTGCGCAGTGGTTTTGTGCAGAATCTGCTTTGTTCAGAAAATACTGTAGATGATGTACAAAAGATGTAGAAAATCCCAGATTATTTACAAATTTACTTACAGGAACATTTTTCTTGAACAGCTTCACTATTTCCTCACAGAAAAGTGACCATCTTCACTTCTGAGGGACTGTGGCTTTTTAAACTTGCTCATGTTATTTAATTGATGCTGTTCCCGTTTTGTACTGGCATGGATTTATTTTTTTAAACTCTGCCTTTTTTTTCACGTTTGAACATTTAACATGTTGTCTTTGCACTTTTTTAAACAGGATTTTTAATGTATGTAAATGATTGTCATTGTAAAATTCTGTTTTCGTCAACATTTTACAAAGTCAACAAACCCTTATAGAGTTTGGGTTGTAACTGCCTTTTATTTTTGACGTATTATTTACTCACTTGAGTATCCTCGTATGCTTACTTTTTTTCTGTGTTTAACTCTTGACAGATATCACTGACACTGATGATGTAATGGAGACAAGTACTGCTGGGGTTACTTCCTCCAATGTCAAGGACAACAGCCAGTCTTCTGGCATTTTTTCAAGTCAGTAATCTATATCACATACTTATTATTCAAAAACTTTACTTAAAGGTTGTGTTATAAGTTTATATGGAGCACCCTTTTTGCACTTTTAAGGTCATCAAATGTGTGAAATCTTTGAGCATAGTGTCCTTATCATCAACAGATTAAACTAGACATACATGTTATAAATTGGTTCTAAATGTTAAGTAGTCTGATTCTGGTTTTAAAAAATAGTTATAGAAGCATTTCACCGACTGTCTTGACATTGTCTCTTTTATTTGCAGGATTTACACAATTTTTTTCTCCAACCGAAGGTAAGAATTTTGTTGTGTAAATTAAACACACCATAATTAAAGGTCAGGTGATATTGATATTGGCTGTTGAGATATGATCACTGTTTCCATGACTTGTAAATTGACAGAAAGATATTTGGATTACTGATATAGGGGATTCAGAGAACCAGTTTCTCTTGAGATGGAGCTAAATTAAAAGACATATTTAAGAATCTTTTTCCTTATATTGAGGGTAACTCAGTTTTTGTCCCGTCTGTGAAAAGGTTCCAGTTTGTGCCTGAAAACAATTCTTTATTTAGCAGTGAAGTACAAGATGGTTGTCAGCGGTAAAACCTTTGGAGCCCATGAACACTTCATGAAGAAAGTGGAGGATAAATTTCAGGGCCGGGCACAGCTTATTGAAAGTAATGACGATCACCAGGTCACTATTTTATTCTGCCCAATAATTTCACGTATGGTGACTGACATCCAAGCAGCCATGGCTGAAGTGAAAGGTAAGAGGAGGAATCTTGAGAATGGTCTTTTTCATTTGTGGAGCTTTGACATGCTTAATAATTTTAGACATTTGTAATCATAGTCATTTTAACATATCATTCCGAAAGGATTTCACTGTTTGTCATAAACATTTCACAAAGTATGAAAGTTTTTAGTGAATTCAAAAACACAAACAAAAAATAATATGTCATGAATTCAGAAAAAAAAACCCTCAATATTAAATCCTACAAAATGGTTGCGTGCGTGTGTGTGTGTGAGTTTATCATGGGACTCGAATGAAGTACAAAACATTTGTTAACCAATTATGTGTTTAAATGTATTCAGGCTCCTCTCTTTTTTAATTTACAGATGACAAACCCATCGTACTGGTGATGATGCATCACTCACATGAGCCCAAGGTCACGCCATCTGTGAGACAACATGTTAATGATGTCAGTACCAAGAAGATTGTGCTCCATGCCAATGTTTTCTTCCATGAGACACTGAAAGGACTAGTGCAGTGTCAAGAGAATGATACTGCTGCCTCTTTGATCCAAAACAAATTACTGGAGTACAGTCTTAAGAAAACTGATCATACCAGTGGACAAGGCAACATGGAGGTTGAAATTATAACTGGAGGTAAGTCTTTAAAGGTGGTGATAAATCTTAGTGGTGAGACAAAAACAGAATTGGCAAGTGCTTTAGGTGTCTCTGCTCATATCTACATTTATATTAGATGTACCAACAGCAAAACCAAAGTAATTGAGGCCATTTACCTTCTAAAGAAAAATATTTACTCCTTGGCAGCCTTTGAGGTATTTGGTGGCTAATAGGGTTTTAGTATTTAACAACTCACTCAAAGTTAAATTTAAATCTGTCCCCTAAGATTTCTGTTACCACCATAGACTGTATATACTATGGACAACTTGGTTCCGCCTCCCGCCTGTATACGGATTTGAAGCCAAATAGCTCTCGGTATTTCTGGGATTTTTCTCCATTTTCTGAAACCAGCGCTGCGCAGTAGCAATGCGCGCATTCGGCAGCGCAGTCGCAGAGAGTCGCTGTGATGTCGCTCGGCTCAAACAACGTATCCCCCGGGAAAGCTACGCAATCCCTGAACGCCAATAGGCTGTATCAGGTGTCAATCATAGAAAACATGAACCCCCTAAGAACTTTTAAAAACGGAGCTTCACAGAGAAAAGAGGACTTGAGCACAAACCAGTCTAACAATAACTACATGTCAACATCACAAGCAGGGGGGTGAAAAATTTATGTTCTGTGTAATAAATTTCTCAAGTTTGTCAACAGCTCCATAAGCTTTGCTGGCAGAGGTGGGATTTATGACCTGTACTGCAGCCCATCAACAGAGGGTGCTGTTCTCGGAGTGGCTTCACCCAGCGAGGAGGCAGACTCTGTCCATTCTATATACAGCCTATGGTTACCACAGACAATTATGATGCATTGGTGACATTTAGTTGTTCAACGAATAGTGATTCAATGGGCAAAAATTAATATAATTTCCTCTTTGTTTGACTGTTTTAAGATAAATTATGTTAATGTCCTCTTAAGTTTACTAAAGTTGTGCTTGTATTTGCTGAATTCATCTGTGGCATCACTCTCTTTATTTAGAGAAATTAGGAGAATCTATTATAGCGTTAAAATAAAGCTCTGCTTTGCACTTGAGGAGTCTTGAAACATTTTTGAGTTTGGTTCATAATTGCCTTGTCTAACAGTCTTTGTAATCAACAAACTGAGTACAGGGTGATTTTATTTATCCGTGTAATACAGCTGTTTGAGTTAGCTATATAGCAGGCCAATTGTTCTGTGTTTTGATAGCTGTATTTTAGATTGTAATGAATTCTACTGATTTAAAGAAAGGTTTGAAAACATTTCGTTGATTGATTGTTGTCTCCCTCATTAGCAGAGCTCTTCTCCATGCCGCATCACCCGGAGGGTAAGGACTGTTTTCTTTAATAGTCTGTTGACACAAAACAGTTTAGAACCAGATGGAATTGATGAAGATTGACACAGCATTTCAAAATGTATGTTATATGAATATGCTGGAATATGGTTCGCCATATAAATCTGTGATTGATGCTCATTTTTTTTTTTTTTTAATAGTGAAGTACAAGATGTTTGTCAGCGGTAAAACCTTTGGAGCCCATGAACACTTCATGAAGAAAGTGGAGGATAAATTTCAGGGCCGGGCACAACTTATTGACAGTAATGATGATCACCAGGTCACTATTTTATTCTGCCCAATAGTTTCACGTATGGTGACTGACATCCAAGCAGCCATGGCTGATGTGAAAGGTAAGAGGAGGAAACTTGAGTATGGTCTTTTTCATTTGTGGAGCTTGGACACGCACAATTATCTTAATTATTACATTTGTAATCATAATCATTTTAGCATATCATGCCAAAAGGATTTCACTATTTGTCATAAACATTTCACAAAGTATGAAAGTATTTAGTGAATTCATAAACACCTCAAAAATTGAGAAAATATGTCATGAATTCAGAAAAAAACACTAAACAACTCAATATTTAATCCTTCAAATTTGAAACAACACTTTTAAAACAACATAACAATCTTTTACTACCTGCAATATAATGTTTTGCAGTGAGGAAGGAATAAGACTTTACATCTTGTCTGTGACAGAATTAAACCCGAGTGCTACGCAATGGGCACTCATTATTTCCCGTTCATATAGGCTATGTCTTCTACAAAGATTTAACAGTTTTTCAAAGGATGGGTGAAGAGCTTAAGCTCATAAAATATTTCAAAAAGGAACTTATGTATAGTGTGATAGTTGATATGCCTTTAACATGTTGTGATATACAACAGTGCTATATTTCCACCAGACCAACCTCTACTTCAGTTGTGCGTATGTGTTCATCATGGGACTCTAATGAAGTACAAAACATTTGTTAATCCATTATGTGTTTAAATGTATTCAGGCTCCTCTCTTTTTTAATCTACAGATGACAAACCCATCGTACTGGTGATGATGCATCACTCACATGAGCCCAAGGTCACGCGATCTGTGAGACAACAGGTTAATGATGTCAGTACCGAGAAGATTGTTGTCGATGTCAGTGTTTTCTTCCATGAGACACTGAATGGATTAGTGCAGTGTCAAGAGAATGATACTGCTGCCTCTGTGATCCAAAAAGAATTACAGAAGTACATTTCTAAGAAAACTGATCATACCAGTGGACAAAGCAACATGGAGGTTAAAAATAGAAGAACTGGAGGTAAGTCTTTAAAGGTGGTGATAAATCTAAGCAGTGACTCAAAAACAGAATTGGCAAGTGCTTAAGGTGTCTCTGCTCATATCTACATTTATATTAGATGTACCATCAGCAGAACCAAAGTAATTGAGGCCATTTACCCTTTGAAGAAAAATGTAGACTTCTTGACAGCATTTGAGGTATTTGGCCGCTAATAAGGTTTTAGTATTTGATAACTCACTCAAAGTTAAATTTAAAATTGTCTCCTAAGATTTCTGTTACCACAGACAGTTATGATGCATTGGTGACATGTAGTGGTTCAATGGATAGTGATTCACTGGGCAAAAATTAATATAATTTCCTCTTTGTTTGACATTTTTAAGATAAATCATGTTAATGTCCTCTTAAGTTTACTAAAATTGTGCTCGTATTTGCTCAATTTATCTGTGGCTCTGCTTTGCACATCAGGAGTCTTGAAACATTTTCGAGTTTGGATCATTATTACCTTGTCTTACAGTCTTTCTGACCAACGAACTGAGTACAGGATGCTTTTATTCATCTGTGTTATACAGCTTTTTGAGTCAGTTATATAGCAGGCCAATTCTTAGTTCTGCGTTTTGATAGCTGTAGTTTAGATTGTAATGAATTCTACTGATTTAAAGAAAGGTTTGAAAACATTTTGTTGATTGAATGTTGTCTCCCTCGATTAGAAGAGCCCTTCACCATGCTGCATCACCCGGAGGGTAAAGATTGTTTTCTTTAACAGTCTGTTGACACTAAACATGGTTCACCGTATAAATCTGTGATTGATGCTCAGTTTTTTTTTAAGCATTGAGGTACAAGATGGTTGTCAGCGGTCAAACCTTTGGAGCCCATCAACAGTTCATGAAGAAAGTGGAGGATCAATTTCGAGGCCGGGCACAGCATATTGAAAGTAATGACGATCACCAGGTCACTATTTTATTCTGCCCAATGATTTCACATATGGGGTCTGACATCCAAGCAGCCATGGCTAAAATGGAAGGTAAGAAAAAAGATTTTTGGTTCTCTTTTTAATTCAAATTTTCATTTTTTTAAACTTGATATTAAACAATTATTATTGAAACTGTGATGTACTCTTAAAAAGAAGTGTCTTGATTTTTTTTTTAAATGTATAATTAATTCTTGTCTGGCTCTCAAAATATCTATCAAATATTTTTATTAACTCTAGCTAGGCTAGATTTTCCTTATAAATGCTCCTCTCTTATACTACCCACAGATGAAAAACACATCCTCCTTGTGTCGATGCATCACTCACTTGGGCCCACGGTCACACCATCCACCAGAACATGGGTTGACTACCCAAACATTAAGTTGCATGTTAATGTTTTCTTTCACGAGACACAGAATGGATTGATAATGTGTCATGAAAATGATGATTCTGTTTCTGCGATCAGTAATGAATTACAGAAGTTCTGTCCTCTAAGAAATGAAGATACCACTGAACAAAACAACCAAGGTACAACCGTGGCAAAAAAAGCCAAATCTGATGGTGAAGGTAGTGATAAGCAGAGTTTCCTTGGATTCTCTCTACCATCCTTTTCAAAGAAAAAAAAATGAATGGATTGCGCCAACAATAATACTTAAGTGTTGTTGACAGTATATTGACAGATTAAGATCATGTACTTATGGATGAAAATGCAATCTCTATGTAACATTTGATCACTAAATGGTGTCAGATTTTATATTAGCCCTGCTAATGAGTAGAAAAAAAGTTCTTCAAGATATTTCGAGATCGCTTAACATTTGTTGAAACTTAACAGATCATAGCTAAAATGTTTAATCAATTATCTAGAAATAAATTGATTCTTATATTTAAATGTTTGATGTGCAGAGTTGGCTTTCCAGTTGGATAAAAATAAAAACAGCATGAAGTGTGTTTTACAATAGATGTATGCTTGAGATAAAATTAAGTAAAGAAAAACAAAGCTAGCAGCACAGCTGTGTTGATTTTTGATGGTTGGTGTTAAAACTTCACGTTTGTTTTGATTAACTGAAGTGTACAGTAGATGGTTATAGTCAAAGCCACAAAGCTTGTTGACTGACAGAATGTCCTGATTAGTGAATTTGTTGATGAAAAAAAATGCTGATAACTTTGAAGCACACATGTCCTTATCTCTACATTGTTGAAATGTCATGTTGAAGAAATAGACCTCTGAGGTTTCACACATACAATAAACTGCATGTCTGTGTAAAATCCTGTTGTCAGTGGTACTTCTCTTGCTGTTTTGTGACAGTCAAAAAGTCTTAACAAAACTGCATCATCGATCTTTGGGAATATAAAATGAGTTGAGATTTGCTAAAAATATGCAAAATGTCATTGTTACCACGTTTAATTGAAGTGAGCACATTACAAATTAAGGCTTTTATATTTGATTTGTTAGACTGAACAGTTAACCTCCCCATGTTTGAATATGTTTAAATGGTCAGCATTTATAGTTTGGTTTAGACCAAGGAACGCATCTTTAAAATTGTGCTTTGGATTAATAACATATTTTTTCTATTCTGGCTGACTGAGGGCTCAGAGAGTTCTAGTTGGCATTTGTCAAAATATGGTTAAAGGAGTGTTGTGTTATTGACAAACAGTGTTATGCAGTGATTCATATGGATGGGACTTTTCAACTGTTTTTGTCAACAATAAAATTTAGATAGATACAGAGCTGGCCCAAGCCTCAATGGGGCAAAATTTCTGCCAATAATATTGATTGTTGATCATTCACACACCTTCACAAATCTCTTTTAACATTCCATGACATGCAAACATACCTTTATCTTGGTGGGTTTTTTTTGCTTCTTCCTCTTTCTTTTCTCTTCCTTAAGGATATGTCCTTTTTTGCGACATGGCGACTATTGGCCACGGGGCCCTAAGCAGACGCTGAGTTCGCTTGCGCCTTTGGCCGGCTCTGGATAGATATGATTTAAAATGATGCTTAGAACAATGAAATATGTACCTGAATCACTAAAAGCAATTTCCAGTGAGTCAAGTACTCTTATTATTGAAAGAGAAACGCGCTTTTGCTTTAAAAGGTCAAGCCAGAATGTGGACTGTGTTTTCAAACAGACGGTGCCAGAAGTGGGTGTCTAAGTTGGTGTGTGTTGTGGCGTTCAGTGTTATTAAAATGCTGTGTTTCAGGTTGTTTGCTTTACATAGTTTGCTGTCAGTGAGCTTGGTGCACCGACAACATAATGGCAAAAATTAAATGTTGGTTTTTGCAGTTTATTAGCGGAACAACTCCGTTAGAGCCAGGTAGCTAATGGTTAGCTCAGCATGCAGCATGGTTATTTGATTCGCTACAACAGGTGTTTGCTACGGAAGCCCTAAGCTAAAGAAACCCTAAGTGGACATGTTTTATTTATTTTTTTTACCACCATTTTCTCAAGCTCACAAGATAGTTTTCTCATGATCTGGAGAAAATGAAGCCTTGTTTTCTCAAGATCATTAATTAATTTTGCGGTGGACCAGAAACATTGGGCTGATCACTGTACGTGGAGCAGCGTCTGCGGTGTCTGCCTGTTGCTACCTGATCCGTCTCAGAAACCCGATTTGTACTGCTCATATGCAAAATGTAGGTCGCTTCTTCTACTAGCCATCTTTGCAACAGCTCAGCAATTCTTTGCCTCTAGTGGTTTGTGACAGCTTCAACACTTGTTCGACAGCTTCAGCATCAGCGAGCACTCTTCAGTCAGAATGGATAGGGGGCCGAAAGGACCCCCTTTTTCCCCATCTGCCCCCTCCGGAGCTCTGGGGCGCTCCCGGCACGTCCAGCTGCTCCGCACCCCCTCCCTATACAGTTTGACAGGACTCAACTTTGAAATGAAAGAATTTAACTACAGGCTAAAAATGAGTCATTACCTTTGACAGAGTGGTTACTGCAAACATCGGCATTATCCGACGCAGCTCTCCCAGACTGTAGGCGGAGATAAAAAAGCCATTTTTCTGGTGTTTTTCAGTCAGCTTCTTACATCTTTCGCCTTTGTGTAACACTACTTTGGGCACACAATAAAAGCTCTTGTTTTTTATCCCCTGTTTGATTGATTTGAGCAGCCGTAAACGGAGCAAAACATGTTGCTGGTCTGTATAGCAGCAACTCACTTCCTGCCTTCCATCTGTAATGCGCGCGTGCCGTGTAGCACGGAAGTGACGTCAAGTGAAAACCTCCTATAAGGAGCTTAATTGTAAAATTGCAAGGTAGTTATAAAAGGCTTGAATGAATGTGAATATTTCATGGTTGAAATTGAAAGGCTGTATAAAAACGTTGAAGTTTATTGTCTGTAATGTGTAGGTTTCTTGTAAATTAATTCATATTTATAAAATAAATTAAATAAATCCCCCTTGATACTTTGAAAAGACAGAGAACCATGATTTTGACCAGGTTGTGGCGCTCTTTGCGGTCCGGGAAGGGTGCACTATGGGTGGCCACACACCTCCAGAGTCTTCCCCCCTTGATACTTTGAAAAGTCAGAGAACCATAATTTCGACTTGAGTGGCGGGGCTTTCTGTGGCGTAAAAGGTCTCACCTTGCTGGGCAGGAGCTCTGGCAAATACCTAGTCCACCGCAAAAGTAATTCATGATCTGGAGAAAATGAACCCTTCATTTCTCGAGATCACGAGAAAACTAGAGAAAACGGGGGTAAGAAAAAAAAAAAAATCATGTCCGCTCAGGGCTTCCATAAAAACAATAAAACGTAACACGATGGAAAAAGTGGATACGCTATCGATATGTAAATCATTTCCCTTCCAGAGACCAATCACGGTTTGAACAGCCACCGACGTCATGGCGCGAGGACGCTATTTATTTGCTTTAACTTTCACTTTCTGTTAATGGTAAAAAGTGCGACATGGACTGACGACTATCGGGTAAAATACAGTAATATTAGCCTGTAGTTTCATTCGGTTTCATTACTCGTCGTTTGTTACTTGCGTTAAGTGCGAAGACGTGACTCTTAATCATTTGAGGCAGACGATGTCCGGTTTACTGTCGAATATCGAGAAACTCAGCAGACAAGCAGCATCTGTCCTGAAAAGTAAGGAACCGTTTTAATTGTTTGAAAGCATACACATGCGGTGGATTTGTATTTCATAATCAAACAAACTGTCATTATCAACTAAATTGTCCCCCTGTCTGTCTAACCACACACCTGTTGTTGTTGTTGTTGCAGAGGCAGATTATCTCAGTGATGCAGATATCAAGACACTGACTCGACAAGATCTCAATGAACTGCTGCCTGGAACCGAGAAACTCAAACTAAGAAAGCAAATATTTGACAGAATACAAGAACATGTGAGTTTACCAAAGAAGTCAGATTAGTTACTGACATAAAATAATGGAAATAAACAGGTTCTGTAAATTATTATAATTACTCTGTATCATATTTATAGTTTCAGGAGCCAATTAATGGGCCATCTAGGGGAGAGAATGAAGTCTTTCCAGAGGAATCCTCCAAAAGTTTGTTCAGTCTTATGAGCACTTTTGCTTTCATTCTGACCCAGCCATTTTGGTTTTGGTTTGACTCAAAAGATGTCCTGTTTTTCTCTTTCCAGCTGATCTCAAGGAGATCTTATCTGATATCCGACAAAACTTGAAGACCTCTTTTCACAATGTCCAGACAAGCTTTGATGATCGCATTCTTCTTCTGGACCAACTGAATGAAGCAACACCTCACCAAGAGTCTGGTAAAGGCTATAATGCAGAGTTTTACTTCATTTTTGTGGTATTAAAAACTTGAGTTGTCTTGTAGTTATTGTTTTTCTGTTGTTGAATAAACAAAAGGACTCGAGAGATCAGATGCAAAGTTGGAAATAGCTGCAGTAACATTTTCATACTTTCAGGTCAAAAGAATCTTCAGTCTTGTGATAATTTTGATTGGCATTGTTTTAGTGTTGTTTCTAATATCCTTGCAAGCAATTAATAAAGTGAATTTTTGGTAGTAATTCATACTTTGAGCCTAAAACTGAGATTTGTGCCTTTATCAGGTACAAGTACCCCAGCCTTCAGTGGTTCTGTCCAGAATGATTATGATCATCCAAAAGGAGCATTTGGAGGATGTCTCAACCCACAAGGTATTTATTTTGATCCTTTTTTAAAATTATTTAAGACTTCACCTGAAGCAAAATTTGAAATGAAACACTTCCAAACATTTTGTACTGGCATAAAATTTAAATGAGCATAGATTTTTTTTCAAAACTCTTTTTTTTTTACGTTTAAACATTTAACATGTTGTCTTTGCACTTTTTTAAATATGATTTTTAATGTGTGTAAATGATTGTAATTGTCAAATTCTGTTTTGTCAACATTTTACAAAGTCAACAAACCCTTATGGAGTTTGGGTTGTAACTGCCTTTTATTTTTTATGTATTATTTACTTGTTTGAGTATCCTCGTATGCTTACTTTTTTTCTGTGTTTAACTCTTGACAGATATCACTGACACTGATGATGTAATGGAGACAAGTACTGGTGGGGTTACTTCCTCCAATGTCAATGACAACAGCCAGTCTTCTGGCTTTTTTTCAAGTCAGTAATCTTTATCACATATTTATTATTCAAAAACTTTACTTAAAGGTTGTGTTATAAGTTTAAATGGAGCACCCGTTTTGCACTTTTAAGGTCATCAACTGTGTGAAGACTTTGAGTATAGTGGCCTTATCATTATCAGATTAAACTAGACATACATGTTATAAATTGGTTTTAGTTTTAATCTCCCTTTTTCCTTTTTCTAAATTTTTTCTTAATTGTTACCTTTATTTAAAAGTTCTTAATATTATGATCTTTATTTTTATAACTACATTTTTGCACTCTTTGTCTGTGATGCTGCTGTGACAAAAAAAAATTCTCCCATGGGGGATCACTAAAGGAATATTCTATTCTATTCTAGAAAGCACATAGATCTTAATTTTTGGAGCTTTATTCTAAATATTATATAATATCTGATTCTGGTTTTAAAAAAATAGGTATAGAAGCATTTCACTGACTGTCTTGACATCGTCTATTTTATTTGCAGAAATGACACATTTTTTTTCTCCACCGGATGGTAAGAATTTTGTTGTGTAAATTAAACTCACAATAATTAAAGGTCAGGTGATATTGATATTGGCTATTGAGATATGATCACTGTTTACATGACTTGTAAATTAATAGAAAGATATTTGGATTACTGATATAGAGGATTCTGAGAACCAGGTTTCCTTAAGATGGAGCTAAATTAAAATAAATATTTAAGAATCTTTTTTCTTATATTGAGGGTAACTCAGTTTTTGTCCGGTCTGTGAAAAGGTTCCAGTTTGTGCCTGAAACCAATTCTTTATTTAGCAGTGAAGTACAAGATGGTTGTCAGCAGTAAAACCTTTGGAGCCCATCAACAGTTCATGAAGAAAGTGAAGGATCTATTTCGAGGCCAGGCAAAGCTTATTGAATGTAATGACGATCACCAGGTCACTATTTTATTCTGCCCAATAATTTCATGTATGGTGACTGACATCCAAGCAGCCATGGCTGAAGTAAAAGGTAAGAGGAGGAATCTTGAGAATGGTCTTTTTCATTTGTCGAGCTTTGACACGCTCAATAATTTTAGACATTTGTAACCATAATCATTTTAGCATATCATGCCGAAAGGATTTCACTATTAGTCAGAAACATTTTACAAAGTATGAAAGTATTCAGTGAATTCAAAGACACCTCAAAAATTTAGAAAGTATGTCATAATTTCAGAAAAAAAAAACACTAAACAACTCAATATTTAATCCTACAAATTTGAAACAACACTTTTAAAACAACATAAAAATCTTTCTTTTTGTATGCAACGGGCACACACTATTTCCCATTTTTATAGGCCAGGTCTTATGCAAATATTAAACAGTTTTTTAAAGGATGGATAAAGAGCTTGAGCTCATAAAATATTTCAAAAATGACCAGACCAACCTCTTGCTTCGGTAGTGTGTGTGTGTGTGTGTGTGTGTGTGTGTGTGTGTGTGTGTGTGTGTGTGTGTGTGTGTGTGTGTGTGTGTGCAACCTCTTGCTTCAGTAGTGTGTGTGTGTGTGTGTGTGTGTGTGTGTGTGTGTGTGTGTGTGTGTGTGTAACCTCGTGCTTCAGTAGTGTGTGTGTGTGTGTGTGTAACCTCGTGCTTCAGTAGTGTGTGTGTGTGTGTGTGTGTGTGTGTGTATTTATCATGGGACTCTAATGAAGTACAAAACATTTGTTAATCCATTATGTGTTTAAAATGAATTCAGGCTCCTCTCTTTTTTAATCTACAGATGACAAACCTATCGTACTGGTGATGATGCATCACTCACATGAGCCCAAGGTCACGCCATCTGTGAGACCACAAGCTAATGATGTCTGTACCAAGAAGATGGTGCTCGATGTCAGTGTTTTCTTCCACGAGACACTGAAAGGACTAGTGCAGTGTCAAGAGAATGATACTGCTGCCTCTGTGATCCAAAAAGAATTACAGAAGTACATTTCTATGAGAACTGATCATACCAGTGGACAAAGCAACATGGAGGTTGAAAGAAGAACTGTAGGTAAGTCTTTAAAGGTGGTGATAAATCTAAGTAGTGACTCAAAAACAGAATTGGCAAGTGCTTTTGGTGTTTCTGCTCATATCTACATTGATTTTAGATGTACCAACAGCAGAACCAAAGTAATTGAGGCCATTAACCCTTTGAAGAAAAATGTAGACTCCTTGACAGCCTATGAGGTATTTGGTGGCTAATAAGGTTTTAGTATTTGATAACTCACTCAAAGTTAAATTTAAAATTGTCTCCTAAGATTTCTGTTACCACAGACAGTTATGATGCATTGGTGACATGTAGTTGTTCAATGGATAGTGATTCACTGGGCAAAAGTCAATATAATTTCCTCTTTGTTTGACATTTTTAAGATAAATCATGTTAATGAACTCTTAAGTTTACTAAAATTGTGCTCGTATTTGCTCAATTTATCTGTGGCTCTGCTTTGCACTTCAGGAGTCTTGAAACATTTTCGAGTTTGGATCATTATTACCTTGTCTTACAGTCTTTCTGACCAACGAACTGAGTACAGGATGCTTTTATTCATCTGTGTTATACAGCTTTTTGAGTTAGCTATATAGCAGGCCAATTCTTAGTTCTGCGTTTTGAGAGCTGTAGTTCAGATTGTAATGAATTCTACTGATTTAAAGAAAGGTTTGAAAACATTTTGTTGATTGAATGTTGTCTCCCTCCATTAGAAGAGTCCTTCACCGTGCTGCATCACCCGGAGGGTAAAGATTGTTTTCATTAACAGTCTGTTGACACTAAACATGGTTCACCGTATAAATCTGTGATTGATGCTCAGTTGCTTTTTTTATCAGTTAAGTACAAGATGGTTGTCAGCGGTAAAACCTTTGGAGCCCATCAACAGTTCATGAAGAAAGTGGAGGATCAGTTTCGAGGCCGGGCACAGCTTATTGAAAGTAATGACGATCACCAGGTCACTATTTTATTCTGCCCAATAATTTCACATATGGGGTCTGACATTCAAGCAGCCATGGCTAAAATGAAAGGTAAGAAAAAAGATTTTTGGTTCTCTTTTTAATTCAAGTTTTCATTTTTTAACTTGATATTAAACAATTATTATTGAAACTGTGATGTACTCTTAAAAAGAAGTGTCTTGGATTTTAGAAAAAAATGTATAATTAATTCTTGTCTGGCTCTCAAAATATCTATCAAATATTTTATTAACTCTAGCTAGGCTAGATTTTCCTTATAAATTCTCCTCTCTTATACTACCCACAGATGAAAAACACATCCTCCTTGTGTCGATGCATCACTCACTTGGGCCCACGGTCACACCATCCACCAGAACATGGGTTGACTACCCAAACATTAAGTTGCATGTTAATGTTTTCTTTCACGAGACACAGAGAGGATTGATAATGTGTCATGAAAATGATGATTCTGTTTCTGCGATCAGAAATGAATTACAGAAGTTCTGTCCTCCAACATATAAAGATACCACTGAAAAAAACAAAGAACCAAACCAACAACCAAAAAAGCCCAGATCTGATGTTAGAGGTGGTGATACGGAGAGTTCTTCTCAATGGCCTCCGTCATTCTCTAGGAAGTCAAAAAAATGAATGGACAGCACCAACAGCAACACTAAAGTGGCACAGCTGACAGATTAAGATCATATACTTATGGATGAAAATGCAATCTCTTTGTAACATTAGATCACTAAATGGTGTCAGATTTTATATTAGCCCTGCTAATGAGTAGAAAAAAAGTTCTTCAAGATATTTCAAGAAAGCTTTACATTTGTTGAAACTTAACAGATCATAGTTCAAATGTTAGATCAATTATCTAGAAATAAATTGATTCTTATATTTAAATGTTTGAAGTGCAGATTTGGCTTTCCAGTTGGATAAAAATAAAAACAGCATGAAGCCTGTTTTACAATAGATGTATGCTTGAGATAAAAGTAAAGAAAAACAAAGCTAGCAGCACAGCTATGTTGATTTTTGATGGTTGGTGTTAAAACTTCACATTTGTTTTGATTAACTGAAGTGTGCAGTAGATGATTATAGTCAAAGCCACAAAGCTTGTTGACTGACAGAATGTCCTGATTAGTGAATTTGTTGATGAAAAAAAATGCTGATAACCTGTAATGTCATGTTGAAGAAATAGACCTGTGAGGTTTTACACATTCAATAAACTGCATGTCTGTGTAAAATCCTGTTGTCAGTGGTACTTCTCTTGCTGTTTTGTGACAGTCAAAAAGTCGTAACAAAACTGCATCACGGATCTTTGAGAATAAAAAATTAGCTAAGATTTGCAAAAATATGCAAAATGTCATTGTTACCAAGTTTAATTGAAGTGAGCACATTACAAATTAAAGCTTTTATATTTGATTTGTTAGACTGAACAGCAAACCTCCCCATGTTTGAATATGCTTAAATATTGTATAATATTGTGCTTTGGATTAATAACATATTTTTCTATTCTGGCTGACTGAGGGCTCAGAGTGTTTTAGTTGGCATTTGTCAAAATATGGTTAAAGGAGTGTTGTGTTATTGACAAACAGCGTTATGCAGTTATTTATATGGACGGGACTTTTCAACTGTTTTTGTCAACAATAAAATTTAGATAGATATAAATTAAAATGACTCACTTAGAACTATGAAATAAGTTCCTGAATCACTAAAAGCAATTTCCAATAAGTCGAAAGGGTAAGTTGAGCCAACCCCTGTTAATTGGAAATGGTAAAAGAAATTGATCATGTGACCAAATATTTAGGAGATGGGCATCAATTCATGGAGTCTGTGAAGGTTAGAAGCACATGGGTGAAGGGGTTAGACATTTATTTCCAAAAAAAAAAAAACATTTTTCACTCCTAAAAGTGAATTTAGTCTGTCAAAAGTTTGATTATAATTGTATTCAGACCAAAAAGGATCATTTCAAATTTGTTTTATACATCAATTGTGGTATCTATGAACTACAACATGAGGTTAAATACCCAGCATAAAAGTCCACCATTTTAGCTTAGAGGACTAATAAAGTCATCATAGTAGTTCTGGGGTAAGTTAACCCAGTGGCTCCACTGAGAAAGTAAAGAAGTCTAATGAGAGGATCAGAGTTTCAGTTCAGATTGTTGAAATTGTTGTTAAGCTGTTTTGTTAAAATGACTTTTAACAAAACAGCTTTTTAGCAGTTATATACAATAATTACAAAAAATAATAATTGTACCAGTTGAATAGCGTATAATAGGTAAAAATACACATGAATGTGAAGAAGTGACTGTTATTTAGGGAGAGAGAAGGTGAGGGAGGGCTGGGGTGGAGAGTGGGGGGGTAGTAGGGATATGGCTCAACTTACCCAGAGACCACTTTTTTTTTAGCATGCTATATTACCAAGACAGTTATGTTTACACTCATTCTGTTGGTTTGCAGGGATGCACAACATCTTGAAATATATGCAGATACACTAGAAAAATGGCTAATTTTACCCCACTCTCCCCTACTCTTATTATTGAAAGGGAAACGCGCTTTTACTTTGAAAGGTCAGGCCGGAAGTTGGACAATGTTTTCAAACAGACGATGCCAGAAGTGGGTGTCCAAGTTAGTGTGTGCTGTGGAGTTTAGTATCATTAAAATGCCGTGTTTCAGGTTTTCTGCTTTACATAGTTTGCTGTCAGTGTGTTTGGTGCACCGACGACATAATGGCAAAAACTAAATGTCGGTTTTTGCGGTTTATTAGCCGAACAATTCTGTTAGAGCCAGGTAGCTAATGGTTAGCTCAGCATGCAGCATGGATATTTGAGTCACTCCAACAGGTGTTTACCACAGGGGGTACAGTCTATTCATTACGGGCTATATTAGCTTACATTAGCTCATATTTGTGTGCGACAGTTCTCGGTGAACGACGGTTCTTCCCAAAGTAAGTCTTTTGTGTGTCATGTTTCTCGGCTGCTTTCTGAGGAGCCCGATCAGATCCATTCGTGTCAGCGTATTTTGTTTGCAAAGTGTCTTTATAGTCAATGAAAACCTGAGACGGAGGTTGAATTACAAATGTACCAGTGTATGTAAAAACTTCAGCGCGCTTCAACCACCTGCACACCTGTTTCGACTCAAGGTAATGTCAGGAAGTCTCCAAACATGACTTTGTCTGCAAATCAGCTTACTCAAAGTACATTTTAAGTGATCGCTCTTATCTGAATGTGAGACTTTTCACTGTTTTTTTTTTCAGACACAGCGAACAATGAGTGACATACAGGCAGCAAATATCTCCTATGGAAAAGAGGGCACTGCTGTAGCTCCAGGTGATGATGATGAAGAGGATGAGGGTGAAACTGCAGCGATGGCTGCACAGGTGTATGAGACAAAGGATGAAGAGTTCAAGAAGGCCATACTGGTGGCAGGCCAGGTGGATACCATCGGCATGGCTCTCCTACAAGATAAAACTGACACAGGTGCCTGCACAGTGTTGAGTAAGTACAACTGGCTTAAAGGGATATTCCGGCATAAAATTAAGTTAGGGTCAAACACATCGTAACACTAAGTTAGACACCCCATCAAGAGATTAATGTTGTCGACCACTTGCTTGTCTACTTATACCAACTTTAGTAACGACCGCACGATAGCAATACACAGTAGTCTGAGGAGCCATAAACAAACCTCAACTAAAAAGCCACTCTATAGCCACAAATAATGCTCAGAACAGCACCTAACTTCATCAACAGTACATATAGGGTCCTAGCCATAGTACTAGCCCCCAAACATCTTTTTAATTTTGCCTGATTTCTTCAGCAAAGAGACTAAACACAACTCACCTACTCTCTTCCAGCAGCCGCTTGTTTGTAGCAAGACCTTGGGCCAGTCCATCGCCAACTGCTGCGGGGTGACACAGCTCAAGGAAGAACATTTATGATCATTTCTTTATCATGAAGTAATAATCACCATATTAATTATTTTGCACTGCAGACGCAATAGTTCTTCTGCTTTAGCATCTCGGTCTGATTGCATTTCTATAAAGAAAAGATCATAAATGTTCTTCCTTGAGCTGCTTCAGCCCGCTGCAGTCGATGGACTCGCCTGAGGTTTTGCTACAAACAAGCGTCTGCTGGAAGAGAGAGGGTGAGTTGTGTTTAGTCTCTTTGCTAAAGAAATCAGGCAAAGCTAAATAGATGTTTGGTGGCTAGTACTATGGCTAGGACACTATTTGTACTGTTGATGAAGTTAGGTGCTGTTCTGAGCATTATTTGTGGCTATAGAGTGGCGTTTTGGTTGAGGTTTGTTTATGGCTCATTAGACCGCTGTGTATCGCTATCCTGCGGTCATTACTAAAGTTGGTAAAACTAGAGAAGCAAGCGGTCGGCAACATTCATCTCTCCCTGGGGTGTCTAACTCGGTGTTAAAGTGTGTTTGACCCTAACTTAAATTTGTGCCGGAAAATCCATTCTAAAGTACATTTTTGTACTAGTCTTCCTCATGAACAGTGACGCTGAAAGACTTATCTTGATCTCAGGATTATGGCATCACAAGCTGTGACAACAAAGTTTTACTCAGTTCAATTTTTGCATCCACATTTACACAAAGGAGTGTGTTTTAATGTCTAATTCGATGTATTTTTTCTTAGCTGCTCCAGCAGGATCAAATGAGATGACAAAGAAGAAAACAAGGAGAGAGAGGAGGACTTGGAAGAAAAAAAAGCTCAAGTCAGCTGACTCTACGAACGATTTAATGTCAGAGCTTCCATTTTGTCTGACCAGTCCTACCACATGGAAAGAGCTTGGCTGTGTGTGCATTCTTAATATTATCATTTAAAATCCTTAAAGGTACAGTGTTTAGAAATGGTAATTTTAGCAGTAAGACTTCTGTATGAAACTACAGTAATGTTTTCAAGGTATGCCTCTCTACTCGGCATGAAGGCGAACTCTTTTTTTTTTCTCCTGACATAAATTATCCTTTTATCTTTCAGTCTCTGGTTCAGACTCAAATGAAACGAAGAGAAAGAGGAAGAGAGGAGACAATGAAGGGCGAGTGGACAGTGAAGAGGATGCAGAGAAGAAGAAGAAAAAAAAGGAGAGTCAGCGACCAAACTACTTCATCTCAATACCCATCACTAACACACAGGTAAGGAGTTGCAGTACTTCTCATCCACTCAGGTCTTTTTCTGGAGTCTGATAAATCTAATAACCTAAAGTCTTTCAGTCGTAAATGAGTGCTTTACAATACATTTCTGCTGTATTGAGGTTCTTTTCTAGCTCAACTTTTCACTCCAGGGAATTCTTTTTAAGGAACTAAATGGTTCCTGTGTCCCACTGTGATTGAGGTCTTCAGTCCAGAGTAAATAATAATAAGTAATAATTTAAAGTTTTACCAGCCATGGTTTGTGAAGTTCAGTCAATAATGGAATAAAAAAAAAAAAAAAAAAAATCTTAACCTGATGAGCGATGATGCTGATATGTCAAAGCTTATTGATCAAAAATGCTACTTTGCTACATGTAACCTCTATTTCTTCAAATTAAGGCTGAATCCTGAAAAAAAAGTGTAATCATGATGAGTCAGCAGTCTTTTTTTTTTACTGTAAATATTTTTTTTTCGTTGGCAGATCAGTTCTGCTGTGATGGAGGTCCAGGAGGCTGTGCTTCAGCAAGAGTCTCGACTTGCCAAGGCCATGATCCCCATCCCAACATTACACATCACGCTCTTAGTCACACATCTCGCCAATCAGGAGCAAGTGGACCTGTGAGTGAATACATATGCCTTTTTAAATCATGGGCTTTGACCCATTCATGCTGAAAAATGACATTATTTAAAAGCCAAACAGCCCGTTAAGCAGTGAAAGCCAAGCTGCCATAGAACAGAACAGATTCAGATCCAGTTTATGACATGAAAGGCATTCTAATACATTTACCTCTGTATTGATAAAATTGACAGCAAAAGACCCTCAATATTATAAAGCAGTGGTTCTCAAGTCCAGTCCTCGAGGCCCACTGTCCTGCATGTTTTGAATGTTTCCCTGCTCCAACACACCTGATTCAAATGATCAGCTCGTTATTAAGCCATTACAGAGCTTGATAACGAGCTGATCATTTGAATCAGGTGTGTTGGAGCAGGGAAACATCCAAAACATGCAAGAAAGTGGACCTCGAGGACTGGACTTGAGAACCACTGGTATAAAGCAATATTGAAGAAGCCTGTCACTGCAGGAGCTCCCCAGCGCTGTGACGTTTACACAACTTCACAACTTCTTTGGAATTGTTTTTTTTTAATTTAATTTAAGAAAAACTTAATTCTACTTTGCTTTTTAAAAATGATGTGATTCAAAGACTTGAGTTTTATCCGAAGATTCTACCAAACGACCCGTGATTTCAGCGGTAGTGCAGATCAGCAATGTGTTAGCCATGTTATGTGATAATGCGGATGCTTAATCTACATCATGCAGAAGAAGATTGTGTCATTAGTAATCACTTGATTCTGTTGTTACATAACATTAGAGGGAGGAAGGGAGAGGATTATGTTTTACAGTGCTGTGCGTGTGTGTGTGTGTGTGTGTTGGTGTAAACTCATGTACATTTCCTATTAGGGCGGCATCCGTGCTGTCTCAGGCAGAGCCATCATTGGCTAAGCTGCTGGGTGGGCGTGATCTGGTGCTGCCCTTCTCAGGGATCGGTCATTTCAGGAAGGAGGTGGTTTTCGTTGGTCTGGCCCCCGGACAGCACAGACACACTCTGGACAGTGTGGCAGGTCAGTGATGGGGCTTTTCTAATATCTTTGTCCCTTCTTCTTCTGTTCCCAATTCACATTTTTGTCTGTTTTAGTCATGTTCAGCTCAGTTTTGCTCATTTTGTAGTGTTTCTCATGTTGTATGGTATTCATTTCATTGGAGGATGTGAATATGATCAGCTGTGTCTCTGGAGGGATGTCTAAACCAGGGGTCCTCTGGTTTCAGCATATTGGAGGATTTTTCTTTTTCTTTGGTACATTTCATTCAGAGGATGACAGTAGGGATTTTCCGAGAGGTCACAGATTTAACATCTTGAGGAGACAGGAGGTTTATTGTACTTGGTTGTTAACTGGAAAGATCGTCAGTCTAATTAGATTAGATAAGATTAGATTAGACACAATTAAAATTCCAGCAGTATATTTACAGAAGAGACAAACAGAATAATCAAATATACAGTATTCAAAGTTTGACTTGGTTAGAGTTTTGTCCTGGACTGAACTGGGAAGCAGATTCAGCTACATAATTTTTGAAGCTCCTCGCAGGATTTTTGACGGGTCATTCAGCAGACTAAATTTGACAGACGCCTCTCTTGACATCAGCCAGAAGACTGCCTGTTTTGCTTATTGCAGTTTTACATGTTACTGCTGTGGGATATGAGTCAAAGAAGGGGATTTACCTCTGACTTTTCTAACCAAAAGATCAGCAGGAATTGTAAGATTCTGTGTTGTCCATTATAGCAGCACCGAATTAACAGTTATGACAAACTTTTAATACTTTTTTTCGTTTTTGGAAATGTAGACTGCATTTGACAGCATAAAATGCAGAAAGAGGTCATTTATTTTGTTTTACCCAGAAAGTGTTGTATAAAGAATTAATCCACTGCTGTATTCATAGGAAGGTGAACTTGGTGTTTTTTCCCGACAGCTTTACTTCCAGAGGTCGCTCTTTGAGAAAACAGTGGTGTACCGTCGAGTAAATAAACATGAAAGAGTGCTTGTTTGATTACAGCAACAAGTGACAAGTGGAGATCAGTGCTGCCCAAATAATGGCAAAAATCAATAACAGTTGTTTTGATTGTTATTGAGGTTACGATTAAACACAGTCGCTTATTGATTTGACATCAGCATCTCACGCATTTATTGAACCAAAAGAGTCTTTTAAAACTTACAAAAAACAGAAGTAATCGTTCTTCCAGTGAAGTTTACTACCCCGAAGAGCTTTGACCGAATATAGATGATAATAGATTGAACACGACAAGACTTCTACTTGTAGTGGATTATTTTTACCTGACTTTACCACCATTCTATCACAGGCTGCAGACCTAACCTATTATTCAGCATTTTCAAGCTTCATCTGTATAAGTTTAAGACTTTTAATGCTCGGTAACATTTGTATCGCCACAGCCATTCTTGTCAAACTTCCTCTGTCCCTCACCTTTTTAATTCCACACCTGCCTTCTTCTTCCCCTCTCCCTGCTTTTCTTTTTCCACCCATAGCTGTATGATAGTTTATACTGCTGTAACACAACATGGTGGAAATACAGCAGTCCCCAATAACACATTTTTATTACATCTGCTGCTTCTTTGGGCTGCAAAGACGTCTGAACTCTCGATGACGAAGTTTTAGGAAGAGACAAAGCGCATGCATCGCAAGACAAAATCAGCGCAACATGACTTGTTTATTTTTGAGTATTAAATTATTATTTTAACTGAAATTGGTTTAATTGCTAAGCCCTATGTGAAATGGCTGGTGCAAGTTCAGGGTCCATGCCCCACAGCTGTCGATGTTACCGTGGGTTGATCGCAGCAGGAGCTAGCAGGGTTGCTCTGTTTTTCGTAGTTATTTTTAATGTCTTGTTTTCTTGTTTTCTGGAACCTTAATATTATATCTAGGCTAGAGAAGATAACAAATGTCTTTGTGGGTGCTAAGACAAAAATGTGATTTGAAAATCAGATTAGCAATTCAGCGATTTGTACAGCTACATGTCAAACATGCTGGTTTCAAGCTTCTCAAATGTAAGAATTGTTGGCTCCGGGACCATTAACTAGGAAAAAGACGCTGTCTAAAACATTTCCTCTGGTGTCTATGAATAGTAATGTCCATTTTCCCACATTTGTGTACATGTTTTGTACTGAACAATCAGATTTAAAAATACAATCACCCAAAAAAAAAAAGTGCAATTAATCGTAGAATCCTATAAACAAGTGTTTTTGCTTGTGCTGTGACGTCTTTATCTTCCCTCATTTTTCCAATTTGATCTGTAGACACATGTTAGGGGTTTTACGCAGAAGCATTTGCGTGTATGTCATTTCGGGTTCGCCTTTGGCAGCGACATTAAGCCAACATTTCTAAGAGGATTCTCACTACATTACTTCTATGGCACCATCACACACTCACACAGACACACACAAAACACACACAAACACACTCAGGCGCATCAATATGAAGTAAATGAGCTCATATTTGTCCAATACTGTCCATTTCCTCTCTAAAATATGCTGTGATTCCAGAGTGGACACACACTGTGCTCACCAACACAACAGGAAATTAAAGGCTCTTTTTTTTTAATCATCACATCCAGCTGTGTTAGAATACTGATGTTCATAATCACATTTTTGGACATTAAATCGCTCAAACATACAATATTTTAACAGATTTTCCCCTGAGCAGCTCATCCTGTACATCAACTGCTTATTTCCAATCAAATATTACATTTGGTATTTTACTTACCTTTCTTAAAGTATTGGAAAAGCCCAAATAAAGATAGAGCAGGATGTTAAACCCTGCTGTCTACTCCCTCCAACACTGTCATTGATTATGTACTAACCTTTCCCTCCCTGGAGAGCTCCTCTTCTAAAAATACCATCAGTTTCCCTCTAAACCTCATTGGTTGATTGGGTGTCCGTGCCTGTGTGTGTGTGTGTGTGTCTGTCCGTGTTAGCTATCAGTGTGACCTTGTTTATCTGTCCTCGTCAAACTCTGCAGGAGTACAAAAACATTTTCTTATCAGTCTTCTGGACATCCTCCACTGTCTGCATCTACTCTGTCTCCATTAGAGAGGGTTTTTTTTTTGAGTGTTCATTTTGTAGAAGCTCTGCAGCTTTTAAACCACATTACAGAGGTGACTTCTGTTCCATGTCTCATTTTTGAAAAACCTCGGTGCGTTGCAGAGCTGCTGCGGAGCCGGTTTGTGGAGCAGGGTCTCCTGCACGGTGATGGTCGCGGGTTTGAACCCCATCTTACCATTATGAAGCTGTCCAGAGCATCGAAACTACGATCACAGGTGGTGTACACACACACACACACACACACACACACACACGCTTTACCACAACCAAACCCTGATATACACATTTTGCTCGATCAAATAAGTAAAATTGAAAAATGTATAAGTTGCTTACGCCAAACAAATTGAGTGATTGAAGTTGGTCCAAGGCAAATGAAGTGTTTCTCTCCCTCTAAGCACGAGTGATCTTTGTTTTTCGTGTTGTGCTCACACAAATGTGCAAGTTAATTTCTCAAATAACAAAATACCCACAATTTCTATAGTTGTACATTATTTTAAAGTAAAGTAAAGGACCTGCTTTGTACTCCTCCCTCCAGGGATGCTTTCAAATTCATCGAGTCCCAGTGAGCTTGTAACTTTTTGTAACCCATGACTTGACTGCGTTGCTTCACTGGCAGCAGCTCTCTTTGTATTTCTCTCGTTCTCCTTTCAGTGGCTGTAGAATGTATCAGATGTTATTAAAAGGACTGTTGCAGTAGTCTGAAAGAAATTTGAATTTAAATAATTCATAATCGTTTTATAAAGATGAATTAAGCAGAGAAATTTTCCAAGCACAAGAGGAAGAGAGAAAAATGACAGTGACTGAGGGATGGTTCGGAAATGGATTAAGATATTTATAAGAGGTCATGGTTGGGGGGTGGGGTGGGTGGGAGGTGAGCAGGGTTCAGGAGAAAAGAAACAGGAAGATTTATTTTGTCAGCCTTTCCTTCCTGGCGTCCGTGTGTCAGCGTTTTTGTATTACTTCAGTCTGGTTGCGTTTGTGTTAAGACTAAGGTCCTGAATTGTGTGGCTACATCTGCAAATGAGCCAGAACATCATGATTCACGTTGCTCACGCAGAGGGTTAAATACTTCACAAGCTGCACAGCACTCAAACCATTCTGCGTTCAAGACTATTCTACTCGTGGAAGACCTAGAAATAATCCATACAGATCTGTAAATAAAGTCTGTGAATTTGATTGTTTGATAGTCTGTTTATGACTTTGATTTCAGTCAGAGGCTTCTGTGGCTCAACCTGTACACAAATAGGCTGTACCATTATATATGATGGAGTGTTTAATGTATTAACTCACTTTATTAATTAATTACCTTATTTACTCCAGGAAGTTAGCTGTGTATAAACTGTTCATAAATAAAGTAAAAAACTGGTAAGTCCTTTCTCTGTCTTACCAGAGTAGTATATGGAGTATATGAATAGACGTGGGAGCTGTCAGGATAAAAGAGCACAGCGTAACTCTGTGCAGTAGAGAGCGAAGGTGTCAGAACAGAGCTTTAGCATGTTGGTGGGGCAATTGATGTGCAAATCCTGGATCCAGTCTAAGTGAATCACCCTGTGAGTATACTACAATGTTTAATAAAGACGGTATTAAGTGTAATTACCTTTTCCTGTGTGCCTTTCAGGGAATAAAGCGTGTGGATCCAGCTCTCTACTCCAACTACACAAACAAGTAAGTTCTTCATCTTTTTTTTTGTTGGAGTGGCTCATTTCCTGGTTAAACAGGAAATTAATTTCCAACTTAATTTAGGGTCGAACACACCATAATGGCTAGTTAAACACCCCCCCATTAATGTTCTTCCTTGAGCTGCGTCACCCCGCTGTAGTCCGTAATGGATTGGCCCAAGCCTCCCTACAAACAAGCGGCTGCTGGAAGAGAGTCTTCTTGAAAAAGAGACTAAAGAAAATGAGACAACGCTAAATAGATCTTTGATGGCTAGTGTTATGGCTAGGACCCTATATGTACTGTTGATGAAGTTAGGTGCTGTTCTGAGCATTATTTGTGTCTATAGAGTGGCGTTTTGGTCGTGGTTTGTGTATGACTCATCAGCCCACTGTGTATTGCTATCCTGTGGTTCTTACTAAAGTTGGTATCACTAGAGAAGCAAGCGGTCAGCAACATCCATCTCTCACAGGGGTGTCTAGCTTTGTGTTATGGTGTGTTTGACCCTCAATTATTTTTACGCCAGAATATCCCTTTAAGGTATAAAAAAAGTTTAAAATATGTGGCTGGACGATGTCAGTGGGTTTGCTGAGGGACTAACGATAACAGGGCAAGTACTAAAAGTTGTGCATCAGTTGTTTGTGCTTATCCAAGAGCAGCAAGAGCAATCTACCCAGATAAAAAAACAAACAAATGAAAATCTGACATACTCTTTCTGTGTAGTAACCCAGACCATATACACTCATATGTGGAAAAGCTATTTGAAATGTTAGGGAGTCAAGCCTCGAATGGCTCAAAACTGATTTACCCCTTATTAACATGAGGAAATCAACTGCTGTTATTGTTTTCTACTCCCTGACAGTTTTTATTTCTCACCAGTGTATAAAAATAGTTGGAAATATTTCTTTTCTTTGCACATTTGACTGACACCTTGACTGTTTTGCTGGAGGCGTCAACACTCTCTCCTCCACTGACTCAACCCTCTCTCGCTGTCACTTTTGGTTGTCCCACTGCAGGTTTTTTGGAGACCAGACTGTTGAGCGGGTGGATCTTTGTTCCATGTTGAAAAAGAAGCAACAAGACGGGTACTACCACACTGAGACTTCACTACAACTCGGTAAGTGTCTAATAGAGCCTTGTTGCGTTTGTATTCAATGTCTCTCCTGCTATCATGCGCTCTGTTGAGCCACCAGAGGGTGCTGTCTGATTACAGCTTGATTCCAGTGTCCCTGGCAGTGAGACACAAGGAGCTTCCAGTGGCATTTTTTGGGATAATGAGTTGCTGTTGCTGTGGCACCTTTCTTTTTTTCTATGTCAGCAAATAATGTCTCTGGGAATCACTTGTGGCCCTATGATACGATGTTATCACGATACTTGGGCCACGATATGATATTATTGTATATGTATCTTTGTTGCACTGACTTTCTCCTGCTCTCTGAGGTCACTGCCAACCTCACTGGACGAACAGTTGATTTTATTTTTCCATTATCATAGATTTGACTTTATTTTTGCAATTAATTTGAAAAAAATAGATATTTGGTAAATGAGACGATACAATATATCATGAGACAAAATATCGCGATATTATGCTGTATCGATTTATTCTCCCACCCCTACTGTTTTGAGTAAAAAATGTAAAGGTTGTGTTGGATGGGGTTTTTTTAGATGGTAAAAATTTGTACACCCAGTTTGCAAAGCCTAAGCAGTACATTTATAGATACTCAGCAAAACCCTGAAGAGAGGAAAAACGGTCCAGTGAAACACCCTTTGAATCCTCGAGAGCTGATTTCCATTTTCAACATTACTGCCAAGTTTAGACATTACCGCCCTGCCAGTTCTTTCACAAACTGGCAGTGTTGTTGAATGAATGGATGGCGATGATGATGGTGCTTTTGGGCCTGAGTGGTCACATTTGTGGATTAAAGACACACTCATCATGTCTTGGTCTACAGTTAGTTACTGAAAGCAAAGTTGAACTCACCTCTAAAAACGTGGCACGAACCATCCAGCGTATCACAGGATTTGCTTAGCAGATTGTTATACTTTGACATCTATGCTGCCGAGGCTTGTTCGAGCAGTTGAGCTTACTCTGTAGATTCACATAGACTCCAGATGGCACTGTTTACCACTCTGGGACTTGGTTTTAGGCCAGACAGGCAACATCAATGAGCTCTGTGTGTCTGTTAAGTACTGGTGGTTACATTCTGGTTATGGGAGTGAGAACAAAATTGTGCATGTAATAGTTTATGCTGCAGACTGAAACATGTACAAAGATTCTAATATTGAGCAGCCACTCTTTGTGATGTATAATATCACCCAGAGGAGATGCAGCCATGTGACTGTGGTAAACCAGGGTTGCAAATGTATTTTTACCCTCATTGCAAATGTCTGACAGGATTGTAAAAATTATTGCCCTTAATATCGTTTATGCAACCACACAGTCTCGCGATGAATCAAAGAGACACAGAGGGGCAAAAATTCCTAAACACAATTTATTCAAAAGATCTGGTCTGGCTGCAGACCTCCACTGTCAGGACCCGCTCCACCGAGAGGATCTGAGGTGACATTTTTTTCACATGCATTCCAGTTTGTTTGAAGTGGTCATCAGGTTTTGTATTTCCTCTTTGTTAAACACATAAATAGACAAAAAATCATACTTACAGAGTATACATAAAATAAGACCCCAAGGAATAAAATATATTGACACGAGACATAAAATACATACTTCCTGGTCTAATCGCTTTAATTTGATAGGCTTCAAATCAACTGCTGTGGTAAAAAATACATATTCCCGGTATATTTACTTTTAATTTGAAAGGCTTCAAATCAACTTATGACGTAAAAAAAACCCATACTCCTGGTATATTTACTTTTATTTTGAAAGGCTTCAAATTAACTTCTGATGTAAAAAATAATAATAATAATAATAACAATACTCCTGGTATATTCACTTTTATTTTGAAAGGCTTCAAATTAACTTCTGATGTAAAAAAAAACATACTCCTGGTATATTTACCTTTATTTTGAAAGGCTAAAATCAACTTCCGAAGTAAAAAAACAAAAAAAAAAACATACTCGTGGTATATTTACTTTTATTTTGAAAGGCCTAAAATCAACTTCCGAAGTAAGAAAAAAAAAAAAACATACTCCTGGTATGTTTGCTTTTATTTTGAAAGGCTTCAAATCAACTTCCGGTCCGCTCAGTGGAGGTGGGTCCTCACAGTAGAGGTCTGCAACTAAAGGGTCCTGACAGTGGAGTTCTGCAGCCAGACTGTTTTGGATATCTCCAAAAAAGCAAACAAAAGTTACCAAACAAAATGAGCTTTCTTTCTCTTTAAATAACAGTGGGCTCATGTCAGTTTAGACCCCCACTCACCTCTTACTTTGTACACAAACAGATTTCAGATACCTCCTGGAGATCTTACAGGGTTGGTTTGTACCTTAAGGTGAACATAAGCCAATGCATTTACCTAAGTATGTGCTGTGAGACAGATTGATAGGAACTCCCAAAGTCCCACTGATAAGCAAGTACACTAATTGCTCTGTGTTTAAGTGTGTGTGTGTGCACAAGGGTACATGCATGGCTGTCAGCATGAGTGGAACTGGGCTGTCACAATGTTTTGTGGATCACTGATCTGTCTGTGAAAGACAAAGAGCGACAGTGTGTGTGGGGGAGTGACAGTTGGAGCGTGGGGACATTTACCTCACACCCTTGTCACATAAAGCTTGTGCCACTGTCAGTTTTTTTCACAGCGTCGTAAACATATGCAGCTAACCAGTCACACCTGCTTTAAAATCGTGCATATCTTTGCTTAGGTCTGTTCACTTGATTTGGCAATAGTGACCATTTTAACTGGGAGTGATCAGTAGCTTATGGTTGGTGATTTCAGAGGGATATTGTTGTCTGCCTCCAACTATATGTTCTGTCACAGTAACACTTGAGAAGAGTTTATAACACTTTCACAAACATTCAGAGGATCTTCTCAGAGAACTCCTTTCTTATTAATTTAGAAACTTTTAAAAAAGTAGTCTTAGACTGAAAAGGATTCAAGATCATTCTCGGAGCAACTCTTCGTGCAAAGGGGCAAAAACTCTCTCAGTGAGGAGGTGGGACTGACCCCACTGCTAGGTAACAAAGGGGGGGGGGGGGGTTGATCAGTCTGATTATAGAGCCTGATCAGATATTGAATTTAAGTATTATATATATATAGAAACTGTTATTTCTGATGTTTAAATTATTGTGATTATTTCAATAATTTAAACTGCAAGTTAAAACTAAACAGCTTACAAATGTTTGGAAACACACGCCCACTGAGCTGTAGCTTCTCTGCATGCTGATTAAGCAGATTTTCTACACAGGTCTACTATACCTGAGCTAATTTAAACAGAGCCAATTCAAGAGAGTGCTGGGGACCTAAGCAAAAATTCCCAAGGGGCCCCTCTGACAACCGTTAAACATATTCATAAATAATCTGAAACCATGTAACTTTAAAGGTTGTGCTCTAAAATAGCAACAGCTCTGGTATGTTTTTACCACAATAGCCAAAACTTCACCTTTGTTCTAAGATTTGATGTCTGAGACTTATTTCAGTAATATGCGTAGTACGTGTAATATGCTCCACAGTCAAAATTTAGATCTAACTGGTCAAAGATGTCATTGAAATTTGACCACTTGTGTTTTGATGGGGTTGCAATATTTTAGGATATTATTGCGGAGTAAGGTTTGTCAGCCCCTGAGGCCCCCTAGTGGCCTTGGGGCTCCAACCGACTGCCTGCCTTGCCGGTTGACAAGCTCAGGCTCTGAATTTAAATAATTTTGTGAAGCTTGTTGCTGTTATTTTGCACCATATTAGTTATTTTCCTTCTTCGAGGACGAACCTCCCTATATCCCCTTGCAACAGTCCAGTTTCTACATGCTGCACAAATTACTTATTGTAACTGTCGACTAAATGTGTTAGCTTAACTAACAAAACTTGCATGGATATCTTTGAAAGCAAGATTGGTGGAATTTAACAATGATTAGCCTGCTGCTCTGTAGCATATTGAAAGTATCTAGAAGTTCCGATACCCCAAAAAAAAAAAAAAAAAAAGCGAATAAAAATATCAACATAAATGAGGTATTGTTATTCTGTCGTGTGTAACAGTTTTAAACTTTGAACAAATGGTGTCATACACTGACTGGATAAAAACACTGTGTTTTAAACTGTTGCTTTATGTGATATCTGTGTAAGTTACACAGAAAGAAATTCAATCTCTGTTTTACCGTGTCCTGTCGGATTTACCATCCCTGTTCCTCTTGGTTCATTGTGCTCTTTCTGGTCCCGCACAGTGGTCAGTGTCTGATTATGTGTGTGTATGTTAATCCCATAATCCACTGTACAAGATAATCCACAGCAAAGCCTACAATACACAACCTAACAGGGTGTGCTTGAGGGTGGAAAATGACCAGGATGCCAGATTATATAGCCAGCAGCAGAGTGCAAAGACAAAACTGAAGATTTTCTCTGATTTGTAAATCCGCTCATTATTAAAGTTATAATCCCCAAGATTTCAGGATTTTGGGTTGGTAGATTACAGGTGTGAAGCCTCAGCTCCAGCATACTAAAAATCAGGTGACCAAATTTGGACATGACAACACTTAAATGCATATTTAGGAGATGGCAGTGAACAATGAAATGTAACACAAAGGTATTGCCTAAATAAAACTGATTTATTTAGCCAGTTAGAGGCATTCATATCAAATTTTGTATACTACATTTCAATGAAACCAATATTAGAATAATAAAGTATTTATGAGCACATTTGAGAGGAAAATTGAGTTAGTGCAGTAGCGGTATCACAGCTAGAAGGAATTGGATTTTAGCCTTTCCTTGCCAGTCGGTTGTAAAGACAGAGCCATATATCACTCAAATATGCTGTCGCAAACTAAAATTTAAAAAACGAAAAGAAAAGGGGGCCATGTATAAACCCTTGAGGGACACCACAGGATAGATTGGCTGGGTAAAATTGCTGACGATTACTGAGAAACAGAAATGGAAGAAACTTGCTTTTTTCACTAATTACCTAAAATTTCACAACAGGGCAGTCAAACTGAAGTCATTTTTTTTGTCGATTCATGATCTGTCAGTAAAAACGAAGGGAAGTTAATGGGTGTTGTAAGTTTGTATTTAAGCCGTTGTTTTTCCCGGTGAGTGACTGACTGTGTTTGCCTGATATTAGGCATTGAACAGACAGAGTTCACTGGGAGTTTAAGAGCTTAATCACATAAACAACCACCTGCCTGTGAAATTTATACTCTGAGAGATATCGTTATGACCAAAATGAGGAAAGATACAGCTAAGACAGATAAACAGTAAACTAGATGTCAGTCAAAAGATCTCTGACATTGTTTTGGCATTTTCTTGAACTATAAGAATAGATTAGGTGTGAAACTTTAGTCCATTTACTCCAACATTGTGGTTTTAGTTAAGGATTAAAACCGTTGGCGTGTGTTTTCCCTTTTTCTGGTATTGTTTGGACAGATGGCTCAAATTTATACCCCAGAACAAAAACTCTGAAGCGTCCTTTAATCCTTTTTCCATGCACGGTTGTCCAATGTGATGTCAATGTAAACACAACACAGAGTTGATTAATGAGTTGAGTGTTTCTGAGATGGAAAATAGGTCTATGCTGTGGTGAGAAGACTACTCTTCACTCCTTAAACCACTTGAGACTTGTTTGGGGAAAAAGTGAGCGATGTTGGAAGTCTCGACTATATGTTTTCCAAGAAAAGCCACTTTGCTGCAAGTAGAGAGCTGAAATGACAGAAGCGGTGGGCTTGTTTGTGTCCTCAAACACAAACACAAATGGTCATTGTGACATTTCCAGTCGATCTGTATAGTTCAGATAACTCAGATAACGCTCCCTTACAATTTGAAGTACAGAGGCACATCCATACAGTCATAAAAATGTGGCGAAGTCCAGAGACAAGCACACAACCATTAAACAGCACACACCCATGGACAGATGTTTTTTTGCTCCCTGACCTTTTGGTATTTTTATGCCCACTTCACTTACAGACTGTGCTGCTTTGCTCTTTCCTTTAAAACAAGCCTTTGGCATTTCTCCAATGGCAGCGATTAGCTTATTTGCCAGTAAATGGACTAACTTCTGTCTGGAGAAGCATCAACACAGAAATCCAGAATATATCAACTATTAATACCCAGTAGTTAAATTTTATTGGCGTTTCTTTGTATATTGTAAAGACACTTCCACAGAGTCAAGTCGTGCGCTGATGGTCTCATTAATTCAGATTAAGTTCGCAATGATCTCAGACAGTAAACAGCTATATTTATGTTAAATTGCTTTCCATAATGACTGTGAAATAGAGGATTGAAAGGGTTCCTGGTTTAAAGCACAAACGTAAGTGGAATTTTTCCGCCTTTTGATAATTTGTGCCGTACACATATTTTAAGACAGAGAACGCAACCCACTAGATCTACACTGCTTTGACAGTTATAATACAAATATATATATATATTGCTTTTATAACCAAAAGTAATTGCTTGCATTTACCCAGAACAGGCAAATAATTGGATTAAATGAATCAATTTAAATAAATCTGCATTTCAGGCGAAGAGATTTTGCAATTAATGATGCTTCTGACTAAGCTCAGTTACACATTTCAATTCTTTTATATTTTCTCCGTCTGTTCTCCGTCACTGTCATATATGGAAAAAATGGCTAAAATGGTAAAAGGTATTTGCCCAAAGAAAAAAAAAATGTGTGCCTCATTGAAAGATGTGCAAATTACTGTTAGCTCTGTTTATAATTAGTCCTTAAATTCCTTATCCACTACCTTTCACTTCCTGTTTCCATCGCCTCTCTTATTCATTGGATCAGACGGTTCCTAAATGCTTGATTGAATGCATTTCAGTAACAAGATCGCTTATGAGTTGCATTTGTTTTGCTTGTTGTTAAAGACCTTGCTATTTTTGCTGCAATCAAATCATGATATTCAAAGGCTAATTGGGCTGTATTAAGTTTCAGAGGTGTACCAAATTTCCACTCCAAATTGGGCCAATTATTGGCTCTTCGACATAATCAGTGTCATCCTGCATCAGCCCTTACAAGGTTGATATCACCATTATCTTCTCAAATGAAAATGCAGTTGACGCCATATAGGGCTGGGCGATATGGCCTCAAATCAATAGTATGAAATATTGAGCAGTTCACTTTGATAATGATAAATGGATGATAACTACTAAGCTGCTCACCTGCTCCCACATAAACTTCTACTTCCGCTGCTGCAACTTTTGGACCGTCCACCATCTCCTCACCTGTCTTTCCCTCTTTGTTACGGACTGGATGGGGTGGAGTCACCTCTCCAACGTAAGACAGTGTCTTGAAGGGACATGAGACCATAGCCTACCTACACACATCCAGAACCAACTTTTATTTATTTATTTTTTTGACACCGAATATATTGACACGGGCAAAATGATTTCGGTTATTGTCATAAATTTCATTATCGATAAATTTTCGGTTTATCGCCCAGCCCTACCAGCATATTAAATCTAAGACTGACGGGGTTTGACTATTAAGTCTTGTGACTATAATGTATTGAATAATGCAGTTTAATCATAAAATTAATATCTAGTATGTATTTTTCAGAAATCTAAAAGTCCCTTGTGAATATTTTACTGAGTTTTTATCCGTCTGTATTTATTTGAAAAAACATTCACTCAAATTTTGTCTTATTTGTTTGCATTATTATATTGAAGGAACAGCAATGTGATATTAGCGTTATATATCAGTCAACCTGCTTTCTCAAAATAGCGGTGTCAACATTGGCCCTAGAAAAACTTCAATCAGTCAATCACTAGTTTGTATCGTAGGATCAGTGAAATCTCAGTGAGCACAATTAAGCTACTTATTTTCAACTTATTTCCTTTTACCTTACAAGAACAGCTTCTCGCTCTAAGGGGCATGTGTGAAGAGGCAGATTTTGAAAATTTCAGGTGCGGGCTCTCCTGGGTATTTTACAGCTACTCGAGAGTTTTGAAAAGAGCTCAAGTGAAAATCCTGGAAGGCATAGATGTCATGGAGCCTCAGCCTGGCATTTGTGCAGTGAACTTGGGTTAGGAAGCTGCCAAAAGCATCTATAGCATAAAGAAGTACTTTTCAAATATTAGAGAATCAACAACTGCAAAGCCGTATCATAGGAAGCCTGTAAGTTATCTTATTGGCCTGCATTAAGTGAAACATAAAAAAAAACCCTGGCAACTTCCTGTGTAAATAGTGGATGTTAATAAGATGGAAGAGAGGCTGAAGTAAGATTTATGAGACGAGGACAGGACAAAAAGGGGAAATGAGACAGGGAAGGAGGAGAGGAAGGACAAATGAGAAAGACTGAAGAGAGTGAATCAAGGAATGAAGGAGATTCAATGATAAATGAGCATCAGGAGACAATGAGAGATGGGGAGAGGAGAGGAGAGGAGAACTGGCAAGCAGAAGCAGCAGAATTAAACAGATAACAAGGATGGAGAGAGCAGATAGGCCGGCCAGACACACACACAGACAGAGGAAATCGAGAGCCGGAGCAGGGATGACATGAAACAGACAAACAGATTCCAGTTTGATATAAGAGAGGAGAGGGCTGAAAAGGCCAAAAGGGTCGGGCAGACACAGCGCCAGGCAGCTTGATTCAAGAAGCAAGAGGAATGAAAGTAGAGTACTGCGACAGACTGAGGAGGATTGTATAAGGGTTTAAAAGGGGGAAAGTGTCCCTCAGGTCATCTCTGTCAGATGTAATAAGAATCATCTGGAGCCTACTCACATGTTCTGCTCCAAATGTCTCTTTCTCTGTCTGGCTGCCTCTTTACATTTTATATCATTTTGAAAATTTATTTGAATGAGCTAACAAATATTTTTTTAAGAATAAGCTGCAAGTTGAATTGAGAAAGCTAACCGAAAAACAAGATTCGACGAAAGGCTAGCTGGTACAATCCTCAGTATTTGCGTCAGTTCTGACAGGGAGCTCTTGAAAGATGTACAATTTACAATGTCATTTAGCAGATGCTCTTATCCAAAGCGACATACATTCGAGAACAAATGGCGCAGCCTGTAGGGCCAGGCAGGGTCAAGTGTCTTGCCCAAGGATGCTTCAGCACATGGACCGCTCTGGAATCAAACCCCTGATCTTCCAATTGGTAGACAACTGACACTACCAACTGAGCCATGGCTGCAGTGCTATAAGGCTTCACCAGTGGGACACATGGTCAGTTGTGTACCTCACCATCACAGGGTGTTGTGGTTCGCTGTTCACCTTAGCAGCCCAGGTGGTGTCACCCCTCTTGAGCCACAGCCAGTCACTTGTCCTTTCAGCGGTGTTGGAGAGTTCTATGAAGGTTTGTTGGTGAGCCTGTCCCCTAACACCAACCTTCTTAAGGAGCTTTGTTGTTGTTCTGGCTACAAAGCCCCTACACCTCACCTCCGCTGGGCGCACCTTGGTCTTCCAGCCACTGTCCCTTACCTCAGCTGCGAAGTTGGAGTACCACGGCTTCTTACGTTTCAACCTACCTGAGGCCATTCAGCGTGTCCTGCCTGAGTTGTTCAAGTTGTCGGGTGTCTTTGAGTGTTACACCATTGTCCGAGGCTCTTGATGAGTTTCTCTAGGACTGTTGGGATTGGTTCATCACTGATGTGGAATTGCTCTGCTGTTAGTTGGCCTTTTAAGATGGAGATGCTGTAACTGTCTGCACACACCAAGCGCGAGTAAAATCATTAAGTCAATGCAAAGACGCGAGTAGATGCTCCTACTACTCTGGCGACGCGAATGACGCGAATCAGGTGTGAGCTGAAAATGGCGCAACTTGAGCGGATATTTGCGTCACGATAACTAATCAATACGAAGGTTGCCAGGTGACGTATGAAAACGTAGGGTTGTCCATTGGTATCTAAAATGAAAGACAAACTGGTCGTGTCGGATTACGTGGTGGATTGTAAAAAACCTTTGTCTATCACTTGATCCTGCCGGGTGAATTGGCAGGGATTACCATTGAAATCACTGTTGGCGCGCGAATGAATCGAGGTAGATGATTTTACTCGCGCTTGGTGTGAGCGCCCCATAGGATTTGCTTGGCTTGAACTCCACACTTTCAAAACTGGATGTGGTTGGAGGGAGTTTTCTGCAAATTTGATATTATAAAAGTCAACATAACCCTTAAATGGCCTTTTTTTTGTTGTTTAACGAGAATTACCCAACATATGTGAAAGTTTCTATGAGCATATCAGATTCAGAAAAGAATCTGCATGATGACAAAAAAAAAAAAACAACCCTACCAGATTTCATAGAAAGTCAAAGGCACAGCTGTGAACATAACAGAAAATTCCCAAGGCCATAAACTATCTGATTGATTCAGAGGAGCTGTAACAACCAGAGCAGTCTCAGTGGGTAAATAAAAACACCCCTGAGCTGTCACATTAAATCCTACAAGGACCATAATGCTTTGTTTGTGCACTGGAGTACGTTTAACTAATGGAGCGTGAATTCAAGGGAAAAATACAGGTTTACCTAAAGATCCAATCACTGAAAAGCAAACAAGGCACACACACTTTCTACTAACAGGTATTGGTTCCTCTCAGCCATCAGGCTTTTCAATTATGTTTTTCTGACTAAAGCTTCCATTGTTTTCTGGTCCCACAACTCAATTTTGGTCATGAGGGCGAATAAATAATTATTCTAACTCAATCACCTGTTGCTGAACTTCTCAAAATAACATCAGTGGGACCACCGTGTTGCCTCCCTCATTGTTTTCTGACTAAGCCTAGATGGTTTAGCTCAAATCTCCTCTGAAAACAGGCGATGCATACAAATAATCTTTTTCTTTGTAACTGGGATTAAGTGTCCGAGAATTTGGTCTGTGAGCAATCTCACCAAATAGCAGGCTTCTATACCCAAAGATGAGAGGAAATCTTTGTTGAAAAATTGCGTCTCTGTGGTGAACAGTAGCTGCTGAGAGCTAGGTTAATAAGATGGGGGGAAAAAAAGAGGAAACATAGAAACACTGGGAGAGTGATTGGCAGTTTTAATAGCACCATTTTACTATAGTGAATGTATAAATCATACTGACCTTGTTTATTTTTGCATCATGACTGTAAAACATTCCCATATAGATCTTGAAATTGCAGGCATGTCACACACGCTCACAACAACACGAGTGCTTGCTTTTATTTGTTGTGTAGGTGTTTTCATGTCAGCGGTTAATTATTACAATTATTATGAACAGTGCGCCATATCACACAGCGTATCATGTGTTTTTGTGTATCTGTTTGTGTGTGAAACCTGTCTCATGACCGAGTGCTGAGGCACCATGAGTCGACCTTAACAAAGAAACAAAGTCAACCCTGTTGTTGTCCTCTTTCTTTATCTGCCTCCCTCTTTCTCCTCTGCATCTCGGGGCCTTTTCTGAAAGCACACTGGCTGTTGAAAGAACTTGAATATTACAGCATGAATAATATATTTCTGCAGTGTTTATAAGTCCTCGAGCGATGTTGAACCTGCAGGAAGAAAATTAAAATATCCAGAAATGTTATGTAGTTAATGGAAGTGTTAACCTGGTCTGATTTATGAATTCGAGGTACAACAATAATCTGATTTATTGAAATCACTCAGCGCATAAATCAACCAGATCATGTCTGAGTATGCAGGAGTGATGTTTTCATCATGTGTACATATAAGAGCTATGACACTATTGACACTAATTGCAATTCGGCCTTGTTAGTGACACTCAAGCTCTACAAATAGAAGTCATCACAGCTGCATTTTCTGTGTGTGTGTGTGTGTGTGTGTGTGTGTGTGTGTGTGTGTGTGTGTGTGTGTGTGTGTGTGTGTGTGTGTGTGTGTGTGTGTGTGTGTGTGTGTGTTTTTGGAGAGAGACAGCTGTTGGTTGAACGCTGTGGTTGGAGACAACACTCCACTGTCTGCTAACACAGCTGAGCTCAGTGCACAATGTTTCACAACGCACGCGGTGAACTCGTGTGTATGTGTACGCGTGCGTCTTTCGCTCCTCACACTCAATATCCCGCTTAGTCCTCATTTATAATCCTCCATTAACTATGTAGAGTAGCACTGTGTGTTTAACTAGGCTTCCCTGTTCGGGGGTGTGCACTTTAGGCTCCTGCATATTTGTTGATTTAGTGAAAGACTCCAACTGAAGGAGGCCAAAGAGAGGGATTAGAGCAGATCATCTGGTGGGAAAGCAGTGCCCCTTTCCACCTTTTCTACCTGTTATTGTTATGACTCTAAGTAGAACTAGAAACTGAAAGACAATACATGTTTTTTGATTGTTTGTATCTCTGTATGTCGGATTTGAGTAAATTCTTTTTTTCTGCTTAAGTGAAAATAGCCCCTATAAGGAGCGCCTTTTCTAACATTTTTAGGGGCGTTATGATGCATAATTTTTCTGATTTATTTTTTTTCCTGAGACCACTGCAGTAGATAACTTTCATGCATGCCTGACTGGTGTGCAGAAACTGGTAATTTTTCAAGCATTTTGTGAGACCTTATTTTGAAGGAAAGCGTAATAATAATAATTCTCTCTTAGAAATATTACAGTTTTCATAAATAATAACCTCTGCCTAACACACCTCTGCCTTTTTTTTTAATAAAAGTTGAAAGTCAAAGGTTTAGTGTAGTTTTAGATTCATTCGCCAAATCATCAGATCATGTAGCGTCTGGTGGAAGGAGCCTGCGACTCCGACCTCCTGAACTGATACACAGCCGAACAGTTCAGGATTCAGTTCAGATCATAGCTTCTGGGACCTGGAGACGAGAGTGTTTGGCTGTGTTGCTTTGGCAAACAGGTTTGTAAAAATGAACTTGTTTATAAGTCATGATGTTTTAAGTGTACTGTCCTGTGGTATGCTATTTATCAGGTCTGCTTGGTAAATTAGGCTCAGTGAGTGATTAGTTCACTGAACGTTTAGAACAGGGGTGTCAAAGTCAAATGGACGGAGGGCCAAATAAAAAATTTAGCTACAAGCCGAGGGCCGGACTGATAAAATGTTCATTGAAAATTTTTTAAATGACGCATATAGTCTAGTGAACCTAACTGAACCTACTGAAAACCTAACAAATATATTCCAATATGATCAGATAAATAAAGCAATATTTTCTTATGGCTCTGTCAGTAATCTTTAATTTTCAACAGACACAAAAGACAAATTTCCTTTATATAAAAATCCCCATAACATGAACATTAAATGAAAGAAACCGGTATTATTCAAGGCACCATCAGTAGCCTATATTTTCTATTTTAGCAAAAGTGGGCTAAATTTACTTCAAAGAAAAAAATAGTAATAGCAATTTTCTATCATCCACTCAACTGAAATATTTTTAAAATATAATTGGATTGAAATACAATAAAAACGTGTTTCGTTTCATAATGTCGTCTCAGATTATACTCTTTCAGTACCGCCACACTTTCTCCACACAGAAGACACACAGGTTTTCCGGCTACCTCCGTGAACATATACTCCGACTCCCACCTTGTTTGAAACCCCCGGTTCTCAGTGTCCACCTTCCGTTTTGCCATTTTTGATGGGTATCTGAAAGTTAATTTTACTGTTATGCTGACGACTGCTGTGCTAATAAATATTGAAATGAAGCAGCCTACTGCTCGGTGCGTCACTGTTGCATTGTGGGAAATGTAGTATTGGTGCGTCTAAAAGATCTGCGGGCTGCCGGCTTGCTGCGGTCTGCGGGCCGGTTCTAATAATAAATCAAGATCATCCCAGGGGCCGTAAAAAACCTTCTCGCGGGCCGGATGTGGCCCGCGGGCCTTGACTCTGACATATGTGGTTTAGAAGAATTCACCTTTCCCTCGCAAACAGCTGCAATGATAGGATACTGCGGGTTTAATGCACTATTTGTTACATGCTGTGTCTTATTGTATGCAAGTTGTTGTGGTGTCATTTTAGCGGTTAAAAAAAAAGAAGGTAGTTTTGTCCAACAAAAATGATTCCAGAGAGTGTAGTTCAATGCATGATTCGTTCACCAAAGGATTCAGGTGTCGTTGCATGCGGTCCCTTGTTCGCCGGCTGCTTGACTGGCAATACTGTTCCTCACTTCAGCTCAACTTAAGTGAGAAACGAACAGATCACTGGAGGAAGTGATTCGGTTCAGTACGTTCACTTAAAAGATTTGGTTCTTTTGAACGAATCGTTTGTGAATGACACAACACTAGCAGTAACCAAGATGTGTAATTTTTATGGCCTCATACTAAGACAATGAGCTCTGCAACAACATTATATAGGTGTCCTAGTCAGTATGTCGACATTCGCAGTTAAGTTGAGCTAGAGTTAACGCTCGATTAGGCAGTTTAACTGGACTGATATCCTTATCCCAGTTTACATGCACTGGACAAAAATTAAATTATTTATAGAAGCAAGATTGCCTCCGCTACAGTAGATGGCGACATGCCCCCATTTCAGCTCACTGCTATCAGGTCGTCGCCTTGTTTTTCGTATTATATATCTAAACAGTCGGCAAAACATGTTAGCTAGAAGCTAACCAGATATATGTTAAACCATGAAAACACTGTCACCTCTATACAGCTCTGTATTAGTCTTTTTTTAAGGTCCTTTCTTTATCTGTTGAGATCATGCTGTTCAACTTCTGGCTTAAAGCCCGACATCTTACAATAACTACATGTCAACATCGTAGTAGCATATATACTCATGTAATTAATTTCTAAAGTTTGTCCACAGCTCCATTCATTTTGCTGTAGGAGGCAGGGTTATACTGCCAGTTATAGGGTTACAGGGTTATACTACCTATATTGCAACCCGTCACCAGAGGGTGCTGTTTTTGAGGCTTCACCCAGCAAGGAGGCAGATAACATCCATCCTATATACAGTCTAAGGTCCCTCCTGATTCTCTATGGAGACTGGAACATTTATGATTTTTATCTAAGCAGAGGACTTTGGACCACTGAGCAGGTTATGTCCAGTTCTCTTTCTCACAAGGCACTGCTGATGTTGATCTCAGGAATGTGATGGCCATCTCGAGTTCACTTCCTTGTGACATCAGAGTTGATAGGAAGAAACTGTGCATCAACTTTACATCAAAAGCCAGTCTTTTCATGACCTGTGGTGGTTTACCCTCCCTAGTCAGCTGTCTTTCCCATGATTGTCGTTGCACTTAAAGATACATTCATTTTATTCGAATTGATCGGGATTACCTCCATCTCAAAACTGTTCAAGTTAATTCATTATTGACTACAATTGAAGAATACTTGAAAGAAAATAAAGATAATACATGGTCTAAAATATGAATATTTATGATGGACTTCTCTGCCCTACATATTACCATGACCCTCACCTTTCGATAACCATCCACCCCACTTACCACCTGGATCTATAATCCACACTCAATCTTCACCCTGACCTCTTTTTTAAGGCCTGAATCTGAATGGACTTTTCTCTACTCTTTGGGGTTTTTCGGCCTTTGATAAAACCGTTATGAGATTCATAAATAACACAGATACAAGCAGTAGCAGGCAGCAGCTGCTAGCTACTCAACAGCTATTATTCAAGCCACAGTGACAGGGGGAGGTGGAGCCCAGACCCCCCCCTCTCCCCCGGCCACACAAACACTCACGCATACAGAAAACACACTTGCACTAGTGTCTGCTGTCTCCTCACAAATACTGCTCCCTTTTTCTCTCTTCCAAGCATGCTCAGTCTGTCTTTTTCTTGGATATATATATACGCTTAGTTACACACATCTGCTCTGTCCCCTTTCACACACACACACACACATAAATCCCTCCTCCGCTTTCCCCCACTCCACACACAAAAAATTTACACTCTTTTTGTCTTTTTGTCTCCCACATGCACACACACAACATCTCGTCTCCCATTTTCTCGCAGTCTCGCTCCTCTCTCTCTCTCTCTCTCTCTCTCTCTCTCTCTCTCTCTCTCTGACACACACGCACACACCCCTCCTCCCCGTGTCAGTGCAAAGTAGAGCGAGAGCAAGGAACCGCACGTCCCTTTTTATCGTCCGCTGACTTGTTCAGTCGTCTTGCAAACGGGAGGGAAAAGGAGAGAGGGTTTTTTTTTTTTTTCCCAGTCGCCTCCATCCTCACCAGGGTCTGCCCGTCCGTTGAGGCAAAGTGACACAAACGAGGGAGTCAGGGAGATAACGAGTGGGAGGACTCTCGCTCCATTTGCCGGTCTTTGAACAAGCGGGGTAACATTGGAGAGAGGGGGACAGGAGGAGAGGGAAGGAAGGAGGCGCCATGGGTCAACTGTGCTGCTTCCCGTTCTCTCAGGCAGAGGAGAAAATCAGTGAGTGTCTCCTGCTCCTGGCTTCATGTGTGGGTGTTTGTGTTGTTGGAGAAACCAATTGGATTGATGTACTCAGTGGTGCTGTCTATTCAGAGGCACCGTGTGCATGCAGAGTAGGGATATACTGTACACTGTGTGTGTGTGTGGCTTTGTGTCAGCTGTCTGTGTGTCTTTTCACAGCAACATCCCTGATTCTCTGTGACCTACAGATAAGCAAGGAGGGGTTTTGCGATCATGCATATCCTCTCGTGTTATAATATTGGATTCATTTATAGAGTGACAGTCATATTCCTGCTGTAAACTCTTAATTCATCCATCCTTCTTTGGCAGCTCAGTCTGGCTGGTGATTTATGAGCTTCTGCAACAAGATGAAATTGTTGCCTTGTTAGGAGTTACTCATGAGTGTCCCTACAGTCTTCTTACTGCAAATACTGTCAGAACTAAACTGAAATCGTCTTCTTTCACCTCGCACTAAAGATATCTGACACTACTCTTAGATGTTAAAACACTAAGAGATGTTTGGAGGTCATGCGCCTGTGCTGTAACATTAGTTTGGGTGTGCTAACTTGCACTTTCATTTTCTTCCTCGCTGGATTTTTAATTCAATGCTGAGTGGCTAAAAACCTCGAAGAAGGCTGTGAAGTGAATGTAAATCCATGATCCGTACGTGCAACAAATTGACTCATAAATCAAAATGTCACTGCATTATTAAACCTTCAATCGGGCATCTTTGGTTTTCAGATACCTGTATTTTTGAAGTCTTGGACAGATTGATATTTATGATACAATATGAGAAGATAGGATTGACCTTTTGGGGGAATTTGTATTGGTCTCAAGACCTGCACATACATCCAGTGATTCGACTCTGCTATAGATTTATGTGCTGGCATTACAATCAGTGCATCATTACACGAGTTGTTGTTGATAAGGTTTCCATGCAACTGTGTGTGCCATGAACTTTGGCAGCCAAAGCTGAGCAGACCATGCTGAAATCGGAGCTAGCAAATGATAAAAATCACTGAGCATATACCCACTGATGAAGTGGCAGTCACTCTCAAAGTTTGAAGCCATCCAGCTCAAACAAGGGTATTTTGCAAAGTGCCCACCATAGTTTTGGTTCAGTGCTACCAAGCAGAACTGTCACAGTCGGCACAGTCCACCAACCCGCAATCTCAGAACCCTTTGGCAATCATCCGACCAATACATTTCCTCTGGGAGTGACAGCCAACTTTTGGGGTTCTTGCTGGACGAAGCAGTTGGCAGTAGAGGACTTCCTGTCTGGTATACGGTCCAAAGAGCAGCTTTAAAAAAGTGAGAATTGATTTAGCGTTGAGTTTGGTGTCTGTTTTGAAGACATTAACTCGGATTTACTTTTACTCAGCAACAACTGATCCAGCTGCACTCTTATTAACAGTAGGATAAAGTCATGTCTTTGTTTGTATTTTACAGCTTAGTGATTGCTGTTGTGGCCTTCGAGCTAAGAGATCCTATATGGAAATATGCACACCTAGATAATTTGCTTCGATCATCATTTCCAAGGGTTTTTTATTCCTGGGTTATAGATGGTTAATTTGTGATCATTTTAGAAGTCAAACCACTGGACATAAGATAATTCCTACCTCAATGTTTTTACATCATCTAAGATTGGACTCAAGTTATTCTCTAAACTAGAAGCTATAACAAAAAAATAACATGGTAATACAAGTACAGCTTCACCAGATTAATGTGAAAACAGCCTTCTAGTGTTAAATTCTGCACATTTTTCTGCTCAGGCTTCACAGTTTAGTGACAATAAGCATAACACATTTCTGAGTGGACGAGGGGGGGGACCTTTGACTTGTGAACAGCTCCTCGTGGATTATCACACCACTCTACTTCGACCATGTGCAACAGATAAGCCAGATAACTCCACATCTAGGATCAACCACGACATTCTCTGGATGACTGCGGTCTGGCATTCACTCTTATCTAACACGTGTGGTTGCAGCACATCAGCAGTCAGTTAGGGTGATTAAACATTTGATAAACAAATAGTAGAAAATTTCCACAAAGGTTGAAGCAAAGTAGCTGCTCTGATTTAGCTAACGTAGTATGAAATGAGGTCTAGTGGATGATTACTGGTGCAGCGTGTGGTTTGATTACATCTGTAAGACGCCGTTCTCTCTCTCATTGTCAGCTTTAATTTGGTTTTGGTGCTTTACAATTTGATGGAGAAGAGTTTTTTCAAGCCTGCAATTATTTTTAAAGTCTATCATCATTTCAGGGGGATTTCCAGTAGGGTTGAGCGATAAGTTATTGTTCACGATTTATTGTCAGAGAAATCCTCCATGATAAATATTTGCCATCTCATGATAAATACGATAAATGCAAGTTTGATGACCTAAGAGTGAGAGATTGACTCTTAGCCATAGCCCACATAGAGCAGAATAACAAACAAATATGGCTGAAGGTGGTGAAGAGGACGCTTCTGAGCAGCTCGTTACTAAATGAGGCTCCACATGAGGGATTTCCTTCAAGATTGGGGCTTATATGTTTTCAACAAATGTTGAAAATGTTTTCACATTTGAGACTTGTTTGATGTCATTTGTTTTGTCAATAACCAAACACTCAAACTTGCGATTAAGTATCTTATTTGACTAATCCAACTGGAATTCTGAAGACAAAATGAGTCAAGAATATAAATTGGAATTATGATATTTTTTATCTGGATTTTTATCGTTATCGCCAGAATGGCAAATCGATACAGCACAGTATTGCGATATTTTGTTTGGTGATATATCGTATCGTCTCATTTACCAAATACAGATTTTTCAAATTAATTGCTAATATGAAGTAAAATCTATGCTAATGGAAAAATAAAATCAATTGTCGAGTGAAGTTGGCAGAGGTGATATAGAGTAGGAGAAAGCTAGTAAGACAAATGTATATGTAAGATTTGCAAGATGTGCTACATGAAAATAAAATACAGCATAAATGAGACAAACATAAAGGAAAGCCAAATACTAAATTAGCAAAACAGCTGAAAAATTGTATGAATTGCAGTATATTATATTGTAATACTCACTGTTTCGCAAAATGTTAAAAAATCGCAATAATATCGTATCGTGATAACTTTGTAACTAGTGGTTCCCACCCCTACCCATATTGCCCATCCCTAATTTCCACTCACACAGACTCAAACTAATCTACATCACTGAGTATCAATTTATCTGTTACCTGTTCAGCAAAATATTAAAATCAGACTCATAAGAAAGAAACATAAGTGACTTATTATCGCCACCACCTACCTAAAGGTTTAATGATTAAACATTATCACAAAGTCCTAAAATCATCCTGTGATTTATGGCTCATACAGCATACTTATGTGCTGCACATAAGGTCTCTATCACACGCGTCATCCAGTCATAAATTCAGACTTTGACACCAGTCGAAGGCCAGTTCTAAAAAAAACACTAGTGGTGAGTGTGTGGGTGAATTTGTGCTCCTTTATAGCACTGCACTGATAAAGACAGAACATTTTAACTGCAGCTTCTCCACATATTTTCATGTGCACTATCTTCCTCCTCCTCCCTGTTTCTCTTCCTTCCCCCTGTGTTTTTTCTCCATGTCCCTCTCTCTCTCTCTCTCTCTCTTCCCCTTGCTTGCAGCTGCACTGATATAAACTGTGGAGCTACTGTGCCCTAGTTCTGAGCAGAGCTAGAGATAGAGGGAGAGAGGGGAAAGAGCGATGCAGAGAAAGAAGACTAATGTGGGGAAAAAGAGAGAGGCAGGAATGGGCGTAAAGAAGAACGATGAATTCAAGACAAAGAAAGTTGAGGGAGCTGGAGGAATGAGCTTAGGTTAGGCGCCTCTCCTGGGATGTGGTACCAGTCGCCCTCGCGAGCGCGGCAAGATGTGGGGGTGTGCAGTTAGTGAATTCAACCATGACCGATACGACAAGGTGTCACACAGTGGTGTTTGCTGTCACCGCAGGTGCTACACTCGCCCAGACTCACACACAGCCTGTCACAGCAGACTATTTCAGACGCACATGCACTTACATATACCCCCATACAAATATTGTCTTTGTATGAAATAGAGATGCACCAATCCATTTTTTTTCCAATCCAATCCAATCCAATATCCGATACCTGGGCCGAGCGAACCGGCCAATATCCGATACCGATCCAATACTACTGTTGAATGAATGAACTGTATACCTTTCCCTGTGAGTGAAGGCATCAAGCTTGAGACTAGCCTTGTTAAAAAAAATAACAAGTTAACAAATATAAAGTTACTTTTTATTTATTAACAAATAACAAATTTCACATTAGCACACAGCAAAAAGAAGTAAGACTTCCATCTGTTAAAAAATAAATTAATGAAAAGAAATAGAAACTGAATTGAAATGCTGTATCGCCATCATTCATCCGATATTCGATCAAGTTAATTTGTCAGTATCAGAACCGATATCCAATCCAAATATCGGAAACACATAAAACTGATAAATTGTGCTTGCAGGATGAGGTTCATGCTTGACCTTTTCAGACTTTTTCCGGCCTGCACATACAGTAGTTCATGTAGATGTGTGATCACAGCAGTCACAGGAACTTTCACATGGAGTGAGCACTTCACATTGATCTGAGTTTATCTGCTTCTAGTTATTTACTGATTGCCTCAACCTTAAAGATAGAAACCCAGTTCTATTCAGGACCCACTTTCCCTTATTTTAGAGCCCAAAAATCAGATAGTGTTGTGGGTTCGACAAGATAACAGACCCAGAGGAAAAGACAGCCGAGCCAAAGTGCACTTTCTAATTAATTTACTTTATCGGCTACCCTTTAAAAAAAATAAAGGCTGATACAGATAGTTGACCAAATGCCAAATGTCGGCCCTATCAGCCAATTCCACTATCCAGTCTGCCCCTAATTTGGTTGATTGCTAATCCTGTTTCTGATGTGTTTTTCATTCCCTTTTAGTAAATCTTTTTTTCGTTTTTCGTTTTAAGCCAGGAAGTTTGATGCACAACAATCACTGCATGTGCTCCTCTTTATAAAATAGCTACAGAATGCGTGTCTCTGAGAAGGTGTTACACTCGCACGCTCCTGACATTTTCTCTCACATTTGACCTTGACACCGGATAGCACCAACACTTTTCATGCCAGTGTGTTTTCAACAGTTTTGACTTTTCCTGCCCAAACAGATCAACTCCTCTTAGTACTAAATATCCAGCTTTAAGCTAATGCAACACAACAGTTTCATACAGTTTAGGTTACTGACCTCTATTAATGGACGTTTATTTGCTTGAGGCAAATGCTTCTCGACAGTCGAAATACCTCTCCATATCCTCTCATACAGATAACAGGTTTTTTACAGTGAATCTGTTTTTTAATTCACATGTCGAGTGTGCCACTATTCTCTTTAAATGAATATGGAACCAAACAGCACCATTTCTTCCAAAGCGTTGTTATGATTTGCACTAAACCTTTAGTTCAACTCTCGCTACGATGCACTTTACCCCTGTAATGACTCAGAGACAGGCAGCTTTACCTCTCGCATAGTGACACAGCTTGAAGGGATAAGCCTGAATGGAGGGTGACTCGCCCTCTGCATGAGCCGCTCACCTGCGTTTATCTACAGGGTAGCAACTGGGAAAAAAAAATGACCTTGGCAAGAGGAGAAGAGTGTGTCCTTTTAGCTCCTTAGAGCTCCTTTTTGCCGCAGTTGCAACAACAAGAGAAAGTTTTAGTAATGTAGCGTCTTATGTGTGACAGGTTAAAAGATACGAGCACAAAGGGAGTGCTGGCAGAGGCAGCAGAGACCACATGTGAGGAGGAGGGAGAGCAGAGCTGCGAGGAAGAGGAGGGGAGGAGAGGATGCACGTAGAGCTGCTTAATTCATCCCTTTTTCTCCCATTGATTCCCCTCTGCCAGCTTCCCTTCTTTCAGTATAGCACCTCTCCGTGTCAACTCTTTCTTTCACCATCTCTGACCAGGAAATGCAAAGAAACCTTGATTTTCAGAGCATGAACAAAGGGTGTAAATATTTCAGAGGTCTGCATGCATATGCGTAAATGTGGATGTGACAGCAAAATGCAGCTCAGTGAGCTCGATCGCTGAGCAGAAAATGGCAAACTTGTGCAGAGAAAGACGACACAGCTTGGAGGAAAGGGGAGGAGAAACAGATATTTTTTAATGAGGAGATATTATAGAATTTTTTTTCTTCCAGTGCTAAAATCAGTAAGAAACATTAACCATCTTGACAGTGCTCAGCGCTAAGTTTCAGTATTGTTTTTACTCAACTAGCCTTAGAGGAACAATCATGTGATTTCTTGGGTATCTTCCTCCTAGCCACCTCCTGAAACCACAACATATCACATTTAGTCACAGCAGGTCTGTACAGAGCTGAACTGAGAGCGTAAAGTCATGCCTTGTTTTGCTTTTGTAAGGTTAGCGAACAGCCTGAGATGTGACCTGGAGAAAAAGAGAAAAAAAGGGGCTAATCAAATATGTTTTACAGCCCTTTGTCCTCCCACTCTTGAAATATCAGGGGCTTTTTTTTTTTTTCATCTTCTATCCGCCGGTGGTGAAAGATTTGTCCAGCTGCACCACTTCAATGTTTCCACTCATATTAACATCTCTGAGCCTCATGTTGGTAGCTCTTTTTGTCTAAAACTTGTTTATGTCTTTAGTCTAGACTGAATTATGTTGAGACCTTAAAATTAGGTGAGGACAATCATCGTCTTCATAAGATAAAGCTGGTCAAGTTTGCAAATCAAAACTTGAATTCCTTAATGAACAACTTGGCAACTCTTTGATTTGTATTGAAATATTTCCTGAACACCTAACCTCGATCCCCACATTCCTCAATCTGCTCTCCCCACTCATGCTTTTTGAAGGATGCTTTGTAATCAGGGATGTGTGTTAAGACTTCATTATCAAACATCGTCACCTTTACTACTTTACACCACAATTACGACTCAAATAATCAGGTTCCTCAGACTCAGTGTGAATTAGATACCATTCTGATCAACTCAATGCCGCGCTTAACCACTGTAGATTCACTCATGTATTATATGCTTTGGTTGATCATCAGTCTTTAGGAGACATCGTTGTTACTCTCTTATTCACAAAGACCTTGAGATCTCGCCGTTTCCTCATGTTCTTTCTTGTGTTTTTTTTCGCTGCCTGACAACAATCACATCCAACAGTTTTCTCTGTGCTGCTTTGTTGTTCAGTAGATGTAACATAAGAAATGAACTTAAGTTGGCGTACATTGATTTCATTTATCATATGGACCCTAAATATAAGACGACTTCCACCAAACAATTTGTCCAATAATTTCGTGTCTGCCGGAAAACTGCGAGTGAAACCAGCAGTCACCAGAAAATACCAGCAAATGTCAACTCTCATCTTTAGGCTGTACTTTGGTGTCAAAAAAATTAAATAAAAGTCGATTTTGGATGTGTGTTGGTAGGCTATGGTCTCATGTCCCTTTAAGACACTGTCCTACAGTACAGGCCAAAAGTTTGGACACACCTTCTCATTCAATGCATTTTCTTTGTTTTCATTACTATTTAAATTATAGATTCTCAAAACTATGAATGAACACATGTGGAATCATGTGCTTAAGAAAAAAGTGTGAAATAACTGAAACCATGTTTTATATTTTAGATTTCTCAAAGTAGCCACCCTTTGCTTTTTTGATAGCGCTGCAAACTTTAGCTGTTCTCTCAATGAGCTTCATGAGGTAGTCACCTGAAATGGTTTTTACTTCACAGGAGTGCCTGAAGTAACCCTGACAAGGTACTTCTGTCATCAAGAGCAAAGGGTGGCTATTTTAAAGAAACTAGAATATAAAACATGTTTTCAGTTATTTCACACTTTTTTTATAAGTACAAAATTCTACATGTGTTCATTCATAGTTTTAATGCCTTCACTGATAATCTACAATGTAAATATTCATATAAAAAAATAAAGAAAAGACATTGAATGAGAGGGTGTGTCCAAACTTTTGGCCTGTACTGTATGTCAAAGATGTGACTCCACCCCATCCAGTCCATAACAAAGAGGCAAAGACAGGTGAGGAGATGGAGGACGGTTCAAAAGTTGTGGCAGCGGCTGAAGTAGACAAAGTTAATGTGGGAGGGAGTGAGCAGCTTGTGGAGTAGTTATTGTCCATTTATCACGATCGAGGTGAACTGCTCAATATATCGTGATATTGATTTGAGGCCATATCGCCCAGCTCTAGTCTTAGCATCAACATTATACAGGCAAGATGTATTGCTATCAAAATTCTTGCTATTTCACGTCCTCACACAGCCTTAATTCCTCCGTAATTCCCATCATTCTCATCATTTTACTTTGAAGGCTTGAGTGTGAAAAAAAGCTTTGACAAATTTCAACCCTCAATGGATGAATTTATCAGCTACCAAACTGTCAATTAGCGCTCTAGTGGAGGGGGACAGACTCATCCACTTCGAGGCACCAAAACCCTGCATGCCATTGTTCCGGCACAAAGGAGAGATTGTCAGAAATGTAATTATTTTCCTCTGTAGCAGAATTTAAAAAATGTAGGAAAATTAGGCCACATTCCAAGGAGGATGTCGAAAAAATCATCTATTCTCCAGCTTATTCATGCATGTCCTTCTGATGCACCTGTTTCCTCAAGTAATGCAATTTTTATTTCTCAAAAGGATTTTCACAGCAAGTCCCCAACTCGAATGAAACTATCAAGGATACAGCAATAAACTTGTAAATGTTGTTAACAAGGCAGAGTCTATGGCATTTCCTCAGGAAACTACTCCACCATCAGCTCTCTGCAGCCTCTGAATAACCCTTGTTGCGTGTCTTACTTCTTCTATGTCCTTCCTCATGTTTCCCCCTCACCCTGCCTATCTGTCCTTAAATGCCCCCTTTTACTTAGAGTTCCTCCCTATTTGAGAAACTCATTGAGAAACAGCACCAGTGCAGTCTACCCCTTCATTTTGTCCCACTTCTCCTCTGTGGTTTGCTTTGTTTTCTTGTCTGTTATGCTGCAATTTTAGGAAATCAGTATTCTGGATTGAGAATGAGTTCATCACAGCAGTGGACCGCTAACCTGCATGTAAACATGGCCTGTAATGAGATCTGTTAGTTTGCAGGAAAGTTTCAAGTTAGGATGTTGAAAGGTTGTTACACAGCACAGAGAAAACCACAGCAGAGCATTGCCAAGGAGAGAGCAAAGCCAAGAACAGCAGAGCAGAGCAGAGAGATTACAGTGAGAATGAAATGTAAACAGAGCTAACCGTCGTAGATCCACACTTGTTAATAGACATTTAACAGACTCCTCGCTCACAGACATTACACTTAAAATCCTCTAAAACAGCATCTGTACGCCAACAATCTTTAAAACAACTGAGTGAGTAGAGGAACTGCAACATATTTTTAGACACACTGGAAACAGAGACAGAGGAAGCCAAACTAGAAACCTTTAACACACCAAGTTTATTGCCAACAACAGCGCTGTTGCACCACTCCAACCCCTGAAATTGTATTTGAGGAAGCAACCCACTCCGACTGTTTATTTTGTACAACTTAAAGTGTTCTTAGTGGTCTTTAAATTGTGCGGGTTTTAGCCAAAATCACAATACCTTTGTCATTTTCAAGGGCTTTTCTTCTGCAGAGCTCCAGTAGCTCATTAGTAATTTGCCTGCACACTCCTCTTTACACTAGCTTGTAGCCTAACATTGCAGGTGCAGTAGAAGTGACAGGTAATATAGGAGCTATTCAACGCTCAAACACTAATATCTTTGGGGGTATGATGAAAACTAATATAACTAGCTTTCTTACGATAATTGCAATCCTTGCAAGATGCTTGTTCCAGGGTCTGGCCTGCAGAGCGGGGGCTCGGGGGGCGGAGCTTGAAATTGTGATGTAGAAAATCCTACTGTGTCTGGTTCACAGCGCTTTAAATGCATAAATACTCAGAAATGCAATTTTGCACTTAGTTTTCTCATGATGCGTCCTCTAGCATCAGAAAAATGCCTTATGAACATAAAAACAAAAGAAACATGATTTTCATCGGAGTGGGTCTTTGTTAATCGAAGTTATTCCTCATTTGTATAGTACTGGAGATTCCAACTGGTACACATGAGTTGCCTTCTTTTACAAACATGGGAAGTATTAAGACTATTACACACATAATTACCATCAGCTGAATGTCTGCTATCCACCAGCTTGTTGCCTACTTGACTCAGTTAAAGCGAATAATTCTGATCGTAGTGTAAGCTTTATTTGCATTTGGATGTCACATGTTATGTGGGATAGAAATTGCATAATCTTTAATGTGGCCCTAATGCTTCGCCATAGTCTTTCATTACGCTTGCTGAAATTTCCATGAATTACACTCATTTAACAGGTTGTGACGTTGATTTAGATGTTTCTAATATCAGGAGCAGGGTCATAATGTTTGGCGATTGTTTGTTTTGCCGATTCATGCAGTTTACAGGACAACAGCTCCTTGTCATTTTCTCTCTCCGTTGACTCCGCTAGTAAACAAATAATAAATGTCCCACTTTCTGCCCCAAGGCTGCGCGTGCATACCTGCGATGACGTTGCACAGAAACCCGTCTATTGGACACTGTGTTCGTTATATTGTCAACTTGAATATATCTCAAATGAAGCCAGTGTAGGATTGAGAAAACACTGATTTGGACACAGCCTTTAGATTACACATCACTGCTATCAGAACTTTCATCTGCTGAGTTGCAATAAATGGCGAAAACACTGATTTGGACACAGCCTTTAGATTACACATCACTGCTATCAGAACTTTCATCTGCTGAGTTGCAATAAATGGCCGTAAACAATGAGATCTATCAATATTTACAGCTTTACTAATACTAGAAGTCTTCAACTCGAAGCCCTAAGGGTGTCTGTAAACACTGCAGTGCTGTGAGCCAAGTGTTATCATTGACATGCTATCATGCTAACAGTTAGCAATGCTGTATTTGTAACTTTTATTAATAATAATGTCAATAATGAAGGCAAAACACTTCAATACTCACTGGGAATTAAAAGACAATTCATCTTTTAGTTGATTAATCATATAGTTGATTAATTTGCACACAGAGAAAGACCCATTAAGTGACTGTCGCTGTAGATATGCTAGATTGATATGACAGAGAAGATTAAAATCTAGATATGCTCATGTCACCTTGCAGAAAATTGGTCTTGACATAATTTTTGCTCATTTTTTCACAGATGTTCTGCCACACTATTTGACCTGCAGCTTTGCTTTCTTTTTGTGTTATTTCCCAGTGGTTAGCAAACAGCTCTCAGATGCTACTGCATCAGGCATATGTATTTCATTATGAATAGGGATTTGGAAAAGTAACTGAGTGAGAAAACCATATTTCCAAGATATGATAATAAACAAACATGCTTTTAATCAATAATATATTTTAAAAAAAATCACAATTTACATTAGAATTTTGTTATTAATTGACCAAACTTCGTTTCAGTTATGTCAGTTTGTGAGTTTTTGCTATTAAGCACGTTCCCAATCTCAAAACCTATCATTAATCATTTCCCACTTTGAAGTAATTTGAGAATAAACCAGTATTATGCAAATTACTTCAGCCAAGACATCCTTTTTAATTACTGCAATTATGTCTACAATGTAAACGCTGTCATTTCGGTCTATTGTAGCCATTAGGATGAAGCCTGTTCATACTCTACTTTTGCTTACCTCAGGAGTATGAGTAAAGAAACCTTGTTGTTATGCTGTACTTACAATTTGAAGAAATTACAATCACAATGCAGACTAGCCAGGAAATGCGGCTGCTGATGAGCTTTTGTTACACAGCGTGGAGCCGAATCGTGTCTGAAGGTGATATTTTGATCTAGGACAGTTTGCACTTACTTGAAAATATCAGTTTAAAGAGACGAGTGAGTTATTGTTAGATTATTGTGAGAACGGTTTGCAATTCTGTATGCTTTTGCTTCCCAGCACTGATTGTTTGTTCTGCATAAGCCAGAGCTTGCTGGTACATGATTGGGCTAAAGCTGTGAAGACAGTTATGAATTATGATCAGTTTTGCAGGTTTTGCACAGGAAGAAAAGAAAATGATACAATCATCAGATTGTTCTTGAAGTAGATTTCTGCTTCCCTGTAGTGATTTTGTTTGTCTTCTATTGGTGATAAAAGATGTGACAAGCCAACAAGTCTGTCGTTGTTTGATAAATCAAGTAACTGATTGCTTCAGGGGCTTTTATCGGCAGATTGAGCTGTAAGAGAAATGCTGCAGTCTGGACCAATCAACATGTAACAACTAGAACAGTGCAAAACACAACCTAGCATAGTTTTCTTGTTGGACAGAAGACAAGACTTTCTGCGCTGATCTCATTACCACTACAGGTTTAACAAGAATCTACTAATTGGCTTTGTTTGCTGCATGTGGGCTAAGAGGTTTAGTTTGGCTGCGTTTGAATTAACTACACTGTGAGAGTGAGACACAGTGAAAGAAATATAACGTCAAATATTTTCTGTCAAATAGGCGCTTCTGTATTTTAAGCTCTTAGCTCAGCGACAGCTTCTTCTCCCGCTGGTTTTCTCTTCCTGTTTTCGACATACAGAATCCCGAGACAGAGAGGGAGACATGAAAAGTGATACTGGAAAAAACGGGTCTCGAGACTCACCAATCAATATATGTAGGAAAGTTGAGCCGGGGAGAAAGACGCAGAGAGGCGGAGACGTGAGACAGAAGGGAACGAGGGAGGAGATAAGAAGGTTGAGTGTGAAGAAAAAGTCAAATAAACGTGAAAGAAGGACGATGATACTTGAAAACGAGACGGAATGAAACCTGATGGAAGTCAGTACAATCTCCTGTGCTGTTAAAAGTTGAAGAGCCTGTCTGGTTCTCAGCCCGTCACCATGACAACGCTGCTGGCAAAAAGAGAGAGAGGGAAAGAGAGATAGAAAGACGGCGATTGAATAGGAGAAATAAACACCGAAAAAAGGTGGAGAAGAACTCTAGGATGTTAAAGCTCTGAAGAAGTGTGTGCACATGTGTTGGATATGTTGGAGTGCGTGAGACGGTATCTTTGGGTCTGTCAGCCTCTGTCAGTAGCAATGAAATCAGTCAGCTTATCAGTGTGTGTGTAAGGGGTACAAAGGGCAGCTTTATGGCCACCATCAGAAAGGCCTTCATTTGGTCAGGCCAAGATTGAATAGGCTGATAGCAACTCTCGCCCATCATAACACGCACCTCTTTAAAAAGAGCCGCACAGACACCAAACAGACCTTTGACAAGCTGAGGTGTGTTTATGTCGGGGAAAACTCATCAGCCAGTACAATGGAGGAAAAAAATGGGGGAGGTAGACGTCATGTGCCATCAATCTTTTCATCGTAAAACCATCCAAGCGTTCTTTTTATAGAGCTCTGCCTCGTCTCAAACGAACATTTCTGCCTCTTTGCGTTTCATTTTGGTCTTCTCTGTGAAACGTTGAAAAAAATGATGTTTCTGACCAAATCTAACAGTTTATTTAACAAGATTTATTCAGTGGTTGATGTGAAGGTTACACAGTTCTTCTGAGTGGGGATGATTTAATCCAAACAAAGGTTAAAGTTCCCCCCCGATCATTTTTTTAACTATTTAAAGTGTTCTTGGTGGTCTTTAAATTGTGATAATACAAAAAATCACATTACCTGTGTCATTTTCAATGGCTTTTCTTCTGCAGAGCTCTCGTAGATCATTAGCTTCTAAGTCGTGGGCAGAGACACGTCTTCACACGTCTTCACGTTAGCTTGCAGCAGGGGCGGACTGGGACCATAATTCAGGCCAAGAGTTTGACTCCATCCAGGCCAGGCCAATACACACTGACGCAGAAATGCCGACACCGGAGTAAAGTTTTGATCATTTGAAGCAAGATTTAGTGAATGTAATGCTAATATGAAGAATTCAACATTGGCAACATAACTGCAAATTAAATATGAAGTAATTTGACAGGTGCTTTATAGCCTACTGAACTAGATTTTACAGAAAGATATTTGTCATGGTTATAAAAACTCCATATTAGTCATGCCTTTAACCATTTAACTAATTTAAACTAAGAATGTAGTCTACCACATCGCTCTTGTATTATAATAAAATGTTGTTTAGAAAAAGTCAAAGTTCTCGAGAGGCATAAAACTTGGATTAGCATGCACCGCTAGCATCGTAGCCGTCTCGGTGTCGGTCAGCGACCTTATTAAACTCAAACAATGACATCTTAGAGCGACAGCATGAAAAACACTTTGCCTTTTGACGTTGCCTCAGGGGGAGGAGGAGAAAGAAACACGCAACGCCAGGCCAGTGGGAATCGGCCTGGTGATCCCGATGGTCCAGTCCACCACTGGCTTGCAGCCTAACATTGCCGGTGTAGTTGAAGTAGCAGGTAACATAGGAGCTATTCAGCTCTCGGACACTAATGTCTTTAGGGACACGATGAAAGCTAATTTCATAATTAGCTTTCTTACAAGCACACGCTTGTTCCGCGATCGTCCTCTGTATTTCTCCTCTAAATGCAGAGTGTGGCCTGCATAGCGGGGGTGGAGCTTGGATTGGTTATGTATGAACTCTCACTGTTTCTGAACCTGCCGTTTGGGTCTGCCAGAGATTCACAGCGATTTGAATGAAGAAATACTCAGAAAAGTAATTTCACATTAAGTTCAAAAAAATGCCACATGAACATATAAAAAACAAGAAAAACATGATTGTCATTGGAGTGGGTCTTCAAAAGGAAAAATCACAATTCTAAACGATCTCAAAACAGTCGTCTGCCATCAGTTAATAATTCTATCATTTATGCGTCCACAGTCTAGTCTCCTTTGACGACTCAGGTTAACTCAGGGATCGAATTCATCAACACCACACAAGCCGTTCATCCTCAAACATCAGCATTAGTCATTGCAGTTGTTATGAAGGGAAAAGGGAGTGTGAGGCCTACGGGGTGGAGCTTTGTAGCCTTGGTGGGAGTAGTACAAGCAGGCAGAATGTGATGCATGTGACAGACTTGTGATTTAACACAATCTAAAGACTTGTGTAATCTGTGTAGCCAGCACCCTGCCAACAGTACACACCTGGTCTTATATTCTCATCAGATTATCGTGCATCTGTTTTTTGGTCTCACGTAGCCCAAGAGTCCAAGTCTCATCTCTAAAACCCCTGCTGTTTTAGCACCCGAAAGCACTCCCCTGTGTTTGTATATAAAGAAGCTGTTGTGATTGTTTAGTGTGAAATCCTCCTGACGGCCAAAATATCTCTCTTGGATTTGAATGTGTGTCCAATTTAAGTTTCATTTGTGTTTCATGTGTTTTTGTTTCAGATTTGGTTCCAAAGCCACTCCATGCAAAGCGTTCAAGTATGTGTCCTTTCTCACACCACATATCTGCAATCAGAGTTGGAAATATTCCTCTATTAACTTAATATGCATGTCCATCCTGGTGTAATCCTTCAAAATCAAAATGAGGAACAATCAGTATGATATCGATATGATTATTGGTCATAATTAATGCTCCCATGATTATATTGATAACTATATTAATCTTAAAATGAATTTTCTTTTATTTTGATTATTTCCCTTTTGTTTTCTTTTAGTCAAACTGTTTTGGCTTAATCTAGCCTTTTTTCAGGCTCTACACTTAATTTATGATACCTCTTTAAAAGCTCTACATGATTTTCAGATCAAAAAAGACACATTTCTCCCGCTGGAGACCTAGAAACCCTCATTTTTAGCCTCTGCCTGAAATACTTAGTTTTAAACATTTTGGGCCTCCCCTTCTGTTGTGGCCACGGGTCAGTGAGATTTCATGTGATTTTCAAACTGAACTGTTTTGAGCAGTTTACCTTCCTTCAGTATGGACACCAAACATTTTAACTTAACAATTCTGTAGTAAATATGAAATATCATAATGTACGGTGGCCGAGAACCGCCACTGCTGCAAACAAAAAAGAATGCAAAAAAAAAAAGAAGCTACAACAGAAGTTACTGATAAATAATAAAGAAACTGAAGCCCGCTTCAAATAGAAAAAGAACCGGTGCATATTGAAAAAAAGAACCACAACGGAAGTTAACCATGCAAAAAAAAGTGGCGATGCAAAAAATAAGATAAATAAAGTTACATACTGCGAAAATAAAAAGATGCAAATAAAAAAGCCACAACCGAAGTGAGCTGCCAGGGACCAATAAAGATGATGCTCCGGTGTTTTACGATCTTGGCACAGAAGACGACGGTGAAAAGACGAGCAAATAAGTAAGTGGAAAGGTTATTGTTTAATTTTGCTTCGTGTCATTTGGTAAGGCCATGTAGCGCCGGAGTCGATATGAAGTTGATCTGAAGGGTGCCGGTGTAGTGTTAGCTCCAGTTCAACTTCATATCGACTCAGGCTGACATGGCCTAAACAAATGACATTGAGCGGAATTAAACAATAACTTTTCCTCTAACGTCTTTTTTTGAGTTATTGACTTCCGTTGTGGCTTTTTTTTTTTTTCTTTTTTTAAACGGACCGTTTTTTTTTTTTTTTTTGCAGCAGGCTTTGGTTTCTTTTTTTTTTTTTCATCTGTAACTTCCGTCAGGGCTTTTTCTTTTTCTTTTCTTTTTTTTTTGCATTCTTTTTTATTTGCAGCAGTAGCGGTTCTCGACAACCATATTAATGCGCCCTTTTTAAGTGTAAAAGACATTGTACAACGTGTTTCATCTTGCTTGTTTATAATCTTGTTTCTGGATCAAGAAATTTTGATAAGTTAGAGGATAAGTGAACTTAAAGGCCCTGATGATTGAATTATCACAGTAACATTATTGAACCGTCAACACCTAGAAGTCCCAAAGTTACAGCTAATATATCATTTAACATGTTAAACGATTCAAAAGCCAACATGTTAATTACAATGAACATTTGTCTTCATTTGACTGCTAATGATCCACATTTCTGCTATCAGTTTAAATTCATTTATACGAAATGATCCCAGCAGGAGCAATCTTCTTGTCTTGTGGGGGAAGGAAGCAGGACAGGAAGTGATTATGGAAAATGGCCATTAACCCCACTGCCTGGGTTAAATGGCTTTCTGTTAGCAATCAACCCCACCCTCTCTCTGTAGTTTTCTTTAGCATGGCAGTCTCAGAATCAGATTCAGAGCCAATTTCCTAACCCGTTTGATCAAATTAATCAGAGTAAGAGGACAGAAAAGAAAAGATGTTCCACAAATAAAAAATCCTTGATGTAAAATCAAACTCTACAAAGATGCTTTCTGTACTTCACTCAAGTGGGAAACATGCAAGGTTCTTCTTTCAGAAATCAATACAGTATTATATTAAAGTCTTATAAAAAAACTATCTAGAAGCTCGCGTTAAATGCAAACATGCTACTCGAGGATGTTCACTCTACATGCTTTACTATTTGTTGAGCAGGATGTTACAGACCAGATAATACTGCAAGATCTTATGACTTAGCATGATGAATGTAAACAAAGTAAGATCGATGAGTAGATAGTGCAAACACAGTTGATGCCTTTAGCAATTTTTAACAGCATTTAAAGCATGTAAAAAGTAAAATCAGACTTCTGTGGAATTTTTTTACTGGAAATTTTGAATGATTGCATTTGAGATTAATATTACTGGAATGAAAATAGACTCTTTCTATGTGGATTTTGCTCTAAAGTTGCTTGTGTAAGGTTAGTTTATGTCTCACTAATCGTGATGCTTTGCTGGCTTGAAGACTGGAGTTAAATTAGTCAAGATAATTTATAATGTAATTAATTTAAAGACGTCAAGCAATGTTCTCTTCGCAGCAAGTTCGAGTGAATAAAATGTATTGCTGCTTATCAGAAAATCTGTGTAGATATTAACATATCAATAACAGGCCAAAATTTGCCCTAAAATATTAATAATGTCTTTATTTTTATAGCACTTTTTAAAACAGATTTACAATTATGACAACATAGGGGAAATAAATCACAAATCATAGAGTTGGCTCTTAAGATTCCCATTAGAAGGGGTAAAATAAAAAATAAGCAAAAGAAAAAGAAGGGGAAAAGGAAAAAAGATTAATACTCTACCCAATCAGGCTCTAGTAAAACTAATACTGACCACAGACCTTTTTTACATGATACCAATTATTATTCTGGCTGGCGTTTACTACAGCTGCCACCAAATGAACTGCATATGTTCTTCAAATAGTAACACAATTGTGTTGTGTTTATTAGAGCCTGAAGTCCTGTGACATGACCATACAGGATTCCTAAAACGGTCTGGTTACACCAAAAACCCCATTTACCCCCGTGGTTAACAAGGTATCAGATCTCAGCCATGTGTAAATCCAATATGTGCAAAGTTCCTGCAGTAACCTTAATGCTCCCTGCCGACTCAACATACGGACAAAAGGTACAAGTGTTGGCAGAGACTAACAATTCCTCCCCCAAAGCAGTGATTCTTGTCCGTTAACCTGGCTTATATAATCTGTTAACACCTGCACTCGGAGAGTCTAAACACTCACTAAAGTAAAGGATAACAGCTAAGGTTGAATTTTGTAATTTAATTTATTCTGAAATGGTCAGATACAGCTAGAAAGGTTGGTTTTGATTGACTAGAAATGGCCAGTATCCCAGGAGTTCAACACAATAGAGTCCAGAAAAGGTAGATGTGGAGCATATTGAGCTGCAGGCCTGAGGGTACAAATACCTCATGGAACAGTGATCAGATGTGTGAGTCAGTCATACTGACGGGCAGGCTGCAGCTAATCAAATACCATCTCAGTCCATCAGCAGTGTAGCTTCTCAGAAAACAAAACCCAGAAGAACAACAAAAACATGTTTATCTTCAATCAATTTGGCAAAAACGAACAATAAATGGGAGCCCATGGTAACAATGATTGGCTGAATGAAAACTGCACATATGCTGACTGACAAATCCCGGTTTTTGTTTGTCATGCTGTTTAGCTGGCTGAAGATTTGGCATGAATAACGCAAAACCAATCAATGCACGATGCATGTGTCAACAGTACAAGCTGTGCTCTGATGGTGAAATAATGCTACGTATCCCAGGAGCTCATATAGGAGATATCAACCCATCAAATACGTGAAGAATATGAGAGAAAAAAAAGGAAAATCAATCATAGAGAGCAAATAATTTAGCAGTATGTCATCATAGGCTGAGATTTATGCAGACACCAGCCTTTGGAAGTGGAATTTCTTGGAAACCGCAGGGTGTTTGCTGACATTTCAGAGATGTAGCAGGACTCAGAGGTTTATCTCAGTTTGCATACTTACTCGTGTTGTCCTAACCTCTACACTTGAAGACCCAGTAAAATACGAGCATCTCTTCTCAGCTCTGGAGCTTTTCCTTAATTTGGTTTACAAGCGTGGAGGGTAAAGAGTACATTTGCTAGAATAGATCTGTTTATTCACACATCAACACAAGGACCTCTTCAGAAAATCAACAATCACAAACTGCTTACCCATCAGGCCACTACCTTCGAGGGCCCTCAGCGCAGACATGACCTTTAACCAGCATTGTGGGCCCACTATAATGAAAGTGACATTAATAATTAGGGTTATTAATTTTATTTTTTTTACTTTCTTTACAATGTATGACACAAACATACACATTAAGTGTCAAACGCTAGTGTTACAAAAACAAACAATAACAGGCTGCTGGCCTAGCTTTCTGTGAGTGTGTGTGTGCCTCACATATATACATATATACATATATACACAGGTTTAGCATTTTGTCACCTCAAGGATACCATTTCATTGGCTGTGTCTGAAACGAATCACTCAATCCCTAACCCCCATATGGAGATTCACTATATAGCTGACTATGCAATGAGCTCATTCACCTGAGGTTTCGGACACTACATGGCACACTGTTGTGACATCACTGCTCAGACTGTCGCGTCTGAAGTTGCGGCTGTTGTTTTTACATCTCTTGAATTTTATGATGTTGTATAGATGTATTTGTTTTTCCAGGATGTTTGTGAAATAAAATAAATAATAAAAATAAAAAATAAATTAATATTTTATTTAAAAGGCCTTATATTTTCATGCAAAATATTGTTTGCTGCGTCATATTGTGCACGAGACTATATGATGCAGCAAACAATGTTTTTCAAAAATTATACGGATCACTTGCCAGTGAAGTGAAGATAAAAAACTTACGTTGAAAATGGAAAATAGAGCTCGGGTTCTGTCTTCTTTGTCAGACTACGCCATCTACTGGCGATCGAACGGCCAGTAGCTCCTCCATTTTTTAATTGCCTCTGGAGACGCAATGCATGACGGGATGCCCACCACCGTTGATTGACCATCAGATGGTCAACAATCACTCAGGTTTCGGACACCCCTCAAAATGGCGCTAACCCCCATATAGTCGCCTATATAGGGGTTAGGGATCCATTTCGGACACAGCCAATGATACTAAGGACTTCTGGTTTTGTTACATTAGCTGCAGCCATGCTTCTATTATCCGATATTTGGATCGGATATCAGCTCCGATATTGACAAATCAACTGGATCCGATATCGGATGAATGACGCCGATCCAGCGTTCCGATCCAGTTTTTTTTTTTCCTTTTCATTAATTTTTCTTTTAATACATGGAAGTCTTAATTCTGTTTGCTGTATGCTAATGTGCAAATAGTTTTTTGTAAATAATTAATAATAAGTACATTTATATCTGCGTTAATTTGTTACTTATTTTTTAACAAGGCTCAGTCAAGCCTGATGCCTTTACTCACAGAGCAAGGTATACAGATAAGCAGAAATTCATTATTTTTTAGTATTTTTAGTATTATTTTACTTTATTATTAATTCAGTTCAATTCAGTTCATTCATTCAATAGTAGTATTGGATTAGTATCGGATATCGGTCATTATGCTCAGCCCAGGTATCGCTATCGGGTTGGATCGGAAAACAAATTGGATCGATGCATCTCTAGCCTGTATTAAGAACCTTTTAAAGGCTCTTTACCACATTTACCACACCGAAAGGAGACTGCTTTGAATATCTATATCTAAATAAAATATAACTTTAAATCAACTTGACATTAATGATAAGTTCAATTGACAGTAATTATAGCATCAGCTGGTTCTGTTAAAGGAATTTTTTTCATCTCCACCGTATTTTGCTAAATGCTGCTCAGTGTCACGCTCGTGTGGCTGAAGATGGGATGGGAGTGAGTCTAATCTTTAACGCTGGCGCTAAATCTTATCCCATCTTCACTCTCGGTCTTTGTAAATATGATGAAAGAGTATGGCCTGGACCAGCTTTTTGGTATGCTTGAGATAACATTTGTTGTGAATTGGCGCTATATGAATAAAGATTGATTGATAACACTGTTGACAGGACTTTGTGACGTGTATCTGGAGTGTTCATTCTAATGCGTTCAACCACTTCAAAAATCTTACAGGATTCCTTGTGGATGTGAGTTGACCTCAAAAAACATCTGCAGCGTAGTCAGTGTGTGGCTCCTACTGGGCCTCCGCTCACACTATAATAAATAATTGAGCACTGCTGCTGTAAAATATAAACAAACCTATGGGCTCTCTGGGATATTGAGATGGAGAACATTTGCCCGGGGATTTCACTTCCAGCCGTGGTAATCAAATGTTATTCAGCCACAGCAGTAATCTTTGTGTGTCTGAATGTGTGTGTCTGTCAGTCAGACTGGATGGTTGAGTTGTTTTCTATTGCACGCCGTCTCTGAATGGTGCTGGCTGTCCATCTATCAGCTTGTTTTTCTACATGAGTTATTGACTTAATATCCATCTTAGCTTCTGTTCGTCAGTCACCTTTTCTGTCTCACCCTTAGAATCAACATTGTAGAGGCGAGATCTGATAAATATTTACAAGGTTACACTTTTAGATAAACTTCCAAACCCTTCTCAAGAAGAGCTGAAAAAACGAATTGTTGACTTCATTCATTATTATCAGCTCTGTCACATTTGATCTATTGTTGTCACATCCCATCTGTTGTTGTTGGATTTCTCCGGAGAGTAAATGTATTCTCATTTACTTATGTCAGAATGATAGTTGTTTTTTTTTCTCTGTCACCCTCTGAATGAGGTATGAAAATCAACCATTGTGTTAGATGAACAGTAAAGGCAGGTTTAGTTATTACAACCAAATTTAATGTAAACTGAACATAATTCAAGTTTTGTCAGTTAAACATTATGACCACTGATAGATGAAGTAAATATCTTTATAGAATAGAATACCAACTTAAATAAATGTAATAATTAAGAAAAACAAACTGTAAAAGGTGTGGGGTTTGACAATAAAGTTCCTTAAACCTCTAATCCTTGAAATTAGAGGAGCAACTAAAACAAGGAACAGACTGAAATGGTTAGACGTTTTGTACATTTCTAAAAAAAAATGCAATGCCGAAGTCCGAATTTTTTTGCAAAAACTGAGAAACTATTTTTTGTAAACACTCTTTTTTCTTTTTCACTCAACATTGTTAAATTGTAACCAATAAGTGTTCACTTTATAATGTTTATTTTTTTGCGCTTTTTACTTTTGATGCAACATTTAACAATATATTTATTTATTCAATTTTATTTCAGACCCACCCACAGGATGGTCCATGTCAAAAAAGTAAATAAAATAGAAATAAAAAGATAAAATAAAATATTATCAGACATCTCTTGTTTTTCCTAAAATGAGTATTAAGTTGTGATAAATTCACTGAAATTTTGCTGGTACTTTTTACATCTGAATTTTAGTATTTCAGGGTCTTAAAAAAGTCTTAAAAAAAACATCAAATTAACTTTAAAATTTGTGCAAGAACCCTGTAATATTTATATTTCAAATCACAACATTTTCAAAAATTTGTACATTCCCTCAAAGCTTCAAGCTGCACTAACAATTATTGATACAATTACAATGGAAAACTAACAATGTGCAATACAGTTGTTAATGTGTGAAAGGTTTCATAACTCTTATTTTCTGTAGTTTCCTCAGCTCCACACAGAGCCACATGGTGTTTGCTGCTTTACTGCCCACAACTTTGCTGCTTTGTTAAATCTCAAGCAGTCTTGAGCAGGAGGTTTTTGCTGCCCACCATACTATCTGTTCAAAATTGATTTGTAGACTGACAAAAATAGCATAGGCTAGCTACTTAATTTGAAAGTAGGAGCATTTAGCAGCTTACAAGCTACAATATCACCCTGAGAGTTGGTGGAGACCAGAAACAGCTGAAATAGATTCAAAGTTGAACTTGCACTTGAAAGGAAGATGGAAAGCAGACTTGAAGTTAATACGAATTTGACACCATGTTTGAAGTGTAATTAGATATTGGCGTACTTTCTTGCTTCAACTTGATCGGTTTTGTCTCAAGCTCTTCGCATTGGGCAACATTAGTCGAAATAGTGTTGTGTCGTTTGCAAACGATTTGTTCAAAAGAACCGAATCTTTTAAGTGAACATACTGAATCGAATCACTTCGGTTCTCCAAAGAAGGTCCCAGGCTCCTCCCACCACTGAATAATTCGATGAACGAATCTTTTGAACGAATCTTTTTAGTGAACTGATTCTAGTGATTCAGTAGATCTAAAAGAACTGCTGTGCCCATCACTGATCAAAAAGAAAGCGCTATAAAGGTTGTCTCTTCAGAAGTTCAGTTTTTGTTGTTGTTTCTTTAGTCTTGTGTAAAAATGTAGTTTGAAAAAAAGTCATAAAAACATGCATTGTGGTAGTATTTTTCCATATCCCCCTTGATATTGGAGTCTTATATTTTGTTGTTCTTGTTCACCCAGGTGGGCGTCGCCGGTCTGAACCAGATGAGGCGGAGCTACTGAGGGTCAGCAGACGATTGGTCGAAGATGCTGTCAACCGCGCCTTACAACAATACAAACAGGAAGCTCTCCAAAATGGGGGCGGGCCTAATGCCATGGCTGTGAAGCCCCCTGACAATACCGAGGAAGCTGATGCAAAGACAGACATTACCACAAACGCCACCACAGACAACAGGAAGTGACATCGTCAGACTGAGGAAAACAGACTTGAAAAGCAGCCACCCAGAAAACATCAGCCAGGCCAGGCAGACCAGGAGAAGAGTCAGTAAGCCCTGAGCACTACAGCCTGAACTGGCACAACTCGTCAGCCCAGTTCGCTGACCAGTCAACATAGCTAGCTAGTCATGCTAGCTATCCGCCCAACAGAGCTAGCCTGAGACAGCGCTAGTTAAATGTAGCTTGAGTGCAGTGCTATGTGACTGACCCTTCAAGCTAGCTAGCTAATCATGCTAGCTTACAAACTGACTCCTGTACCCTACATCCAATGACAAAGGATTTAATCCCTCCATTTCCTGCTCAGCCGTGGGTCCAAATACACTCCTGGAGACACACACACAAACATAGAGGTGTAGGGTTTCCTCTGGCATGTGGCCCACTCACTGCCCTTTCAAAATAAGATCAATCATGTATTTTGGTTTACCATTTCTCTGAGAATATTTGTGTTGTTTCATGAAGGATTATGCATGTCCCTGTCTTGTGGAAGATTCTTGAAGATGACATTTGAAGTTTGAACTGGATTGTCAAATTTTGGTTAAAAGTAGAGAGGGTTGTTCTGGTCTGTGGCTCAAATATTGTTTTCTTGTTTTCATATTGTGGCTTCAAAGCACTTACAGCTCAGTTTAAAAATAATCTGTAATAATTTAATTTAACTTTTTCAAAGATGTCTGCCTGCATACCAAACTCACTTTTTGTCTGCATCCTGAAGTGTTCCGGCAATAGCTATATTTTGAGTATTACACATACTATATTTGTATTACTGAAGGTTGTCCAGCAGGGGCAGCACTGTGACATTCATTCAGTGAAGATTATTTAATGAGCTTTAATTGTACTTGTTTTATAAAGAGAATAAGTAATTACAATCTCAGTCTAGACCCTTCTGCTGTTATCGCATTAATTAATGGACACTAACAGCATAAAAGATGCCAAGTGAATTAAGGAGACTTAATTATTGATGCTTAAAATTAAACAAGTCAGCAACTCTGCTACAAAACACTACATGGGGCCAGGAATGCATTTTTTGTCCATTAATGCCAAAACCTCCTCTAACAACGTCTGTTTTGTTGAGATACAAGTATTGGATTAGTTACTACTCCTGCCTCTTTCAATATGATTTATTATTTTTTTGTTTTTTTTTCTCGTTATTTGTTTTCAGTTTACTTTAGTGAAATGAGTTTGAAGCAGCAGCACAGTGTCAACATGATTTAATCTGTTTGTCTTTTCAATCCATTCATAAATCTCTGAGTCTGGATTACAGCCCGCCTGTTTGTTTGAGGCTCAGTAAAATATTGAAAGCATTAGAGCTAATCTGAGGGGCTTTTATTTTGTATTATTGTACATGTAAGAGCAGTTAGCCAGATGCTAAGTCATGGAGGTAAACTCAAATGTCTCCTGCTGTCAGCAGAAAAACCCTCCCGCTCTTAATTTAGTCGTCTTCCACCCATTTATTATTTATTATTTGTGTTGTTTGAATTAGAAAATGAAATTGGACTTCCCTGCTCTGCGTTTGACCCCACAGCTCATGAATCCACTGCAAAAACACTCTTTGGAGTTCGTAGGAAGACTTCTTTAAAACTTCACTTCTTGAAGATGAGGTTTTCGACCAACAGCAATGATTATATCAACAGTTTTGAAAAAGAGGGTGGTTTAAACCCTGATGTGAAATCATTTTTTTTTTATTCTTTGTAGCTAGTATTTATAATGCTTTGGTTAAAAAAAAGAAGACATTTGATTTTTAAAAGCTTTCAGTTTGCTTTTACAGGTGGGAAAAGCACAATATTTTGATGAATCACTTTTAGAAACGTCTTTGTTTTTACTTTTCAAAAGAGCAGATAAAGAGAAATACATGCTGTTAAATCAACCAACCTCTCTTCAAAGTGGCCTTAAGTCACGAATACAAATTGAGGTTTTGTTTCTGCGTACTTAAATAACAATGCAAAGGTTTGTACTTGATGATGATGGCTCATTTTACAGTAAGATTTCCGTAAGTTTAAAAACAAAAAAATCAGCCTGTAGCATAAAAGTTTGATTTTTGAATTCAGTGTCAAAATTGTCCACCTTTGTCGTTTCTTTGACAATATTCAGCAACACGAGGTTAATGTCCTCTTGTGTGAAGAAAATGTGCCCTCATCTCTGAAATCCTCTGAAGGGACTCTTTATCCTGCAGGCTCACTGAAATAACCGTAAGGAAGATGAATCCTGTCTTCAGGTGGACTTTGAACACTTTTGTCTTGATCTCTTCTTGTCACCAGATCCTTAATCTCCTTGAACCCCCTTTAACTCACAAGTTGTCCTGTTTGCCTGTGTGATTGGTCGGTTCGTTTCGTCTCTGAGTGCGTGTATGAGAGGAAGACAGTTTTGATGTTTGATCAGTGGTTCCCTAGAGGATGTCTTGTCTCTTACAATCATGGCAACTGGGAGCTGTGTGTGTATGTGTGTGTGTGTGAGTGTGTGTGTTCAAATTTGTCTTTCCATTTGTCTGTGTGTATATCTGTTTGTACTGTGTTGTACATACTGTTCTGCTACATTTGAACAATAAAACAGGATATGAAACTCAAAACCAATATCCTTCTTGTGGGATTTCAGTCTGGGTGCTCATGTTTGCTCATGATTATGTGCGCTTCACCTGCACTATTGACATGAAGACGGTGGTAGTGTCTCAGCGGCCGTATTTGAAAAACAAACAGTGTTTTGGTTCACCTGGAGGGGTGTGTTATTCAATGTACTTTGCACAAGCTTTGGGTGAACTGGGCAGTACAGTCAACAAACAGTGAGTAAAAATAAGTCAAGCCAACGTCTCGTGAAGGTAAGCTTTAATGCAATCATGGGAGACTGTTATGTGTTTATTTTTTGAGTTCAGAGAATATAGCATCACTTGTCTGTGTATTATCCATCCATTCAATTATTCCATTCAATCTAGTAAACGAAAAACAAAAAAACGAGTAAATATTTTGTTTGTTTTTCTATATAACCAAGAAATAAAAGGTTAGTGTTTGTTTTCGTATTTTCAGTTCAAAACAGAATATATAATAGAGATGGAAACGAAAACAAAATAATAAATGTACTTTTCGTTTTCGGGTTATTGATGTCCCCATTTGCCACGGTGCCTTTCGGAGGCGGGATTTATGACCTTTACTGCAGCCCGCCACCAGAGTGTGCTGTTCTCGGAGTGGCTTCACCCAGCAAGGAGGTAGACAGCGTCCATTCTATATACAGTCTATGGTTATAACCTAAGATTTTGGCGCTCAAACTGCTCTTTCACATCTTCCGCCATGGTTACTGTTGCTGAGGATCGTGGGAAGGCCGATGTAACCTCCATGCACGTATGCTCAAAACAGGCGCACTCAAAATCAATAATTGTAAATAAGATTTATTATTTCGTTTTTGTTTCCTTCTCTATTATATATTCTGTTTTAAGCTGAAAATACAAAACAAAGACTAATTTTTTTATTTTTTGGCTATACAGAAAAAAAAGAAACAAAATATTGGCTTGTTTTTTCGATTACTAGATTGAATGGAATAATTGAATGGACGGATAATACACAGACCCTCACCCTTTTAAAATGATGGCCTACGTCGTCTTTTGACGAAAATGAGTTTTTGGCCTTAATCATATCTTGGTAATACTGGCCACCCTGGCAAAATCGCCTAAATCCTTAGTTGAAGGGATCATGCCATGATGATAAGTGAATGACCATTTTAGGTTTTAGGTTTACTACCAAACTACTGCAAATTAAAAGTTATAAATTATAAGTCAAAATTAAAATAACAAAATTAGCTTATTTCTTTTTACAACAATAGCATTTATATAATTCGCGTGAAATGTACTTTTAACTGTATTTTTGCTGCTAGTTATAGGTTTACCCAATTCTCTTATGGTGTTTTCTCACTGTTGCGTATTTTCTCACTGCTGTTGCATATATTAGGGAGGAAAAACTGACCATGCACACTTGTGTGTGTGCACCGCAGGTCTTTAAATGGCTCCTAGTGACAGATTATAATTGAAAAGACAGGAAAGACTTTCCCTAAGGGTTGTTTGCTTCATCTAAAATTCAAATCAAGGACAGAGTCCTGTAGAGGTCTCTGACCATCGTTCATAAGAGAAGGTGATGAAGGCACATGGTGGCATCTGCATGTCCCGGTCATGTCATGGTTTCTCATGATCAGCAGGGGGCAGGTAGGCGTACAGTGATTAATGCACATGAATGAGAGTGCTTTTGTTTCACATTTGAAAATATCAAGTATTATAAAAGACAGACAATGTGACAGTATTGATGCATGAAAGCCAAGCAGCAAAATAACAATCGATTTAATTAATGTCAAAATAAATGAGACATTTGACTTACATATGGGCTTCCACTTCCTGCTGCTGACATTTAGGGGGTCTGAGGCTAATGTGGTGAAGTCAGCCTCATCATACCGGTGCACAGGCAGAGCTGACACCCGCATTGTATTCATATGGTGAATAAATGCACTGCTAATACATCAAAGAGTCATTTTCAGAACTTCTCTTCATATTTTGTACAATAACCAAGGATTGAATAGAGTGTGAGACAGGGTTGTAACGGTGTTACCAGTGTGTATCCCCGCTAGCTCATTAATTTCACAGCCAATCTCTTTATGTGAGAACCTGCTCTTCACATGGTGTAAATCCTAAAAGGCTGATACTGTGATAAAGTTCATTACTGACCTGGGAGTCTATGAAGTGATGGAGCAGACAATTAACATTCAGGTAACAGTGAGTAAGTAAGTCAGTCAATTTTATTCATGCAAATGCAAAAAACTTTCAGGAATTTATGTGGAAATATCTCGCAAACTTTGAGGAATTAACCCCAAAAATCTCAGAAATACTCCAGCAAACCTCCAAGAACTGTTCTAGAAATTTTGGTTTATCTGATTTTTTTGATATCTTTGAAGAAGTTTATAAAGTTTACAATCATCCCACGACAGAGGGGATGAGGGTAACAGTGACAATAAATCCAGCTCTTCTTCTCTTAAAGGGATATTGTGGAGTAAAATTAATTTAGGGTCATTTAAAGTTGGTATAACTAGAGAAGCAAGCAGTCGGCAACATTCATCTCTTGAGCGGGTGTCTGACTCGGTGTTACGGTGTGTTTGACCCTAAATTAATTTTACAACGGAATATCCCTTAAATTACATTACACTATGCAAACTGCTCCTAAAGTACATTAAAATACATCTCTGGAACCTCTCTCTAATTTGTCTCTGAAGGTGACAGTACATATCTGACTTTCATTCATCCCTTAATTGTGGTATTAATAGAGCGTGGTTCCATGATAACAGATATTGATTTCAGCTTTCCAAACATGAAGCATGTTATCTTGTTTTTCTTTTTCATTGACTTTCCTGGTGGAGTAGGTCAACCGTGACTTTATTACATCACAATTAATGCCGTACACTCAGGGCGTGTTATCCCATTCTTATTTCAGTGTGTGTGTTTATGAGTCATCAGATGATCCCTCTGCTCGGCTCGGTTCAGATGTAGGTCACTTGATGTGCTCTTGGGCTCGTGGCTCTCCCATTAAACTGCAGCCCTAAATTTGATGTGGCACCTGGTTGGCCTGTGGCGGTGAGATGTATGTAGGATGCACACTATTTCATCTCATAGCATGCTCGAGTGAAGCCACCACCACATATGTGTGTCTCTGATTCGGCTCTTCAAGCGTTGCGTGGAAAGCCCAGGCTTATATATAGCACGGCTATATAAAAATCTCACAGACTGGTGTAGAGAGTGAATGTGTCATCTTGTATTGACTTTGGGCTCCAAACATCTTTTTTTCCTCCCTGATTTTCATTGTTGTTCAAGCTCAGTGCTAGTACTGTTTTTAGTTTTATTCTTTTCCTTCTTTCCACTATCTTTAAAGCAACATAAAACAGGGGAAAAGGGACAACAACGAACATGACAAACAAACAATTTCCATGTGTGTTTGTCTTATTGTAAGTCCAGAGCCAAGAATAATATTAAACAAATACACCATCAGTTAACATAGAACAGGCATAATGTGTTAAGCTTTATTAAAACAAATCACTTTAGAAATGTGGTTATTCCACTTAAAGGCCCGATTGACGATTGAAGAGATTGGTAATTATTATGAACCTCATTTATATGGCGATCATTGTCCTAAAGTGCAAGAATGAAATGAATGAAAAAAAATCTGTTCACCCTAGCAGGTGCAGGGCTGCAAAACCATTGACCAATGAGAGCCATCCGTCCCAGACAGCTCTTATTGGTCAATCTCCTGCTCCGCCTCTCCATCCAACCACCTCGCTGTATTTGACACACCCCTCTCCTGTAGTTCTGACTCATCCCCTCCCACTTGCCTGGCCCTCCTAAAAGTGGCTAAAAGTAGTGTAGCTGCTTAGCTACAGGAGCTGTGATGGAGAAGGACGGAAAAAAAAACCACTTCAGCTTGCCCCAACGCCAAAAGTGGGAAGAAGATGCAAGCCGACAGAAGAAAGAGCAGGGACGCTTTTTACAAATCCGCCTGAACGGCTCCGTTTTTTTCAACTGCTTCTCAGATCATCAACCATACCTTAAAGTATTTCACTTTTGTTTTCCCATCTTAAAATCAACCAACATCCTTAAAATAACAATAATAATAATTGTTTATATAACAAAATAAAAAAACAAAGTTTACAAAGTGCTTTGACAGAAAAGAATGGTAGCCTATTAAGGAAGTTTAGAAAAATGGAATTCAAAGTCAAAATTGTGAAAATGTTTGAATTTATTAGAGTTTGATTTTTTTAAGGAGGAATTTATGATACAAGGAGCAAATTCAGACAGACTGCTATTAAGATGTTTATTTAAGACTTTATTTTACAGTTTTCTACTAACAAACATACAACTTCCAAACATAAACCCCCTCCCCCAAGGCTCTTGAACAAAAAATTAAGTTAAACAGAATAATACAAAAATAGTCAGACAGTGACCTCTTCTCTTAAGTTCAGAAAATTGATGTTTTGACCATGTTTTAAAATGGTTGTAACTATTCAATACAACTCAAGATGTATCACTGAAAGGGAAAACCTTCTACAAATTCTATAAAGGGACTCCAGGTAAGGTTGAAGTGCAGTTAAGATGTTGATAATGAACAAAACTTTATTTTCCTACTAACGCCTTGAGTTAAGTCTTCTATGTAAGGAACTAAACTATTCTCAGATTTTAAATACGCACTATGTCAGCCATAAATTTCCTACTGATAATGTCAAAATGACCATTTTAAGCCCCTCTTAAATAAAACATTAGTTCTTTTTAAAATGTTGGAATTACACACTTAACAGCTAGCGTAAAAAGACAACGTCTGATTGTTTTTGTTTACATATCTCTCTTGCGCGCGCGCACACACACACACACACACACACACACACACACACACACATGCACATTCACTGCCTTGTGAAATCAATTCTGTACTCACAAACAGTATGCACGTTCAAGCATTTTCTCCGTCCTCCCTTCACATTCAATTATTACCAAATAGGAAGCTCTGGGCCAAACACACAAACACACACACACGTTTCCTCAAATGGGGTTGCCGTGGTAACCGGGTGCATCTTGGGGCGGGGGTAATGAGTTTGTCCTCCGCGTTTGCCTGCCTTACTGACTCAAAGTAGATCTCTCTCTTTCCCTCTCTCTCTCTCTCTCTCTCTCTCACTTTCTGTGTGTGTGAGAGAGAGAGAGAGATTATCCCCTGACCCTATCATTCACACTGTTCTCTGACAATTTTGGAGACTTTGAGGCGGAGTGATAAGGTAGATAAGAGGTGGAGAGATAGATGAGGAAACACCAGGTGAGAGGAGGAGGAAGTGGAGGACAAAATGAAAGTGAGGAGTGATGGATGGAGGAAGTGACAGTGTCGTGCTGTGAGGGTCATTTTGTCCTATCTGGCACATGTTGGACGCTTGTTTAAGATTGCTCACATCACTGTGGATGGATTGGGAATCTTGCCAAACAGGTGTGTGTCTGTGTGTGTGTCTGTGTGTGTTTGTTGGATGCACTATGCAGCGTAATTATACCAGAGAGGAAGCAATTCCAGACATAATTGAAGTAAACTGCCCCTTTATCGGGATTAATGTGGAGGACAGAGACAGATGGAGGACAAAGACAGAGGAATCAGGTTGTGTGACTTCACTCACATTACAAATATACACATATCGGGTTTGCAAAGAGAGTGAATGAATTATAAAGTAACTTAAAACATTCCAGAAACTGGTTTTGTTGGTACTTTAACACCCCACATTGTCATGGGGTGATAAAAAGATGTATTAACAGTTATATAATTTAAAATTACAATGTAATTTAGCAAGAACAACAAAAGCAAAGATCTAGACAAGAAGAAACAGGATCGGTAAGAGCCATAAAGTGCTTCAGGTTCATTTGGATGCATGTACTTCCAAGCATTGTTAATAGTTTGTTTGATGAACATCAACAATGAGGCAACCAATCATCAATGTAAGACTTAACATAATTATCATCATAGGTTAAAGGGATATTCCGGCGTAAAATTAATTAAGGGTCAAACACGCTGTAACAACGAGTTAGACACCCCTTGAGAGATGAATGTTGCCGACCGCTTGCTTCGCTAGTTAGAACAACTTCAGTAACGACTGCATGATAGCAAAACACAGCAGTCTGAAGAGCCATAAACAAACCTCAACCAAAACGCCACTCTATAGCCACAAATAATGCTCAGAACAGCACCTAACTTCATCAACAGAACATATAGGGTCCTAGCCACCAAACATCTTTTTAGCTTTGCCTGATTTCTTTCACAAAGAGACTAAACACAACTCACCTACTCTCTTCCAGCAGCCACCCCGCTGCGGGATGTTGCAGCTCAAGGAAGAAAATTTATGACTATTACTTTGTGGAAATGCAATCAGACTGAGATGCTAGGGCAGAGGAACTACCGCGTCTGCAGTGCAAAATAATTATTATGGTGATTATTACTTTAAGGAAATGATAAAAAGAAATGATCATAAATGTTCTTCCTTGAGCTGCATCACCCCGCTGCAGTCCGTAATGGACTGGCCTGAGGTCTTGCTATGAGCAAGCGGCTGCTGGAAGAGAGTAGGTGAGTTGTGTTTGGTCTCTTTGCTAAAGAAATTAGGCAAAGTTAAAAACATGTTTGGTGGCTAGTGCTGTGGCTGGGACCCTATATGTACTGATGAAGTTAGGTGCTGTTCTGAGCATTATTTGTGGCTATAGAGTGGCTTTTTGGTTTGATTATGGCTCCTCAGACCGCTGTGTATTGCTATCTTGCAGTCATTACTAAAGTTGGTAAAAGTAGAGAAGCAAACAGTAAGGCAACACTCATCTCTCGAGGGGGTGTCTTACTCGATGTTATGGTGGGTTTGACACTAAATAAATTTTACGCCGGAATATCCCTTTAATTCTAGCAACGGTGGAGAATAGTTTAGCTAAGTGCAGAGTGTCCTCTAAAGAGCTGGGTCTGTAGCTGTCATTTCAAGGTAGCAAGGGACTCAGCAGTCTGAATGAGTTGGGTAATTCATTCCACATAATAAATTTATCAATGTCACCCCTGAGGAAGTTAATATCCAGGTTGGGGAACTCTAGGCCAACTCACATGTGTCAACACACCCTCCAGTGTAAAGACAGTCTGCCCCATTAATCCATGGGCCTCTTCACCACTCACTGTAGGTTCCTCCTGTACACTCAGCTGCTACTAGATTCAAGAAAACAACAAACTAGAATAAAACAACACCTTGTTTACAAAAGTGTGATCTGCAGCTGTGAAAACTGTTTGTTGCTCTGCAGACTGTTGATTGTCTCAGGCTGATTGGCTCAGAGCTGCTCTTTCTCATAATTTCAAATCCAAGACACACTCTTTGTACAATTGAAACTGCTGAAAAAAAAGACTTTGGGATTTACTGATCCAGACAACAAATCAGAGGGATGCAAAAAACAAGAAAGGAATTTGAGAACGAAAAAAGTTGTTGTTCTTACTGATGCAGTAACCAAAGTACTAATCATCCTACTCCACAATTCCATCTACAAAACAGTGAAACACTTTACAAAGTGGATTCAAATCTTGTTTTCCATTTCCCTCTTGAAAATCCTCATAAACTGCCGTCAAATATATGTATGTGTGTGTGTGTGTGTGTGTGTGTGTGTGTGTGTGTGTGTGTGTGTGTGTGTGTGTGTGGTGGCCAGCAGGTGCTCTGTAATGTGATAATGAAGGGAGTGGACAATGTCGTCACCTTCACTGCTGAGGATTAAGGGAGCGAATAACAACAACGTCCCTCTCTGTCATTGTCTGTTGTTTGGTGACTTTTCAGGATGAAAGCTGCCCAAGGACATCATTAACATACTGAACTATGGAAATGAGTAACATTTCTCTGCGGATTATGGTTCAGAGTGAAGTACAAGTCATGTGGCTGGGTGAAAAAAAATCAACATCTTTGCCTCAATAGTGTCCCAACAGTCTGTAATGACCCGATGTAACAAAACCGGTTACTGGATGATGTTTGGAGCTAACTGTAGAAGGATGGCCAAACAAAACCAAAAGATGGTCCTGGGAAGATGACGAGCAAGAGTAGTTCGAGCTTTAACAGACATGTTTTTAATTAACCCAAGGGGACTGTACATGTCATGACAGCCGCTCTAACACAGTACCTACCAGTAATTTATGAGAGAGATAACACGGGCCCTTTTCACATTTGAATTTATGACATTTTCAGGGAAATTTTCTTGTCATTAAACCCTTTAATGATCTGTACCTTGACTTTTACACATGGGCAGGAGGAAATTGAATCTGCTCTCATTTGCACCATTTGTTTAGGGCAGCTGAGTCACACATACAGGAGGAGGCAGAGTCTAATAGTGACAATTTCTTGAGTTAGGGTTAGGGTTAAGGGTTAGGGTTGGACAAACACACACATCAGGCACTCTTGACATTACAGACACATGTGGGAGGGTCAGCAATGTCAACAGCGAGGGTTAAGGTTAGGGGTTGGGGTTTGGGGTTAGGGTTAGGGATTGGGGGCAGGGTTTGTGGTTAGGGTTAGGGGTTAAGGTTGGGGGTTAGGGTTAGACAAACACACACATTAGGCACTCTTGGCTTTACAGACACATGTGGGAGGGTCAGCAATGTCAACAGCGAGGGTTAGTGTTAGTCTAGGGGGCTAGGGTTTGTGGTTAGGGTTAGGGGTTAGGGTTTGGGGTTAAGGTTAGGGTTGGGTGTTTGGGTCAGGGTTAGACAAACACACACACATCATGCACTCTTGACTTTACAGACCATCCCACATGTTTCTGTACAGACACATGTGGGAGGGTCAGCAATGTCAACAGCACAGCTTTAGTGGGTAACCCTTTCTACTCTAGATAAGTTAGACCTCACATATAAAACATGTATGGATCCTTTAGGTGCGCTGATTGCGAATCTGTGCGCTCGAATCTGCACATAGCTTTTTTTCTTGATCTGGTGCCTGGAGGGCTCTGTAAACAGGCAAGGATGTAAACAAAGTAGCCAATTTCCACACAGATAAACCAGTCGTCTCTTACAGCTCCACTCTTCAAACAAGAGCCACCTGCTCTGTTACGTCACAGTGTTGAGGAATCAATATTTTGATAATCATTGAAAACATACTCATAAATCAACATCTTTAACCTTCGCTGAAGCTTAAATCTGATCATTTTTAAATAATATTCCTAAATGTGTTACATACTGATTTTTTTGTTTGCATGTTTCTGTTGCCTTTTCTGAGCATAACAGATCACAATATGAATTAAAATATTGAGTTCTGATAATATTTATGTGTATTCTCCACTTACACAAACTCTACTAATGGTTGTTGTTAGTAGCGACGCACAAATTTGATGAGTGCTAGTTTGCCTGTAAATTTAGTTCTGCTCATGTTTCATGAATGAGACCCAATGTCAGGAAATTTTCAGGGTGCAAAGGGACAGTAAAGGGAGAACCACAAAGCAGTCTTAGTTGAAGCAGGGAGGTAGTCACATCCCCCTTGATGTAAAAAAAAAAAATAATAATCAGATTTGATTCAACTATATCAGTGTAATGCACTTTCACTCTGATTAATGTAATGAGTTTAATAATGATATCCCATATACAACAGACCGTTTGTTTAGACCACTCCTGTCTGCTTTGATTACTTCATTGACTCCTTGGTTGTTGCACACAAAACTGATTAAAAGTGATTGATAAGGAAATCATTAATCACAAGACAGAACCAGTTCTCATCTAGAACCATACCTGGCTCTGGTAGAAAGTGAATTACAAGGGTAAAAGAGGAGAAGCAAAAAAGCTGCCCAGACAGCAGGCTTGCTCAAAATATCCAGTCACAGCAGATGTCTGTCTGCCTATTAGTCTAGTCCCACTCAAGGACTCGGGGGATGTTTTCCCTGCCTCTGCTGCTAAGTGACTGCTTGAAGTCATCCTTTTTTCCTGAAGTGGGCTTGTAAAAGGTAAAAGGTACTCCTGTATTATCCTCAGGTAATACTTTTGCCACAGTAACCATTTGTACCATATAATTTAGTCAGTGGAAAACAGTCTGAACCAAAAAAAATACCAGTGTTGGTGTAAATGTTCATGACATTGAGGAAAATTTCAGCTCCTTACTTTGTTTACAGGCAATTCACAGCACCACAGACAAGTTTTCGTACCAGTACCTCTCAGAATTATAATTTAAAATTGAGTAATGTGTCATTAATGTTTTTAATTTATTATTATTTATGGAAAAAACATTTAACATAAAAAAACAATTATATTTAAAAGATTTAACAGGACTTTAAAAAAGCATAACTCAGCCTGTTTGGGACTGTGTTGGTTTGTCTACTATCAGACAGCAGCTACTATTTGCTCAGACTGAGTGTTTGTGAGTTTGTGTGCTGTGGGTAGAAGTGTTTGGGTATATTTACAAGTGTGTCTTGCTAATGAGGACAAAATCTTGAAGCAGCCTTTAGATTCTGGTTTTGTTTTTTTCTTTTTTCTTAATTTAGTCAGAGTAGGAGTAGGGTAGAGTATTGTTTAAGATCAAATCTTTTAGCTCCAAGCAGGCTTAAACAAAATGAACAAGTTGCTATTTTTTTGTTCTCAACACACACTCTCCAAGTGGTTTCAGAGACCCCAGAGGCTTGAAGTCAGCTGAATATGGGCCAGGAGTCACAGCACCCAGCCCTGAATGTAGTGCTAATGTCTTTTGGACCCCTTTGAATGCTGCTTGTGTCTGACTTTGGGCCAGCTGTACAGCGTTCAGAGGCAACGCTGGAATAACTAATCTGGGTAGATCAGAAAAAATATCTCGAAGGGCAGTCAAAACTATTTCAAAAACTACTTTGCAAATGAAAGAAAAATCATTTACTGTCCTGTTCATGCTTAAACTACGAGGGTTAGAGTAAGAGAAGGAACAAAAGAGCGCAAACCGGGTCCACTTTGTCATCTAAAATCTGGAAAGAAGCGAACCATTCACTATGCTAGCCTGACACAAATCCACAAAGAGAGATAAGAGAAAAATGAGAAAATATCTAAAAATTGCTCAAATATCTATGCTTGGTTCATTGATTTGAAAAAGCTTTTGATTCGGTCTGTTGTGAAATACAACTACTTCATAGACATTTATGAAACAGATCTAATGTCATGATTTGGTCTGTTTATTTAGTTTTCTCCTGGTTTCATTTGAGTGCATTTTGTGTATTTTCCCTAGTGTTTTTGTTTGTGTTTGACCCTGTTTCCCTCCTGTTATCTGTATTTATTCTTTGGATCAGTTTTCTGTGTTTCATATTTTATTTTTGTCGTAGTTAATTCCTTGTGTTTCCAGTCTGATTTTCCCTCCCTCGTTAATCACCCATGAGTTTCACCTGTGTCTCGTCTGCCTCACCTGTTGCTCGTTAACCCATGTGTGTATATAGTCCCTGTCTTCCCCTCTGCCCTGGTTGGTTCAGTGTATGTTGATGTGTGTGCATGTCAGTCTGTTCCCCGTGATCTTTTATCTGTGGGTTCCTACTCTCCTGGTGACTTTTGATTCCTTTGGATTTAGCTTTTTTTTGTGTTCATTTGGGTCATTTCCCTTTTGTTTAACTCTCACTCATGACACCCAAGAATCAAACCACTAAAATGATAACCCTTGTTTTCCAACTACTGATCTAGCCTTCTGCTAGAAAGCTGAAGATGAAGAGGGACTTCATCTTTCAGCACAACAATGACCCAAAGCACACATCTAAATCAGGAGAAGAATGGCTTCACTGGAATAAGATTGAGACTTTGGAATGTCCCAGCCAGAGTCCAGAACTGAATCCCATCGAACATTTGTGGGGTGATCTGAAGAGGTCTGTGCACAGGAGATGCCCCGCAATCTGTTAGATTTGGAGCGGTTTTGCAAAGAGGAGTGGGGAAATATTGCCATATCAAGATTTGCCAAGCTGATAGGCTCCCTCCCAAAAAGACAGAGTGCTGTAATAAAAGCCAAAGGTGCTGCAACAGAGTATTAGTTTAAGGGTGAGCATATTTATGCAACCAGGTTATTTTAACTTTTCTATTTTTTATTTTTCCCCTTAAAGTTTTCACTTTGTTTTTCAATTGTGTTGTACAGGTTATAGGTCACATTAAAGGTGGAAAAAGTTGTGAAAATATTTATCTAGCTGTCATGTTCTTACATCACTAAAACCTGGCAGTTGGACAGAGGTGTGTAGACTTTTTATATCCACTGTATATTGGTCACAATTTTTTTATTTAAAGGAAAACATTTTTATTTGTAAATTTTGAGTTGTTTATTATTCTCACTTTAACATGTGAAAATAAACACGTGAGATGGAAATCTTTTCATTTTTAATTTAGTTGCATAATAATTCTGCACACTAAAAGTTGCCCAATAATTCTGCACACATAGATATTCTCCTAAGAAAGCCAATATCTCATTTTTACTCTCTTAAATATTCAGGTTTGAGGTTTATTAAGATTTTGGAGAGCACTGTAGTTGTTCAAAAATAAAATTAATCCTCAAAAATACAACTTGCCTAATAACTGTGCACTCAGTGTGACGAAAAGATCAACTGAAGTAAACGTTAACATTGAACTCCCCCTACTGGTGTCAGCCTCATGTATTATGATTCTTGTTTTAGCAGATGTTCTGAGAAACTTGGTCATGTATGTTATGACATACCAAGAGACGAGAGGGTCATTGTGGTTTGGAAACCTATCCAAATAGGAAGGTAAAACATGAGTTCAAGGCAACATCTACAAAAACGGGATATAAAAATAATCAAATGTTCACTGAAATAAATCCATTAACTCAAGACTTCACAAACAAAATCAATAAAAGCCGAACCCAGATTACCAAAATCTTTTTTTAATGAAGTAATACAATGTACAGTATTCAAAGTGAGTACAAACAGCGAAATAAAAAAAACATACTATGATACTACGCAGAATTGTTGTCTTTCTGACCTTTCTGAATGGAGACAGTGCTAATGAACAGTTATATATAGGTCTGTTTTTCCCTTGAAAGACCCTTTTTTTTTCTACAAACACTTCCTCTGAGCGGTGTGTTTCAGGTTTTAGAGCCTCACAGCAAAATCAGCCTGTTTTTTCAGTTCAGGACAAGCTGAGAATTTGAAAGTTGAGTTTTTACACACTTCCGAACTAAAATCCTGTTTGGGAATGTGGTCAGCTCTCCAAGGTTTCTTGTTTTGTGAGAACAAAACAACTTGTCCTACTTTGAGAAAAATCCGAGCCAAAGAGAGAAAAACTCCCAAAAAATGTTTAAAAAAACTTCAAACAATTGAGTCTGTGGTGAAAGTCCATTTCTCAAGTCCACCTTTATTATTACATGGGGGTGTGTGCGTGCTGAGCGGAGGAAGGCGAAGCGGCGGCAGACGGCGCTGACAGCGAGGAGGTGGTGGGCTGAGGGGTGGAGGAGGAGGAGGAAGCTGTGGCGGAGGAAGCGGCAGCTGCGGCTGCGGCTGCAGCTGCAGCGGAGGTGGCAGCAGATGATGAAGTCTCTATCATGCTGCTGTGAGTAATAAAGCGCAGACGCAGCTTCATAGCCGGGCGCAGAGTCATGATGATTTTCTCCACCTGAAGAAATAAAAAAGACAAAAATACAGAGACTGAAGAAGCAGAAACAGTGTCCTGAAAAGTCCAGAATCAGACATAATTCTGTGCTGAGTAGTTTAGGGTTCTGAGGTAGGAATGTAAATATAGCACAGTGTAAAAACTCTGTCCACATGGTTTGCTTTTATTTACGTAACATCTCTTGTATCCACAATTAATATGACAGACAATGCTCTCCTTTCAATCAAATTAATGACTTAATGACTTATATGTAAGTACACTAGAGTAGCCTCAAGTGTAAAGTGGAGCTTCAGCTTCATCTCCTCTAATTAACTCTGGTGTCAGCTCTGGAGACTGGAGGGGAGAGTCTTCTCGGCATGCAGGAGGGGGTGACAGATTCAGACTAAAAATGGAAACTGGAAAAATAAAAACTGTCTCCTGAGGAGCTGTGGGTCCGCAGATGTCATCTCACTTGAAGGCTGGGTCACGAAGGTCTCCGCTTGTCGTCACTTTTAGTCTCCTTCAGCTTGATATTGTACGGTTGCTGTTTATTGTGGTTTAGAAATGCTGTTGCACAGATGGACCGCACACACTCACTTGGAAAGAATACATTGGTAACACTGATTTTTTCAAACCCTTTTTTGTCCTGCTTCACTGTGAAAAGTTCAGTTAAGGGATCTCCTGCCTGCAAGTCAACTTCTTTATATTGTTATTCATTATTTGTTGACACTGTTGTCATAATATGGCTGCATGTATTAACACAGATGCCCAATCAAAAATCTATTTGGTCATAGTTTATTAAACTAACATTTAACCTCACCTGATCCTTCACGCTGTCTCCAGTGTACATGTATTTGATGTGGTAGAGGAAGTCACAGATCGGGTCCATGTAGCTGAGGTGTTGGCAGTGTTGGTCCACGGCCTGGAGCATCTCATAGAAAGCAACACCGATCTGCAACAAACCAACAAAAGCTTCATATAAACTTGATGCAAAACTTAAAGTTTAAAGAAATTTTGAATTACATGGTACATCATTCAGTTTCTCTCAAATTTCAGGCTGGTTTTTTTCATTTTTTTTAAATAAAATGAGGGGAAAGAGTGTGATGATAATTAGTGGAATTGAATCTAAGATAACACATACTCATTCGTAAATCACTTCATTGCTTTTAGATGATAATATATAAATCTAATGTTATTTCATGAATCCTGTAAGATGGCCAGGCTGTTAAATAGATGCCTGATAAGCTAGGATTTTTATTTTTTGTGTCACTGTCATTTTTAATATAGTATCATGATAAACTGTGATAAGTGTAAAAGAATGGTTTTCTGAGGCCTGTACCTCCAACATGCATCGTGTCCTCTCTTGCTGGAAGCGCTGCAGGAACGGCCCGACCAGGTGATACACGTAGAGCAGCTGGAACTCAGTTTGAACGACAGGTTTCAACGTCTCTGACAGGAATCTGCACACAGACACACACACACACACAAACAGTGAATATCAATTTATCAAAGATTTACTGAACTGAGTAGAAAAACAGAGTTTAGACTTCCTCACTTGGGAATGAGAGACAGCTGTCCGATGGATGAGTGATGCCACACAGCATGTGCTAGCGCGAGCACGTAACTGCAGTTCATTTCACTGTAGCTCTGGTGACACGCTGTGAAGTCGAGCAGGGCGAAGGGGTAACCCACCCACTCAGTCTCTGATGTCAGCGCTGGGGAGCTGATAACCGAGACGATGCGGTCATGGAGGACGATCCAGTAGGGCTCCTGAAAGAGAGGAAATGGAAGGGAAAAAAAAACATACTGAGAATTCATGAAAAAGTAAACAGCTGTGATTTGTTTTTTTCTTACTTACAGGAAGAGCAGTTATCACAAGTCCAATGGCATTCATCCAGGCTGTGATGTTCTCTCGGGGTACCAGAGGTTGGCTGCAAAGTAAAGAATGAATCTGACTCATTAATAATTCACATCAATCCCACATATCACTAGAAAACTATAAAAGAGAAGAGAATAAAATAACTACATGAGGGAGATTTTTTTAATTTCCATTTCGAGATTAAAGTCAGAATTTTGAGATTAAAGTCAAAATTTTAAAAAGCCGAAATCAACCTCATTCATGTCGACTCTAATGTTAAAATTTCAATTTTTTTAACTTTAAATTTCGACATTATTCACATTTTGTAGTCCGGAAATTTTAACTTTAATGTCACAATTTTAATTCTTTTGATCTTGAAATTTCGACATTATTCACGACATTTCATGATCTTGAAATTTTTTGTTTCGTGATCATGAAATTTTGACATGAATGTTAAAATTTTACATTTTTAGTCCTGAAATTTTGACATTATTCACAACATTTTGTAATCTTGAATTTTTGACTTTAATGTCAAAATTTTAACTTTATTATTCTTGAAATTTTGACATTATTCAGAACATTTCATGATCTTGAAATTTTAACTTTAATGTCAAAATTTAAGTTTTTTTAGTCTTAAAATTTCGACATTATTCATGACATTTTGTTATCTTTGAAATTTTGACTTCAATATCAAAATGTTAACTTTTTTGATCTTGAAATTTCGACATTAATCACAACGTTTCGTAATCTCAAAATTTTGACTTTGATCTCGAAGTCAAAATCTTTCAATTTTTTCAATTTTTAATCTGGACATTTCGACTTTTTTGACATAAATTTCTTTTTTTCATTTTGAAATTTTAATATTATTCACAAATTACAACTTTAATCTCCTTCCTGTAATTTTTTTCTCTCTTCGTGTGGCCCTTACCCTATTTCGCAGAAAAATCATCCAAATATATACACCTGAACATTAGACAAACTTAGAAAATGCTAAATGTTCAAAATAATCGTACGACAAGCAAACTTTTACTCTCTTTTTTTGTTCTGACCTCTTCAACACGACGTTGAGCAGAGCGTTGCCCACATCTTTCCCGGGCACAGCCAAAGCCATGAGCTCCACACAGGTGACGTGCAGGGCGTGAGCTGCTGGGTTGGGGAACTCATTGAACCTCCAGTCACAGTTGGGGAAAGGACCGGGGGACTTGCCAGCCATAGGTGAAGGAGAGTCAATTAAGGAAGACTTTTATCTCGATGTTTTATGAACACTTCTCTGCTGTAAAAGTAACACTTGCTGAGAAATAATCATCTTAGATTAAATAAATGAGTCTGACTTATGGAAAATCAATCGTAATCCGCCTTTGCAGCAAAGACTTGTAGATGTAGAGCAGCAGATTGGCAGTGAGGTAATTATATTGTAGGCTCCCAAGAGGCCCACATCTTTTCATGAGCGAGTATAAGGGTCAGTTAGAGATCAGTGATAAACCTGTCTGCTGACAGAGAGAACATAAAGGAAGGATATTGTCCACCAGACGTCCAATGAGCTTGCAGTAGTATGTGTCATCAGGGAGCCACACATTGTCCTCTCTGGGGTTCATGCCAAACTTCAGGTAGGTCTCGCTGAGGCACCAACCCGGTGTGCGGTTGTCCTATAAAACAAATTCATTAAATGTTGGAAGATTCTACGAAGAAAAAGAGAGAGACAAAGAACAACAGGTTTTCATGAACAATCCTTTCCTTTGCTCACCTTCAGTGCAGACATGATCACATGGACCAGTTTCCTCTTCAGGTTGGTTCTGTCTCTCAGGTGTCGCTCATAATAGTGAAGGGTGTTGTAGAGGTAGGTGACTGGGCGATCTGCAAAAGAACACATCAATTAGTCTGTGAGTTTACATGCACAGATAATCGGACTAAGCTCGTAATTCGTTTTTTCGCCAAGTCGGACTTCTCTCCTTGTCCGCGTTTACATGCAGCTGAGAAAATTGAATTATAGTCGTGAACGTGTCCTCCTCCCCAAAACTAGGGGGCGATATGGGTCTTGTCAGCTGTGCTTTTTCCGACCCTGTACAACTGTCAACAACAACAGCAGGTCCATGCCAGACGTCAGAAGTGGCAACAACTGCTGCTGGGAATTTTCAAGCAAGAAGATGGAGCATAGTACATCGTTGTTTTTGTCGTAGATGATGTACGCGCTAGTTTTTCTGCAGATGAGGTGCACGCTATTCCACTCTTCTCTGGTGTTTTTGTTCCAGAATTACGGCGGCATAATCCAAGTAAATCAATAATTCAGTTTTCTCCAGTGTCATGTAAATTTTCTGATTGTTGAACAAACATCACATTCACACGCTCCTTTCATCCATGCACTTACTAGAATTTCTTTCTCTACTCCACGTGATCTCATCCCGAGGCGACCTCACTCACCGTGGAACTTGTACAGCCCTCCCAGGTGGTCCAGCAGCGTCTCCAGAGACTTGGAGACGGGGATGAGCTCCAGGAAGCGGTGGATGACGATGTCAAAGACGGGCAGGAATCGAAGGCACACATTCCCAAAGTAGATGGGCAGGTACTGAGGCTGGAGCTGCATGGGAGGGTTAACTTGGTCTGCGAGTCCTTCAAAGTACAGCTTCTCTGGGTATTTCTGGTAACAGGATGATAATCATTAAAATCAAAAGAAGACGGTCTTCAGACTTGTGTTTTTTTCTTTTTGCTTCACTGTTTCAGACAGACTGTGTACCTTGTGGTAGCTCATGTGCTTGTTGTGCCAGTCACTCTGCAGCCAGTGCTCAGGTGCGTTCTCCTTCACAAAATCGTTCACTCTGTTTCTGAAGTCGTTTGGTTTCAGCAGCAGCAGCTGGATGATGAAATAACAAACCTGGGCCTCGTTGTTCTCGTGGCTGCGCATCGCCTAGAGAGGAGGAGGAGGAGGAGGAAACTCAGAGGCACGGACTTCATGAATGGCTGACACCTTAGTGATGTGGAAACTTCCTACTCACCAGGCACAAGATGAGTCTGTCCAGGGTGACTATGTTGTGTTTCCAGACCATGTCGTTCAGCATTTCAATGTTCTTGTTGAGCTGAGGTCCACCTGCAGATGTGGAGAATTCGTAGACCAGGAAGTCTGCAAACGTGCGCACATGAGCCACAAGCGCACGAGCTCCAATGCGGTCCAGGACCCTGAAGGACGCAAAACCGAGATATTAGTTATCCCTCTTATTATCGTTCAAAGACTCTGCAGTGGATCAGGTAAGTTCAGGTGTTGTTCATGGAATGCTGCGGAGTTTCGCAGCTCAAGGAAGAACATTTATGATCATTACTTTATCATTTCCTTGAAGTATCAATCATCATATGAATCATAAATGTTCTTCCTTGAGCTGCGTCACCCCACAGACGGTCGATGGACTCGCCTGAGGTCTTGCTACTAACAAGTGGCTGCTGGAAGAGAGTAGGTGAGTTGTGTTTAGTCTCTTTTCTAAAGAAATCAGGCAAAGCTAAGAAGATGTTTGATGGTTAGTGCTATGGCTAGGACCCTATATGTACTGTTGATGAAGTTAGGTGCTGTTCTGAGCATTATTGGTGGCTATAGAGTGGTGTTTTTGTTGCTATTGTGCAGTTGTTACTAAAGTTGGTAAAACTAGAGAAGTAAGCGGTCTAACTTAATTTTACACCGGAATATTCCTTTAATGGTCCTATCTGCTGTTGTTATGCACAGAGTTCGGTAAATAAAGCTGATTCATGTGTAAACTCTTTAAAAGTTAATCTGTAAAGAAAACAAAGCAGCAAACCTGAAGCCGATTTGGTTGATGTGGTCTGTCTCCAGGAGCATTTTCCACAGCAGACAGAGGAAGAGTGGGGGAGAGCCCTGCATGGAGAAGTGTGTAATGATGTCGTTCTCATTGGTCATGGACTTCCACTTCCTGTACTCCTCTTCCACGTTCTTCTTCAGGTTGAAACGAGACTCCTGAGGAACGTTGTTCTGCCTGAAGAACGCCTGAGAGTGAAAGAGAGACTGAAGTTATTACGAGTACAAGAGAACCAATAAAGTTTCGCTCAGCTATTTGAAGCTTGAATACACCTGTAGGGGGGCGGGGAAGCAGGACAGTGTGTGTAAGGCCCAGTTATGAGGGGTGAAGTTCATGATGGTCTGGAGGATTTCTTTACACCAGGTACCGTGGATGGAGTCAGATCCTGTGAAAAAATCTAAAAAATACATACAAGTAAACATCATAATAAAGACAGAGAAAACATGACAGATAGTAGCAAAGAAGGACAGAGAGCATAACGAAATCGACAAAGATCAATCTTGATCATTTTACCGGTGACGTGTGTGGCTCTGGCGAGGGTGAGGATCAGTGCACGGTTCAGCTCTTCAGACTCAGCCGACAGAACCGTCTTCGGGTCACTGAGGAAGCGGGTGAACTGGGGCTGCACCTCTGAGCTCCCCAAAGCTGTGATCAACCGCAGAGCTGTGCTTTCCACACTGATGAAAGAGAAAAGAAGAAGAAGCAAACCATGATAATGTGTGTGAGGTGCTGATTCTGGTTATGGTATTTTTATTATATTTGTTGAAAATATCTATTTTAGTGACAAGTCTTATACTGGCTTCTAATGGGCCTATTGTTTGAATGTGTAGCAATAATAATAATGATAATAATTTTATTTTTATAGCAATTTTGAAAACAGAAGTTTACAGAGTGCTTTGACAAATAGTCGAAAAGCAAATGGAAATAAAGACAGATAAAAACAAAAAGCTCAGTTAAAATGGAATTGAAGGCCATTTTCATACATTATAAGAAACCCAAACAATACAAGAACCCTGCAACATAAAATGAGATCATGAGGACCAAAATAAAAACATAAAATAGGTAAGGAAAATGAAATGCAATTAAAAGGGGGGATGAAAGCAGAAAACAGGATAGTAAATTTAAATGACAAAATAATAATGATAATAAAATAATAACAAAGTAATAATGATAATAATAGTAATGATAAAATAGAACAACAGAAATTATAAAATAAATAATAAAATAATAACAAAGTCATTATGATAATTATAGTTATGATAAAATAGAACAGAAATGATAAAATAAATATAAATAAATAAAGTAAAAATGAAATAGAACAACAGAAATGATAAAATAAATAATAAAATAATAAAGTTATCATGATAGTAATGATAAAATAGAACAACTGAAATGAGCAACAATAAACAATAAGTTTACTCAATGAAGATAACTTAGTCTGGTCCTTTTACAGTTATGATGCGTTTGATTCTCTTACTGCAGTTTTGTATTGTTTATCACTTCCATTAAGCAGAGGTTAACAATTATAAACATAAACCTTAAATAAAAAACTGTCATTGTAAATCAGAGCACGGTCAAAAACTGTTTGCTTTCCCAGCAGCAACATTGACACAACGTGCAATAAACTCAAAACGCCTGTGGCAAGTCTCAGCTGCCACCAAAATCACTCTTGGCTGCCCCCTAGTGACCTGGAGGAGCATTACCCTTCAAATCAAGTTATGGCTCATACGTCTATGTTTAAATGTTTATAACAAAGACATTGCGGTAATACCTGAGGTTTGACTTTTTTTTTTCTCAGTAATCTAGTAGTGACTGTGTTGAATATACAATGTGTAATTATGTGCGTTAATTTTACCACAGGTGGAGCTGGTTCTGGTTGGTCTGGGGTACAGCAGCCAGGCTGTGCAGATGACTCAGCAGCTGGACTCTGTAGTGCGGCTGGATGTGGTGCATCCTGTGGCTGAACATCTCCAGTAAGGTGTGAAGGATTCCCCACGCGTGAGACTTGAACACGTTGGGCAACAGCTGGCCTGAACAGACACAGAGACAGAGACGCTTTACTCGGCTCGTCAGACAAACTGATGTCAAACAAATACGCAGGAGTAATATGATGATGATGACGAAAATAGCTTTACATCATGAGGAATACTGAGCACACAGAGTAAGCGCTTAGTCTCTGACTCACTGATGAATCCTTTGATGCCCAGTGACTCGATCTCCATGTAGACCAACAGTCTGCTGTAGGTTTCTACCAGCGCAGGCGCCAAAGCCAAGGTGGATTTGGTGCTGGCCAGCTTTATAACCCGCGTGGCGATACTGTGAATCAGACTGAAGGCGAGCAGGCAAACAGACAGGGACGTGGAAGAACACAGACACTCAGTTTATTCTGCAGACCAACTTTTCTTCGACCTGAAATCTATTTAGAGATCTTTGTGAATCATTACGGGTTTCCTTCTGTTTGAAGCTTTTTGGCTTTAAACCAAGCGAATAGAGAAACATATGGTGGTTTGCAAAACACAAAGTAGTCATAGCTGACTGAAATCTTTCAAGAGCTGTCACAAACTTCACAGTTATAGTGGGATGGTAGTCACTGAGTGCGACAACAATATCTACTTCCTGCTGACCGATGAATAATTATTGTTAACACTTAGTTTCCTCATTTTATCTGTCCAAATAAAACCTATATTTACTGAAACTGTATATTTATGTTCCAGTTTGCTTGAGTATGAAAGCCTCTGTTTAAAAAGCCAATGGTTGATATTTATGTAAACTGATTTTCACTTTATTAGATAGAAATAATCAATAAACAACACTTTTTTGAGGTGAATCTTTGTAAGTTTGGCCCTCTTTTCTCCTGCCCTACTCATTAAAGACTGTGAAATTCACAGGTGTAAAGTCAGCTTCAGAGCTTGGTATAATTCTCTTCCTCTTAATATTTATTCCTCTGCACATCTTTTTTTGTCCCTCACCTCATCTTCGCGTGCACTGTGAGTGAATCCAGCAGGTTCATGGGCAACGGAGTCACAGATCCTGACGCGGTGGAGTTGGTGCCAGGTAGGTTGATCCTCATCGATCCGTTTCCGTAGATGGTCTCCACCAGGACGCCCATTGGAAGAGTGAAGCACTCAGAGTTGGTGCTGTAGGCGTTACAGAGCAGAGCGATCTTGTAGTCGGACATGCCCAGAGTCTTATTACGCAGGGACTGCTGGAGAAACCTGAGAGAAGAAGAAGGATATTGTACTAAATCAAGGACAGAGTAATGCCTTTGAATGACTTTAAAGTGGATAGTGTTTCTTAAATATACATACTCGTGGTGCAGTTTCAGGGAGTGTGGTATGGGTATCTGCAGTTTGGAGTTGTCATTATGAGCTTTGCGGTTCAGGTGGATCCAGATGCAGGTCATGGCGAATGAATGAGTGGACTGAGGTTTGTTAATGTCAGGAACTGGAATACACTGAAGTGGGAAGGAAAACCGAGTATGTCATACATTGTCATACGATCAGATGAGTTGTTTTTAATGCATTAGCACCTTTACCTCTGAAACTCTCACTAAAACCAAAAATAAATCAACTAATATTAGAAACAAAAATAGTGAAAAACTCCAACAACTGCACTGTGATGACAAGCTAGATGGTCGATCTCCTCATTTGCAGAGAGGTGGTGATCTGTGTTGGATGTTGGATGTGGTTTTAAGCTCATGCAGTGATTTCCACTACAGAGTCTTGTCTGTTTTAAAGCACTGCTGACCTTGTCCCTTTAATACAGAGATTTCTTCACCTTTTCTAAATGTTTTTTTTTGGGTTTTGTAGATAAAAAATTTCCCCCGATTTTGCATTTTTACACCGAGGACTTCATCCTGTAATCGACTATACATATTTACCTATGTAGACTCTCACAAAGTGGTGAACCTCTTCTGATTTTTACCTCTGATAAAATAAGATAAGAAGAACTTTGTTTATCCTTGAGTGGAAATTCGATGAGAGGCCCAGACATTAAAAAAAAAAATCCTTTTTATTCCCGGTCATGTGACTAACCTATTACAGATTACCTTAATTTGAAGGTTCATGTTCTTCTCGGTGTGTGTTTTTAGCATTATTAAACTTTTTTAGTGTTGTTTTGTCACTGTCCTAATATTTTTTAAACCTGTTGCTACCACCGAATTTGATTTAATTTTCATGACACTTTAAAATCTCTTAGTTTCAGCACATATCTTTGCACTATCTTGAATTCAATATAGAGTTTAATCTACATGCAAAGCATCAGGTCTGACATTTTTCAACATCTCACACAGTGTCCCAACTTATTTGTAATTAAGGTTGTAAAAATGAAGGTTTAAATGTGAACCTCTTTTTCTGGGTACAGCAGGTCAAAGAGCTTCATGACGGGAAGAAAGTCGGCTAAGGCGTTCTTCTGAATGCTTCCCGATATGAACTGCAACAAGACCCACATCAGGTGGTCTCTGCCTTTGATGAGACCTCTGCCTGCAAGCTTTGGAGAGAGAGAAAGGAAGAGAGATGAATAAACACTCAGCAACATGTATCAACTGATCACATATCATTATTATATTTAAAGTATTTTTAAAAATTCTTGGATTCTACTACATCATCTATGTCTTTTATCTGACTTAGTTATACCTGCATTTCCCAGAGACTAAGAGTTATTCCTTACATGGATCCCAGCATATGATTTTTGATCAGCATATTACTCTAACCCTTGTTTTTTACGTCTTTCTGACATGGATTTGTGGCCTCATTTAAATACCACTAATTCAAAATGATATACTTAAATATGCTGCAAGCTTGTTTAATACAAGATTCTGACACAGTTGGAATTTCCATACTTTTCCATACCCTATTTTTTAGAATTATTTTGGGAAATACCTACTTTTCTATTTTAGAAAACAGTATTTTAGAACTGTGGTAATAGTCTGGAAACATAAATATTTTTCCATACTTTATTTTTCATTTTCCATAGTTTTTAAGACCTGGAAATTGATCAAATTTATTTCCATACTTTTCACACTTGTGTAGGAACCCTGTTAACAGATACTCAGTTTTTTTTTTTACTGGGTTTTGTTCTCAATGATAGGATAAAAAAGAAAACAGACATAAAAATAAATATGTCTGTTAGTTTTTTTCTTCCTATAAAGTCTGATTCAGTCCTGTCTACACATATGTGCTTGAATATTTAATATAATATAACACAGATGTCCGTGATAATTCGTCTTGTTAGCTCCGTCCTTCCTTATTACCTTTTGATGTAAAGAGAGCACCATGTGTGGGAAGCTCGCAAACTGAAACAACACAAAGAATATAAGCTGGGAGGAGAGGTGCTGCCACAGCAGCTGGCTTGTTCCTCCGATATCAGCGTCAAAGTGTTCCTCGGTCTCGGAGCGCTCCATGGCGTACACCACGAGGTCCACCAGCTGCTCCTCGAGGACCGGGCAGCGCTGCTTTTGCTGGCAGGAGGAGGAGGAGGAGGGGAGTGTTAAAGGACAAAAGGAGGGAACGGGCAGGAGGAGAGAAGTTCAACAGAGAAAAGGGAGGGAAAGTGGTTAAGGACGGAAAAAAGAGGGTTGAAGGAAATATTGGAAGAGAGAGGGGAGACAGACAGACAGACAGACGGGAGGAGGGAGAGAGAGAGTGCGGGAAAGATGATCATTAAATGACTCCACATACACATTTTTATGTTATTATGCACTCACATAGACACAACAATCAAAACTTCCTCCCATCTCTCACATGCAGGGCAGCATCTCCTTCCTGCCTCTGACTCTGACTGGCTTACACCGGCACGGAAACAGAAACGGCGATAAATGTGCATACTCCTTAGTGATTATGAAATGATAGTAAATCAATCAAATTATATCGTCATTGTTAATATTGTTAGAGTAAATAAAATAAGTTCAGCAGAGGTGTTACAATCATATAATGGAGGAACGGTAAGAAGGCTGGACAAGGAGGGAGGAAAAAAGAAGGCAGGATAGAGGGAGGGAGGGAGGGGGATAAAGACAGAGTGGGAAAAGCGGCTGAGAGGGAGCACAGAGAGACAGAGGATTTATGGATGTAGACAAGACACGATCAAAGTGAGAATGACTGAATTTTGACTCCAATTTCTGTCACAGGTCCTTTTTTTTTTTTTTGGAAGTACCGGAAACATAAAAATCAGACTTTTTTTACAACCAAGGTGGGAAACTCAACCCCACCCACTAGTGACAGAGCAGAGGGAGTGGGGATCTACCACTGTTCAACTTCACAGAGCTTTTCAACACAATACACACACAGCACAACACATTAAGACAGAACAGCACAACAGCGTAGAACTGAACACTCGATCAAACCAAACGGTGCGATGTCATCCTGCATGCAGGCAAACGGGTTTGAGGAGGTGGGGAGGTTTGTCGTGGTCGGGAAGAGGAAGAGGAGCAACGAGGTGCCGACTGCCGCTTCTCTTCCTCTGCCTCAAAACATGCACACCCGCATACACCGCACATGCTCACACACACATGCTCGGTCACTCTCACAGAGGCAGAAAGTGGAGGAAAATAAAACAGAAAGAAGGAGGGGAAGAGAAGGATCCACAGGCATTGTCTCTGGTATTGTGTATCTGAAGATCAGCCCAATTTTTTTAGAGTAACATCCTATCGCAAATGTTGTATAAACTGAAAAAAGGAAAAAACACTTGACTGGCTGCCTACGATCCATTTAAACTGCAGACAAAGTTAACTTTACAACACTTTCAAATGCAGAGCAAGAACATTTTGAAGATATTCGAGGGGATCAAACCTGAATTGTCCCTCTTCAAATGAAACATTACACAGACTGCAACCTAATCCTGCATTTCTACATCTTCAAGAGCAGAAATCCATGAGGAGACTTGCCTTGACTATTGCTTGATATTCACAGTAGCCATCCGATCTTACAAAAAGAACATAAAAAAAACTAAAGTATTGAACAGCATAATGTTGCCCAATGCATTTATGCAGACAAACTAATCTTAAAACATCTGTGTTAATTTAACAGAAATGTATTTAATCAAGCTTTTCATAACAGACATAATTTCTCAACTGCAACACTCAATAAAGAAGTTAGAACTGCTATTATGAAACAAACCACTGATCAGCAGTGTCTGTACAATCAATAGCTGCATTTACATGGGCAAAATTTCTTGATCCGATTAAAAATTTGAGGGTTTGAATAATCTAAATCCACTGTTTAAATCAAATAATCCGGTCATGACGTGTGTATACGTGCACCAAGTTTTATTCAGATTAGAAGCATTGGGACATGCGCAGAGTTGTCTGATTTCGCTAAAACAACCGCAGAAGAAGAGTTGTATTTACGCCTCACTCCATCCAATTCAGGAGTTTGCCCCTGCTATCACTAGATGGCGCCCCTGCGTACTTATTTTACTCTTTTTCTTTTTACAAAAGAGAGTTATGGAGAAATCACCAGGTAATGTGAACACTGCAGAGCGGCGGGTCAATCAATCTCAACACATCGGCTACAGACGCCATCCATGAGGTGGAAGACTAGATTTCGTGATGGGGCAACCTTCACTTTCCACCTGTGGTTGTTCTTGTTTGATGCTGATTGGCCGGTTGAGGAAAATCTACATGAGCCTGTAAAAATACTCTGAGAGACTGGACGCCATTTGGAGTCGCACATTAACCTTTTAACGTTGTTTCAAGAAAAAACTGCAGAGATCAGGAATCAGATGTGTTGACTGAACTCTTCTGCAGTTCCACTACTAGAGTCCCTGTTTCATGTGGTTAAAATTTCCCTACTTGTGGCCCCTGTTCTCATTTAGCATCACAGCTCTCTGAAGTTTGGCAACAGTTGTCAACATTTCTTTGAAGTTAGGTTCACATTTCTTTTGAAGTTAGAATTCTGTGATCCTAACTTCAAAGAAATGTTAATAACTGTTGCCAAATTTCCTGATTAGACGCAGACTCTTCTGATCGACATGTTTACATGGCGCATTTTTATTCCCGATTGTGCATTTTTTCCGATTATTTGTGCCCATGTAAACGCGGCTAATGTTATATCCAAATCGATACTAACTCGTAGGACTTGGTTGTGACAAATGTGCGTCAAATTTAGGTCCTCGACACTCAAGCTTGAAAAATAAATACATGTAGTTTGTAATGAAGATCAGTACCATTAATCAATCGAGATAGAGAAAAAAAAACAAGGAGTCAACAACCCAAGCTAAAGAACAACACACAACACGGGTCAGAGTTCACAGGCAGACAGCCAATCAGAATCACTCATCTGCTGACCCAGGCAAAACACTGATCAGTGAACAAATAAACACCAAAAATAAATCAGCTTGAGGTCAAATGTTGCCATGTCTTCTACTGTCAAAGATATCTGTGCACAGGTAAGTTAAAGAAACAGGAAGTGCAACCCCATGACTTTGTAATGATAGAATTGTCTCTTCATCTGTGACCTGGAGAAGAGATATTATTGGTAGAGGAATGCATTACTTTTTACAGGGTATAAAAAAAGGGAAATGAGCAGAGCTTCATCAATTTTTTTTTATATGAATTTATAAACAGCAAAAGTTGCTTGTGATTGACAGTAACAAGTGAGCAGAAGACATGACATTCAGAAAATTTTGAAGATTCATCAACAAACAATGCCAAATAAATAATAATAATAATACTAATAACTGATGAGACTGATCTCTGGACTTCTTGATATGTTCTCCTTGAGAGAACTGACTGGCTTTAGCAGTTTTCCGTTTCAGTTCGGCTGCTTGAGGTCACCTGACAAGTCCTTTAGCGACTGGCTGGCTTAACCTAACAAAACTGAAGAAGAGTAGCTTTGCCCAGGTCAGCCCAACAGAGAGCAGAATAGAGTCATAAAAAAAATGAGGAGACCTTGCTAACACCTTGCAAGGACCTGACTACATCCATACATGCAGCGCTGCAGGACTTGAAATGACAACAGCAGGGTTTACATTAGCGTGTTAGAGAATAATAACTCCATGATGAACTGCAGAGACACAAATCTGTAACTGTTGAAAACACCTCGTCATCAATTACAAATGGAGAGTGGGTGTTGACCTTGATATGGAAAAGGTCAGATATATTTAACATACATTACGTAAGCTAATTACAGCTTTTCTAATTACAGAAATTCCTCATTAATGGCTCTCTATCAGCATAAGTGGTTACTTACTATAGATTTTCTCTCTTGGGATCAGCTGATAATATATAACCTGTTCATTTTTTCTTAAGTATTTAAGTGATACTGAACATCTACTGATAATTATGGTAAACTGTGGCTTTAATCGACTCATTTTATTGCTGCTACGTTTATACTACTGCTTTCAAAATGGCGGTAAGTGGGCAGGTGAAGCAAACTGACTGGGTTAAAAGTGGGGTAGGCAGGAATCCGGTAAAGAAGCATCTTTTTTGGGGCATGGCTTTTAATATCAGTTAATAGCTATTAGTTGTTATTGACATTTGGTAATATAAAGATATCGCTGTGTTTTGTTATGTCTGTGTAGTCAACATTTTAAATTTTTTGAGCGGCCCGCTCTTTCTGACTGTAAACAAAAGCAATTCTCCACCTCCCCCAACCTGATTGGTTGTGAGGCAGACGCTGCTTCCCCCTGTCGTTCACAAGCCCGAACAAAGTTAGCGTGCTACAATATCGGACAGTAGAAACCAACCAGAAAGTACATAAAATTGTCTGAATCCTCCTTTGGCCACGACTGCCAACACAAGCAAGAAAACAAACTTAATACCAGTGACTCTGGCGGAATAACGGGCACTTAAAAAGGAGATAGACCAGACTAAACATTGTGTTTGCTGGTAGTCTGTTGGTATCTACAGTAGCACCAATGCTTTTTACTCTCACGTTGACTGGGCTCCATTTGTAATTATCTGAAATATTTATCTGCATTATATCTGAATTTAATTGGAACAATACGAGCGAGCAGGAGGGTCTGTTTGTGGGTGGGGCTTTCTGGAGCAGAGAGGGAGGGGAGAGGAGGAGCTGAGGGGAAAACTGGTCGGGAGGGGTAGTGTTTACATTCAAGATTTCTCCCAAAAACTGGCGCTTCCTCAGATCCTGCCTACCCCACCTTTAACCACACAAAAAAAATAAAAATAAATAAAAATTATGGCATTATTCTATGAACACCATTGATCAGTCTGCTGCTGCTTATCTTTCAATAGTTAAGAATAAGAAGAACTTTAGTTAGTTAGTTTCATGTGTTTACATGTGTGCCTGCCCACTAATCATTCGGCCATATTAGCCTCTTTATTTTCTGATCCAAAGCCCTGCTGTGACCATCTCAAGCCATGCAGCTTTTCTTTCCATCTCAACTTTTCTCTCCTTTTTTTCAAAAATGTCCATTTCCCAATTTTTTTGCAACATCGGCGTGCCAAAGAAAGCTAAGTGTCCAATGGGCTAGTTAGTTGGTAGGTAAGGCGACCAGAAGAGGAACAACGACATACCTGGGCAATGTTCAGAGTCTAGAGAGCGCATGGCAGGGAGAAAATAAAATAAAAACACAACCAGAGGACAAAAAAGAGAGAAACAAAGAAAGGGGGAGAAAGAAACAGAGGGGGGAAAAAAGGAGAGACAGAAAGAGAAAGTGGTGACTAAGGAGCTAGGTTGTTCACTGTCAGTTCAGCACAGTTAGCATTAACTCAGCCAACCCAGTGAATTCTGGGTAATTCGTTTCATATCCAAATGAGAGCTCTGGCTGATGAGAGCCGGTCAACCTGTGTCTGTGGTGCTCAGTGAGCTGGGCTGAGTTTAAACTGTATGAACCCAACAGGGAAAACTAACACCAGTGCATTATGGGTCAAGCTCAAAGCATTGGCTTGCTATCAATATGGTCTTATATAGCTGTGTTACCAGGGCAACAAAGGAGGGGGAGGATGTTTGGGGCAGAGAGGAAGAGAAATAGGAAATTTAACAGAAGAAAAAAAGTCGTAAACAATCGAGAAACAACTGAATAACAAAAAAAATTATGAAGGGGGCAAAAAGTAAAAAGGGATTACCGTGGAAGGAAAGAGACAACAGACAGGGAGAGGAGGCAAGAGGCAAAAGGAGGAGAGGAAGGAGCAGGGGAAAGAAGGGTGGCAAAAGATAAAACAACGAGGAGGATAAATAGGAAAGGAGAAGTGGGGGAAGGTGAAGGGCCTGGAACAGAAGCTGAGGAACAAAGACAGAAAGAAAAAAGAGATGATCATACCTGCTTATTGAGTCCTAACATGTTGCACACCATTTCTCTCGAATATGGCTGCTCTAAGACATAACGTAGCAGGCCGGTCTGTGGCTCAAAGAGGTCCTGCATACAAAGAACAGACATGTTAATATAACGTGAACAGAGAAGCCACTAAACTGGAAACAGCACATTTAAAATACTGTTTACATGATTAAGGTTTTTAAAGCTCTTAACGGTCTGGGTCCTTCTTATTTATCTGATTTGCTTTTACCATATGACCCTAGTAGAGCCCTCAGGTCTTCAGGTAGTGGTTGTTTAATTGTTCCCAAAGTAAAAACTAAAACATTTGGTGAATCATCGTTCCAACATTATGGTTCCCATTTGTGGAACAGCCTACCTGCAGACCTGAGAGCGACATCTACTGTTCATATTTTTCAAAGTAAACTCAAGACCTGCCTTTTTAGTCTGGCTTTTAGTTAAATTTTGTTTTAATCTTTTAATCTGCATTATTTACTTTCTTTTATTGTTTGATTTTAAGACTGTTTAATTTATTTAACTTTATCCCCTTTATTATATTTCATTATGGTTTTATCGTTTTAGTCCTAAATCCAGTGTTTCCTCATTTCTTTTAATTTCTTTTCTTTTCAAACAAATGACGTGGAAACATATTAAACTACTGATAAAAGCAATGCTACCTTGTCATATGGCAGCATCCCCTTCAGAGGGAAGCGGAGAGTCGTGGGGTCTAATTTCCAGGAGTTGCAGATGGCTCCGCTGTTATTAACCACTGGTAACAAGCTGCACCGTCCTGTGGACACAAATTCACACATGAAATGATTAAAAAAGAATTACCGCAATCAAATAAGCTGCATTTTGTCTTCACATGTTTCAACCAGCACCTCTTTTTTCCTCTTAAGATTTTTATTCTCTGTCCTTTTAAAATATATATTTGGGTTTCAAAAAGTAATAGACTTCTTTAGGATCGGCAAACTGTGAGGGAAGAAGGTTTGACAAAAATAAGAGTCCAAAAAGAGAAAAAAAAACAAAGCCTCATCTTTCACACCACTATCTTCTGAGCTTCCATGTGGGTGTGGAGTTCAAGGTGATTTACCGGCCAACTAGAAACAACCATTACTGCCAAAGCAAAAAAATCAATAACAATATCACGTATAAAATTTTCAACAGCTATAATCTTTTCTGGACATGTTTCGATCATGGTATAATTCCAACAACATGGTACAAATCTATTATTAAACCCGTACCAAAAATCATCCAAGAATGATCCCAGAATACCACTGAATTATGGGAGCAGTAGCCCCCTCAAGTGCACTGTATTGATTGTTTTTAGATATATTGACGAGCCGACTTACAGAATAGTTGGAACTTGGACAGCATCTGCACTGATGAGCAGAATGGTTTTAGAAAGGAGCGTGCCTGAACTCATCATATACACTCAGTGACATATTTGAGAGGTAAAGTAAGAAAGTTTTTTGACTTTCAGAAATCATTTGTTTGGTTTTACAGAGATTTTCTTGCATTTTAACTCCTGGAAGGCGGGGTTTATGGCAGATCCAGAGCCTGTACAATTTCCATGTTGTATGTGTTGAAATAAGTAACATGTTCACTGATTAGTTTTAAAACAAGGTTATATATGTTAATGACTTTGCTTTATAGATTTAGATGGTTGAGTCTGATTTACAAAATATGTTAAATATACTTAAGTTATGGTGAAGCAAATGGAGAGTAGAAATAAATACAAGAAAAAACAAGTGATGCACTTAATTTAGTAAACGCAGAGATATAATGCTACAAACTGACCAATCACAGGGCTTGTGGTCTGCATTGTTTTGATATGTGGTTACATTTCTGGGGAGATGCAGGCGAGGCAGCTTATGCAAGTCCAAAGTGGATGCTACAGCATGAAATCATGTAAATCAGCCTCTAGCGTCAAGTGTGTGCAATATTTTATGATCTGGCATGACGACAGCTATACCTGATTTATAAACCATTGGTAATAAATTAACTTTTATAAGCGAGAATAAGTACACAAAGATTGAGTTTTGTTCTGTTGATTTAGAATATGTGGAGGCATGTAAATGTCCAGGTTTCTCTCTTGATGAATTTATAATGTATAACGTGGGAAGAGGAAGTCTTGTCCCCGATGTTTAACTATGCTCTAGGAGTGTGGGGCCTTAAAAGGCTTCAAAAATATTAATACTGCACAGAAAAGAGCTTTCTCAGGATTCATGAATCAAATCACTTTTTTGATAATGAGGAGAGATGGTGGGGATTTTCCCAGTTCCGCTCTACATGTCAGGTTTGGGGAATTTTCTGCTCATCTTGAGGAATTGTGGGTGTGTTCATGAGTCTCTTACCACAGATAGAGTTGATTCTGGCTGTCGGTCTAAAACTGTCCACAAAGTCTGATATCAAACTCCCGAGAAGCTATGGATAAAAAAGAGAGAAGAGTTCTTTATGAGCTGCATGAAGCTGAACTTTCCAAACATGAACCAAACCAACACTTACCCAGTGTGACAGCTGGCCTTCTGGATACAGCTTTCTGATTTCATTGATGGCAAAATAAGCCGGCAGGAGGCACGCATTTCTGTCCAGGATGTATTCAACCACCTGGGATGCGATTAAAAAGCAAAATTATAGTAATACATTTTCCAAATCTAATAAATAACTACTCCATAAAACAACAAATAACTGCGCTTATAAGCAAGACTGTAAAATACCTCTCTCGCCGCCAGAAGTTGTTGGACGATTGCTGAGCTGACTGTGGTAGGAATGGTTTGAATTTTATCCAGTACAGCTTTTAGCAGGTCTCGAACACCCTTAAAAACACACACACAGACACACACATACCCTTTACATGAAAACATCCACAAGGAAAGACTATTTTCACTTCAAAGACAGTCTCTTTACAAGAGAAATTAAAACACTGGAAATTTTGGATAACATGCGAGTACTTTCATATGGACTCAAAACATGTTGAGATTTCAGCAAAAGATTCTCCATGAATTAAAAAAAAAAGAATATTAATTTAATCTCTTGTCGGTAGAAGCGGCATGGATTAAGACATGAAGAAATCAACCATTGTTTTATGAATAAGCTAGTGCGTATGTGTGACCTTGTAGTCCACCCCTCCAATGATCTTGCGAATAAGTTTGAACGTCAACGCCCACAACTGTGTCCTCTCCCACTCCAAGGTGTCTGAGCTTATTAGAGCGACACATACCATCCTTTAAGCAAAAAGAGACACACGAGATAAAGGTGTTAACCACATACATCAATGTGTCGTGTTTGTCTTTATATCTTTGTTATACTGCAAACCAAGAGAGTTTTCATACCTGGGTGTTAACAGACTGGTCTCCACAGCCATTGCAAGACAATCATACAGAAAGGAAATCCTCTTGGGACTGTGCTGGCTGTGTATGAACCGCACCACCCACTGCACACACTGTTCATGAGACTCCTGCAGAAATTCACAGATGTTACGAAACATACACACAATCGTTTATGTCAAAAACCGGTGTGTGCATTCAGTTTCTATTTGTACACTAACCTGTGGTAGTGTTCCCAAATAGTGACTGAAGGCTCCAAGACAGCTGATCAGTTTAGTCTTCTCATCTTCCGGTGTGTCCATAAACATCCTGAGATCGAACACGGATGATATTTAAGCCTTTATTATTTTATTTATGTCCTATTATCATTGAAACTGAGTCACAGAATGCAATAGGCATTAACATTACAGACTCGTATCTGCTGTCCAACTATCAGACCTAATACATTTTTTTTCGATTGCTAAAACACAAAAAGCAAAAATTAAGCAAAATTTTCACAACCGTTTGACTCAATTTGTTACTACTTTAGATTTTCTTATCACATTAGATTCTGACTTTCCTTCTTTACACTCTGATGTCAATTTCACATCACCTTGTTGTCAAAACACAACACACAATTTTTTTACACACACTTCTCACATAAAATCTCAAAGCATCAATCCACAACACACAAATATTCAAATCTCTAAACTTTCGGGTCTTGCGAGCAATTTGCAATATTAGACTGAAGCAAAAAAAGAAGGCTTGACCCTCTGTTTTGTTTGATGAGCAATGGAGAACATAGAGGCAACAGTAAGAGAAGGAGAGGGGTAAGAATGAGAGGAGGAGGAGGACAGGGAGTAGGCAGAGGAGGAAGAGGAGGAGGACAAGAAGGTGAAGGAGGAGGACAACAAGGAGAAGCAAGAGAAAGAAGGAGAATCCGAGTCTCCAATGAGATTTGTTTAAACCTACAGTAAAATGTTTTGTCTGAAAATGTGTGTGCTGTTTTATGTTTGTCTATAAGAGAAGTGGGCATACACTGGGTCATTTTACAAAAAAGGAACTAGTTCATTTACCAGAGATAATTTATCATTCATTCATTTTGTGTTTCATTTCTATAATTGTGTTTTCAATTTTGCTCTTCAGTGTTCTGTACATGCTTGGTGGTGTTCAGCCAAAAGCTTAGTTGTGTTTATTCAATGAATGGTATGTGTGTGTGTGTGTGTGTGTGTGTGTGTGTGTGTGTGTGTCAAGTGAAAATATGGCTGAGTTCCATTTTGTGAACATGTTAAGAGATGTAATAGCAAAGAGTTGTTTTGAAAAGGGATGCCAGGGTTTAGTTATTTGTGTGTGCAGTTTTGAAAAACGTGTTTGCAATGGAAAAAAATGTAAACAAACAATATCAGGGCTGGCATGAACATAATGCAAGATGCCTTACCCTGCAAAAGCCTCTTCAATCATCTCAGTTTTCTGTGGTAAGAGGAGAGAAACAAATGTAAAATGAGATTTAATGGGATGAAATGAATAATTCCTTTGTATCTGTCTGTTGTTCTATCAGTCCATGTTTTTCTTGTGATATCCCACTAAAAAATCTGTCTGTTTGAATCAATTGACAAGGATAATTCTGCTATAATAACATTGTTATTGTAGCAAAATAAAGAAGCACTTGGTTTGTAAACGAAAGCCCTTCGTAAATAAAATATTTTATTGTGGAACAAAAAATGTGAACCTGGGCTCTCAGATATGGTTTACTTTATTTGTAATTATTCGTATCAAGAGCTATTAATTCATTAAATCGAACCCAATGACGGCTTTACAGCATTAACATAATGAAAGGTTTGGTAGCAAATGTATTTCAGTTTGGACTATTTAACAGTATAACACCCTGAACATTAAATACAGCTTATTATGTAGTCTGAACTGCTGACTAATGTTGGAGTTTAACGCAAACAGTAAGATTTAAATTACCACAACATCCTCAAAGATGCTCTGCAGCTGCGTTTCCATCGAAAGCGCCATTTTTGTTGTATTTTTTAGCGAACCATCACACAATAAACCAGCGAACTCCTTTCAGTGGAGAGACTTATCGTAACAAGCTAGCAGCTAACAGACGACACAACAGACGCGCCGATGTGGGTACGTCTGCAAAAAGTATCCGGAGAGAACACCCTCACAGCAGCTGAAACGTTCCGGGTCAGTCAGGGGAGCATTGGATCGAATGTGTTTTCAATTGTGATCCAGGAAACCAACCAACCAACCAACCAACCAACCAACCAACCAACCAATAAAAAAAATGTATTAAAATGAAACACTATTTAAGTGGAAATGCTGATGAAGCATTTCCACTTATCGTTCTTCCCATCGGCCATTTTGTTTATTATTATTATTATTATTATTATTATTATTATTATTATTATTATTATTATGGTTATAACCTGGTTATAACCTGGTTATATCCTGAGACATTACCTGGTTATAACCTAGTTATATCCTGAGACATTACCTGGTTATAACCTGGTTATATCCTGAGACATTACCTGGTTATAACCTGGTTATATCCTGAGACATTACCTGGTTATAACCTGGTTATATCCTGAGACATTACCTGGTTATAACCTGGTTATATCCTGAGACATTACCTGGTTATAACCTAGTTATATCCTGAGACATTACCTGGTTATAACCTGGTCGTAACATGCTCCTCACTAAGAAGTTCTTCAATCAATTAATTTGCCTTTACTTGTACAGCACTTTTCATACAGTGAGTTGTAGTACAAAGTGCTTTATTTAAACAGAAAATCACTAAAATCATTAAAAACCCAGAATCAGTAAAGTATTACGACCAGCAGACAAATGAAAACAATAAATAAAATAATGATGATAAAAGAGCCTTAAAATTAATTCTGATAGGTACTGGAAGTCACTGCAGGGACTTTTAACTGGGTGTAAAGTTGGCTGTCAATCTGGTCTTTGTCAGCATCCTTGCAGCTGAGTTTTGTAGTCGCTAAAGCTGTGAAAATTATTTTCAGACCAGAAACAAGAGCATTACAATAGTCATTTCTGCAAAATACAAAAACATCAACAAGAAACTGTCACATGCTGGTGATATTTTTCAGGTGACAAAAAGCTTACTTTGTAATGTCTCTATTAATGTGTATCTCAAAATTAAGATTTTGACCTGAAAGAAAGTTGGAAGTTATTGTATTTGAATTATTTGATATGTAGTTTTCTGTATATGAATTCACTGTCTACTTTTGTGTTTAATTTTGTTTTTGTGTCTGTGTACAGTTAATAATAAGTAATGATAACTATGTGTATAACAAAGGCCTATGATCCGGCAAGAAGCCAACTCCAGGTTTTTAAGTTGGCACCATCTTTTCATCAAGAGGTTTACTGTCACATGGTTGCTGCCCTCTTGTGGGGTGAGGGAAAGCTGCAGCACTGTGAAGAGACTAGACTCTCTAATATAACAAATTAATCAATACAGTAATGAGTGAATGAAAGTACAAAAATAACAGAGTGTGTATTACACAGTTCCTCTGTATTTGGGCTCTGTATGAAGCTCTTGGATTGTGGCAGCAGACAGAATACAATGAATATGTCTGCATCATTTTTTGCTCAGTTTTGACAATTCTCAGCAAGCAACTTTAAACTGCTCTAGCTCAGCCCTACATCAATATATCTGCACAATATTCCCTGTGTTTATGAAAGGTGTAACCTGAACACATTCATCACACTGTTGCAAATAAGCTCATCAAAAATTATCAGCTAGGCTTCTTTTTTGTCGCTAGATAATGAGAAATTAAGTAGGAATTTTGAGGATTTTGGAGGCGCTCTTCAGATGACATCCACTCCTAATGCATACGGTGTTTCTTGACATGGACCCATGCTCACTTATCTAATGTTTAAAGTACATTAGATAAGATAGTACATTAGATAGATGGAAAAATAAGGGCTTATTATCCCTGGTTCTGAGGGCCTCCTGTGATACTCTGCTGATAAATAGACTATGGCGACTGATTGCCCGGGTTTGGGAAATATAATGAAAGCCTCTCGCAATCCAGTTCACCAGCAACTTGACCAAGAGAACATTTGACACCAAATAAACTCTTCTGTATGAAACTGATAAATGACCCCTGATAAAGCCTTCTTCACATGGCATGGGACTGTCTACCAGTGTCACACTTTCGGGCTTAAGAATCCTGTGCTTTGTCTGGTTTTGCTTCCAGTGACAGTGCCTGTGTCTGTTCCTGTGCTGTTATTGAATAAGTTGTCAAGCTCTATAATGCTAAGTCACAAAAACACGTTGTCTCAGCTGGCCTAACAGCTGCTATAAAGTTGACTGCAGTGATACAGAATCCTCTTCACTCCCTTCCCCCCCAGACACTGAGTTCTCTCATTTCTGGATGTCATTTTTCTGCATGTCGAATGACATCAGGATAATTCAAATTTGTCTCAATTTTATGCTCAACTTACTTCCCTACTTCCCTTTTGTCCTGATAAGAATTTACAACCACATTTGAATGCAAACAATCATTAAAAATAATCAAATAATAAACAATTGATTGAATTATGATGCAAAGGACACAGAATAAACAGAGTGCAGTTTATTAATTTTATGTAGGTTTCTGTTAAACAGGTAAAATCCTGAAAAAAGTTACAGTGTGTTGAATCACAATGAACATTGTAGACATTTGTGCCAACACAAACAGCCGTGAGTGCCGGCTAACAGTTGATCCAGCTATGATCACCAAATGCTATCATCTTAAATGGATGTGACTTCAGGAATGGATATGTCATAACTCTTTAAATACTTTTTCTGGTTCTGCAATCCCTGTTTTCTTTTTCATTTTCTTGCCCCTTTACATGCTTCTCTCCTGTCACAGAAGGCGACAAAAGTCAGTTTTTGGCACACATCATATTCCGCAGTCTCTGAGATTCAGTTTATAAAGTGACAGCATGGTATTTCCTACGGCCACCAGGTGGGGCTATATCTTGGGATGAAGTATTACCACATAAACCTGTTGAAGTCTTGACCTCCCTTGTGCATGGTGTTTGGGTCAGATTGGAGCATAGCAAAAAATAAATAAATAAATAAAAAGTGGAGTTGACTGAATATACCCTGTTGAAGAAATGACCAAAGTGCTACTGTAGAAAATAGCTGGGAAATATCTGCTTTTCAGATGTCATACTTTGAAAACCTGCAATGGCCATGCTCATAATATTTTCACACTGCCGACATTCTAGCCATGGTCAATGTATAAGATATATAGATAGCTATAGATATAGATATATTGATAAATAGATATAGATATATAGAATTCACACCTAGGTTTAAACAGAACTATTCCTGACCTACCCATGATACTAATATGTGCACTTTTATTCTTGTGCTAATTCTTATCCATGTGATTTCCTTCCATTTTGTGCATCACAAAAGGTCTGGGAGGTGGCTGTAGACTGAGTCCAGTAGAGTCTGGCTGGCCTCCTGGCTCTTGCTTCCTGCTATCTCAAACAGTTTATCCAGCTTGTCCTGGGCAGCTGGGGTCTCCTCGAGGATGTGCAACTCCTCTGGGTTCAGGATGTGCAGCATGTCGTCAAAGATTGGCTGTAGGTCACAAGGATCCAGGCGCACTTGGCGGAGCACAGTGTCTTTCTTTTCTGCATGGGAAAACATAAAGAATAGTCACTTCATTTGAAGAGAACCTGGTCCAGTTTAAGCAATAATAGAGGCTAGAATCCACTTAGGTTTACTGCATTCCTGCCAGCGAACATTTTCTAAAACCCCAAAATGGTTTTTCGCTCTTTGCACTTTATCTGTTTCTCTTGTTAAAGGGATATTCTGGCGTAAAATTAATTTAGGGTCAAACACACTCTAACACCACGTTAGACACCCCCTCGAGAGATGAATGTTGCAGACTGCTTGCTTCTCTAGTTATACCAACTTTAGTAACAACCGCAGGATAGCAATACACAGCAGTCTGAGGAGCCTTCAACAAACCTCAACAAAACACCACTCCATAGCCACAAATAATGCTCAGAACAGCACCTAACTTCATCAACAGTACATAAAGGGTCCTAGCCACAGCACTAGCCACCAAACCTCCTTTTGACGCAGCTCAAGAACATTTGTGATCATTTCTTCATGGAAATGCAATCAGACCGAGACGCTAAGGCAGAAGAACTACCGCATCTGCAGTGCAAAATGATTAATATGGTGGTTATTACTTCAAGGAAATTATAAAGTAATAATCCTAAATGTTCTTCCTTGAGCTGCGTCACCCCGCAGCAGTCCGTAATGGACTGGCCTGAGGTCTCACTACAAACAAGCAGCTGCTGGAAGAGAGTAGGTGAGTTTTGTTTAGTCCCTTTGCTAAAGAAATCAGGCAAAGCTAAAATGACGTTTGGTGGCTCGTACTATGGCTAGGACCCTATAGAAGTTAGGTGCTGTTCTGAGCATTATTTATGGCTATAGAGTGGCGTTTTGGTTGAGGTTTGTTTATGGCTCCTTAGACCTCTGTGTATTGCTATGATGTGGTTGTTACTAAAGTTGGTATAACTAGAAAAGCAAGCGGTCGGCAACATTCATCTCTCGATGGAGTGTCTAACTCAGTGTTACGCTGTGTTTGACCCTAAATTGATTTTACACCGGAATATCCCTTTAAGTTTGAACAGTCTTTTTCTGTTAGCGGCTCTTTGTGTGAAGTTCTCTCTTTAGCAGTAGGCTAAGTAAATTTTCTTATGGTTACACGAGGGCTCATTCAGTAGGTCATTAAGAACTGGTGCTGTCCCATTCATTTATTGTTTCTTCTATCCAGCCACTGTTTTTAAATCACATTTAGTATTCCCCCTTTTATTATTTCATACTAGTCTCACTGTTTTGATAAGTTCTATATAAATAAAAATAATAAAAAAATATGATAATTTCTACTATTAGTATTATTATAACCAGTGTTCACCTTTGCTAATGAAGGACCCGTTCCTGCTGAAGTTGGAGTCCTGGCTGGAGGTGGAGCTACAGTGCAGCAAAGGCAGTGACTCGTCTGGATTGAAGTCTTTGGCGGAGTTCACAGGCGAGTGCTCCGAGGAAACGCCACTGACCCCGTCCTTGCCACCACAACTGCTGCTGGCATTGTGGATGTCACCTCCAATGCTTGTTGAAGGCTCTGTTGGCTGGTGGGTTGGACTGGCACTTGGGTTTACATTCGTCAAACTCATAAGTTGGTTGATGTCACACTGTAGGTAGAAACAGAGAGATTGACAGAGGAGATGAGGAACAAACCAAGGAGGACAAAAAGTATCCTTCCATCACACTGCTCTTTCAACTCTGTGTATTTACTTGAAGATTTTCTATATAAACTGTATACTGTTGCTGATGATATACACTTTATTAGGCCCACCTGGCTAGTACCAGGTTGGACCCCCTTTTCCTTTAAAACTGCCTTTATTCTTTGTGACATACTTTCCAACATATTGGAAACATTCCTCAGATATTTTGTCCATACTAATATGATAGCATCACGCAGGTGCTGCAGATTTGTTGGTTGCACATCCTTGAAGTGAACTTCCACCACATGCTGAGAAGATACTGACTAAGATGGAAGTGAAGAAGAAGAAACACCAAAACCTCAGGGAAGCCCTAAAAACATGTGGGTACACCACGTGGGCCTTCTGAGCTCTGTCAGAGAGTTCTAGGTGTTCAAAGGAAAACATGAAATAACGCCTGTTGAGCAGATTAAAGGCGGTTCCTACATTGTTAAAAACTCATTAACAGGCCTTAACCTTCTGGCAAAGCACTTAAACCCCAAGAGCTGAACCCTGAACAGTTTCCTCAGTCAGCTGATGATGAAATTTACAACCCAGGTTCCCATCAGTGCTGAATCAAAACAACAGAACTAACACAGTCAAACAAATAATGAACAAATCAAAAGAATTACACTAGGCAAAAGAAACAAAAAAGAAAGAGTAGGTGATGTCTGAATATCTCCACTATGGCAGAGACAAAAGAACAGAGACTGATCCTGATCAAACAACCTGACAACACAAACAAACATGGCTACCCTGTGAAGAAAAGGTGGAAAGTTCCCCTCAATAAGAGAGTAGTCTGATCAACGCTTTGTTACTTTTAAACTGTGATAAAACTGCATATATAAGTATATATAGTCCTCTTGCCTACCTGTGGGTTGTCCTCTATAACACAGCGGATCTTCTCCACCACATCAATGCAATGTTGTCCATGAAGGGCATTTATAAGCTTGGCTAGGCTGGCGTCACTGTCCCGGATCGTCCAGTGCTGTAAGGCAGCATATGCTCGCTCATGATCTGATGAGTAACCATGACAGAAGGCTGCCATTTCCTTTTCGGTGGCGTTGGCCAGCAACTGGTAGACGTTTATCCACTCTGTACCCACTTGGGTTGCCACCAGCTTCAGGATATCAACCTCTGAAAAAAAAAAAACGGAAATAAAATCAAAACAGGACCCCCTGACGGCTATAGACAGAAGACCAAGAAAAAGTTAAATACTGGCCTAGCTCACATGAAGGTGGGTAATTTTTGAAAATGATACTTTTTCTGTACATTTTGGCTTTTTGTACACACACCAACTGAGTTTTAAGTAACTGAAACTATAATTTCCAAAATATCAACAGGTGGAGATTTTTAAAAAGTTTGGACGTCAGTTTGGAAGATGGACCTCAACATGAGCATTGCAATTCTTATCTATTTGCATTACAAATGCTCAAAGCTGGCTGTACAAATCTGTACCAACTGTCAATTTACTCATCACCTTTACCATGATGATAAATCACAAATTGATGGCGTAGAGCCTTTTCCACGTTTCGGACCACTCACAGCACTTTAACATTATTCACATGGCACATTCACCCATTCACACACTGATCCGGTGTAAAGCTGCTATGTAAAGGTCAGTAACATTAGATAAAGTGTTAAATATCATTTTGCAAATAACATAACATCCTTATGTTTCCTTGAATTTGTGAAAACACAACAGATTGTTCAAAAGTCTGTATATCTTTGTCACAAAAGGCACTGAAAAGCCTCAGCTATGCAACCCTCCCCGGCCCACCCACACACCCGGAGATGGTGCAGCCTGTGTTTGATCATGAAGAATGGATAAAGCTACCTCCATCTATTCTTAACAATCAAACACACGCTGCACCTCAGAGCCCACCCTAGCACAGCACACTGCAGTGTAATCTAATATCTGGTTACCTACTGGGCTTGGATGTGGAATTTGGCATTATTAACAATGTTGACGTTTAACAGGGGAGAAGGTTGGACTGCCTCACGTTTCCCTAATAACCTACATTGTTGTTTTGAATACGTTGGGAAAAATATGACAAGGTTGCATAATTTCAGATGAATATTTCCTCAGAAAAAGATAAAATTCTAAGATTTTACTGATTTGATTCCTTTTTTAGGGAGTGAAAAACAGATTTTGTCTCAACGGACAACATGTGGTTTCCCCTTTGGCCCTCATCTAGAATTTGTATCCTCAGTAAGTCATTCTACATATAACGGGGCATTAGACTGTCTTCTTAATCATCCACTCTACGCTATAAAGCGAAGTGTTGTTTTGTTGTGCTGTTTGAATAATGAGTTGGAATTATAAACCCCTTTGGTTGACTTTATGTATCTCACAATGTGTTGTGAAAGGAAGTGCACAACTGACGGTCACCAACTATGAGCATATACCCTCATGCACTGTGGTGCAAGGATATGGCAGAGGAATGATGCAGAAAAGTCAAAAATATGAAGGGTTTACTAAATCTAAGAAGGTACTCTATACAGAGTTAAGGATACTTGATTGTGCGACATTAGTCCTTCTCAACAATGACAGACATTAGACAACAGGCTTAATATGAGGCAACATGTGGCTCAACTATTTCATATAAAATATGGTTTATGACATTTATTCATCATAATTATTTTGTGTTTTTAAATTAAAAGGTCAAAGTAATGACCTTTTCTATTTTTAAGCTCCAGCCAGTTTTGAAGTAGCTCGTTAGCAATTCATCTCTGAGTCGTGGGCGGAGTCAGCGCTACGTTGCATCGCTGCTTCACGCTACCTTGCAGCCTAACATTGCCAGTGCAGCAGAAGTAGCAGGTAATATAGAAGCTATTGAGCTCTCGGACACTAATATCTGTAGGGGCATGATGTAAGCTGATATCATGATTAGCTTTCGTACATGCATTGCGGTCCGTTACTGCAGACACCTTTTCCGAGATTATCCTCTCTACTTCTCGGGCTCTGGCCTGCAGAGCAGGGTGCCAGGGGGCGGAGCTTTGCTCGGTGACATGGAAATGCACACTGTCTGAAACCTGCCGTTCGGGTCTGCCAAAGGTTCACAGTAATTTGAGTGCAGAAATACTCAGAAATGAAATTTTGCTCTTAGTTTTCTCATATGTCCTCTGGCATTAAAATAATTCCATATGAACATGTAGACAACAATAAAAACATGATTTTCCTCAGAGCAGGTCTTCAATTAGAGTGAACATTTTAACTTATTGGAAACAATATATATCCCATATGTTGTTTTTTTTTTTTTTTACTTCTGCAGGTTTTATGTTTCAGGCAAACATTTTTTTTTTACATCCTTGCTATAAAAATCTGGCCCATGGCCCTGGAAAGCTCCAATTTAGCCCTGCTACTCCTCAACCTGCTTTGAGCACATGCCAAGTACTTTATGTGTGTGATCAGTGCTTTGACGTTTCTTCATTTTTTCTTTATTGCTTGACTTTTTTAACTGCCCCAGTAAAGCAGCATTACAGCCTCAAAGGCAGCCAGATACACACATCTTGGAAGGATTAAGAAGCTGTTTTGTTTTATGTTCCAATGAGTGAAAAGCAATGTTAAATGATTATTTGGGTTGCATGAGCATTCACATAAATTCTACACATAAAATACAAAACACAGGGTTAGGATTAATTATCTCATCCAGACATGTGCACACAAGTGTTACAGCCAAGCAGAAATCTCCAATCTTGAGAAATGAAGCCAGTGCAAAGGCGCAAAATCACGGTAAAGGGGTTACTTTTCAAATTAGTAATTCGCTCTAAAAATATGAGTGACATCTTTCACATATGTATGGGCAGAGCTGAAGTGACTAACAGGTGTGCACACTGTAGCTTTTAACCAGGAAGCTACAGACCGACTTTGATTCCATCCCTGTGCTGTTTGCTGAATTGATCGGAAGTTATTTTAGCATTTTCAATCTGACAAAAGCGGTTTGGTAGGTATCAAAACTTTGCTTCAGGTGCCAATGGATGACATGACTGAGACTACACCCATGTTTTTACATGGATTTAGCAACAGAAGAATTTTAGTTTGCTGATCTGAATATGAGCATACCTGTTGAACCTCATTTCCATACAACAGTCAACCCTGGTTTCCTTTAACTGTGATCTTTGTCCAACCATAGCCGTGCAATTTGAATCCCCAATACTTCACCAGTCAATAAGGCTCAAAATTGTTACAACTTCAAGCCAGATCCTCAGTTCCTCATTCATTTCAACACTTTGTGCTCGTTCTGTGAGGTTTTTCCCCCTTACATCACTTCTTCTCTCCTGTTGCCTAGTCCACAAATCTCAAATGTTGGGATTTCCAAATATATTTAGAATACCAAAAATAGCTTGCATATTGATACCAGTGCATCAGAAATCAGAAATATTAAGACCCTTTTCTACAGACTGACTTGGTATGACCTGATGTGATTGTCTGTGATGCTACTCTTGCTATTCTGATTTTTTTTGACCAATCATGTTAAAGTATTTAAGTATTTAAGCACAGCCTGGTGAGTAATATGAAAGCTGGGTATCCAGTGCTGCCCCCCCCACACACAGACACACACACACACACACACACACACACACACACACACACACACACACACACACACACACACACACACAGAACTCCCCCAACCCGTTTCACCAACCTAACCTACCCAGCACTGAGACTCACAGTCACACTCAAATTACATGCCCTATCTCACCCTCAGTTCATTTTTTCTATGTATGTCCTTGTCTTCCTGTAAGAGACCCAATTGGCCCACTAATGTGCCTTCCCAACCAAACAAAGCCACCCTGATGCAGCTAAAACCAGATTATTCCAGTTCTCTGTGGTCAGATGCTTGGTAGCTGAGAGGGGGTGGCAGTTTGCAAAGATTTATCACATCAAAAGCTTCAGTTTCGTTGTGAAATCAAACCTAGGAAAAATATACCTGTGGATGACATGAACCAGGAGGAGTGTTGTGAATTTATAGTGGTAACAGTGAGAGAAGGGAATTTCCTGAGAATGATGCACAGAGAAAGGCGTCAGACAGAGATAAAAAGGGCAAGAACACAGATAATGAAGGATGTAAATAAATAATAAGGAGGTATATGCGCTTCCAGCGGATCAGCGAGCACGGTGCAGAGAGGGAAGAGAGAGGAAGACAAAGAAAAACTTTCAGATGTGGAAAAAAGAAGTTATTCTGGTTAAAGTATAATTTAGGAGAAATAACTTCTTCTCTTCTCTGAGTGGAGTTGTGACGCTTGTTTTCTTGTTTTTAGATCCCTGTTTGTGCGCTGAAACAGTCTGAGCCCTCATTGTGCTGGGTCAGTGGATGGATAACAATCTGTGCACTTAGAGTGTGAATGGATGTTCACAAATCTGTGCCCTCCACTGGGCCATAGCATTAGATTCTCATGTTGGGACCTTCAGGTATTTCCACAGTTATGGTCCAAATTTAAAGGAGATCCCACTTTTCCATTGGAGCCCTTCAATTTTTGAATGGCCTTCTTGAGGAGATAAGGCATACACAATCAGTGACAACTAGGGATGGGGCAATATGATTTTCTCCCAATTCGATTCTTCTACGATTTTTTGGATGCTGATTCAATTTTAATTGCGATTCTACGATATTGTCGATTTTCTCGATCTTTAGTCTGCATTTCAAACACCAGTGAAACAGTTGCATGATGATGATTATCTACTGACTATTCCAGGAAACATATTTCCCCAAAAAATACACATCACATGTAAGTCAGTTTTTAGGATTTATTCTTAAATTTGAAAAAAATAAATAAATCGATTTTTGAATATAAAAATCCTAAAACAAAAAAAAATCGCGATACTTTTGTGAATCAATGTTTTTCTCCCACCCCTGGAGACAACTTTCAGTTTTATCATTCAGATTTTCATTTAGTCATCAGTTTATGTCTTTGCTGCCCCACTTCCTTTTATCCGTCATATCTATCGATTTCTCAAGTGTGATCTCTTTCCTTTTCTCGGAATCTTCTGTTGACCTTTTCTTTGTTGCATCTTTACTTGACATAATTGATGATTTATTTCTCTGCTACTACTTAAAGTCATTTTCTTTAATCACTTTTATTCTAATTGATATTTAGTGTTTTTTTTTCATGAACAGTTTGAAATTTCTGGAGTTTTTTTTCCAATCTGACTGTCGGATGCTTACTAAGTTATCCTCCAATGTTTCGGCCTGTTCCTGTCAAAACACTTCTTCATGCTATTATTATAAAGTTATTATTACTATTATTATATACCATGAAAATCTTCACAGTTGTTTTAATCCTTTAAGTGGAAGGTGGTCCAAGTCATTTTTACAAGAACCACATTTTGGAAAATGAAAAAAAGGAGTCTTACCTTGTCCGTTTGAGTAGTAGATCCATTTCTCCTTGACCTGAGTTAAATGTGCAAAAGGCCTCCTCTGAATTGCCTTTTCCACAATGCTGCTGGGGTCCTGCACAGGACCCTTCTTAAGAACATAGGAGCTGTGCTTCACGTTGCACATCACAACCACCACGAGTACCAAAAGTAGTAGCAGCACTATCATCCAGGGGAGATGCTCGTTGATGTCAAAGTGATGTTGGGGGATTGGCCTTGGAGAACCCCTTCGGGTGGGCCTGTAAGAGCTGGAGACCCCACCTTCACCGCCTCTGCTCCCTTGTCCTTCCACCTTACTGGTACTCTTCCCCATTGAGGCTAACTCAGTACCCTGCAACGCCACTTCCATCCCTTTCTTGCTTGGCCCTGGCGTTGGTCTAGGATCAAGGTGCTGTTGTTTTGGGTTCCTCAGTTGCTGGTGAGCTGGGAGCTCATGAATTTGTGGGTAGTAAGTGCCAGATTTGCTGAACAGAACCCTCTCTGTATGCTGAGCTCCTCCATTTGGGTGTCCTCTGGACAGGTAAGTAGCTGTTGACTTGCTGTTGGTTCCTAGAGTAAGAGATCAAATATTGAGCAATTTTTTTTAATCCACAAAAAATATACAATAACTTAATTTGGTCCATGGTTTATTTTCAGCTGCTCATAGGGGTGGGAATCACGAGTGGCCCCACGATATGATATTATCACGATACTTGGGCCACAATACGATTATTGTGATTTTTAACATTTTGCAATACAGTGAGTATTGCGATACAATATATTGCGATATATATAATTTTTCAACTGTTTAGCTAATTTAGCATTCCTCTTTCCTTTATTGTATTTACGCTATATTTAATTTTCATGAAGCACATCTTGCAAACCTTATATATATCTGTTGTACTAACTTTCTCCTGCTCTATGATGTCACCTCTGCCAACCTTACTGGACAAACAGTTGATTTTATTTTTCCATTATCATAGACTTTACTTCATATGAACAATTAATTTGAGAAAATCAATACTTGGTAAATGAGACGATACGATATATCACGAGACAAAATATCCCAATACTATGCTGTATCAATTTTTCCTCCCACCCCTGGCTGCTCATAAGTATAATGAAATCATTATTTTGGGGGGAAAAAAAATCAGTTTCAATAGAACTAATTCAGAGCCAAAGGCAAAGAACAACATAGCTGTATTTTTCACAGTGCTGACCACATGGAAATCTTAGAATAGATGTGACTCAAATTGCTAAACCCTCCTAGTTCTGCTTGTTGATGAAGATTAAGACAGTGCGTAAGAAGGGGTGTGAAGAGACACTCAGCTAACAAGATGAGATTGGGTTCATGAGAAGTAGGTGGGACAAGACAAGATGAGATATTAACACTACTTCAACAAATGATGAAAAAAGACTGTTGTTTGCCCAAAGCTGCCTCTATCTCACAGGCTTTTCTGTCTATAAAGAGCTGCCTTGAGGTAATCTAGCAGTGAATGCCTTGTAAAAAAGGACTTAAGTGTCTCTTGTTGTCCCACCTTGCCACTGACGTTGTGCGAATGAGACATACACTCTTTTCTTTTACATTTGTGAAGAAATATCTCTTCTCCCCACTCTTGATTAAAGTTTCTGTTTTTCTGCCATTGTTTTGCGGTGCATGTGACTAGCTGTCACGGGGAACAGGGGGAAAGTGCATTATGGGAATGAGTGCAACACCTAAACCTGAACCCCAGTCATAGTTAAATAGAATTTAATAAAGAAAAAAAAATGGTCATTTAAGACCAAGCTCTGAGGTGACTCATGTTACTTTTAGGACACCCCCTGTGGGCTACTCTGTGTCTCTCTGTAGGGGACCAGGCTTACATTGGTACCATGTTTACTTCTTGTACTGTATATTAAAAAATGTTCTACTTTTACCAACATAAATTCTCTCACAGTTACTTTTCCTTGAAATAATTCAGTGATATTTCATCAAAGTAACTGTACCTTTACTTGGGTATTGTATTTTAGTACTCCTTCTACACTTGCACACTTTTTACTTAAGTCTGAATGATATCAAATGTCCATATAGATGTCATGTTGCAAAAAAAATGTTATATTATTTAATCAAGTGCCATTATCCGGCTTTTTATCTTCTCTGTTGCTATTTTTATCAGGCTGTTATGCCAATAAAAAATGATAAACAGAGACTTGAACGTGACCCAAAACACTTTTATACCTTATTAATCAGTTAGAACAAGCCCATTTTATCAGCTTGTTATGAGCAATATCACAGGTTATCAAATCAAAAGAAGTTTCATTAAACAGATGGTAACAGTAAATAGCACTTAAAAAATATGCCAAAGATGCCAAATTTCTTTATCTCTCACCTTTAAGTGCAGGTCCAGTTAGTGGTGATAGAGGAAAAGATGACGACATGATACGCTCCACAAGTAGAGTGGTTGTCCGCTGGGAAGTTGGTGAAGAAGAAAAGGGAACTGTAGACGGTCTTCCACAAATGTTGTCAGAGTCTTTAGTCCCTTGTGTTAGCAGTAGAAGCCCTTGAGCTTGGCAGTCTGTGTGGGCTTTGCACTTCCCTGAATTTGACTCCATATCTGAGAAAGTCCCCTTTGTGCACGGCTTGCAGAGCACATCCCCCGTTTCACTGCCCCGTTTCTTCACCCTGCTCCCTGGTGGACATAGCGAATGGGGTTTACACTCTGTGCCACCATACTTGGATAAAAAGCTATTGGGGGGGCATGTGCAGACTCGGTCCTTTGTGGCTGAGCAGGGTTCTTTCTCGATGAGGCCAGCAGGACACTGAACCCGGCAGTGATGGCATTGCTCGATGCCATTTTCACCATGTGTAAAGGTTCCTTCAGGGCAGGGGCTACACTTCCTGACTGCTGTGGGCGAGCAGTGAACGGACACAAAGGTACCTGCTGGACACTTGTCACAGAACAGCTGGGTGCCTGATCCAGGGTCAGTGTGCTGATAGAGGTGGGGAGACAGGTGAAGCTGTTCAGATGGACTGGTAGGGCTCAAAACTCGGGCTGAGATGTCAACCATCACTGTACATAAGAGCTGTGAGGGGGGAGAAAAGCAATGAATGATCCAAGTTTTTCAAGACATTTGAAAAAATAGCGATATATTATTCCACAAAAACATCTGTTTTGGACACCTTTTGGAAAAGGTTGTAAACACAATATTATTATTTATTCCCTTTTTCTGTTGAACTGCTGCTTAAATGCACATCCGGCACCTACAACTTAACTATTCATTTGGAGTCATGTTTCTTGCCATCTATGTTAGGGTGTCCAAACGTCCTGTTTTTCCAGGACATGTCCTGTTTACACATCCTGTCCTGCCCGTCCTGGTTGTTTTTTTTTATAAAGTGATGAAAATGTCCTGGTTTTCACTGTTTTTCATTGGGCCACTAAGATGAAAAGGAAAACTAAAGATATAGAAGTTTGTAAGAGCTATTTGTGTTAAAGTTGGATTGATATTTCTCTCATTATTTCTGTTGTTACTTTTGAAACTTGTCAAAATAAAACATTGTGAGTAATCTATCTATCTACCTATCTGAATTTGTGTCTTTGGTTTTGGATAGTACTTGGTAATACAACAATTTTCTATCCATACAAAGGAAGCATACCTTAGATGTATTGAAATTTGAGTAAACTTGAAGTATCATTTGAGTGTCTTGTTGCCGTGCTGAGTGTCCTGGATTTCGGTAATCAAATACGGTCACCCTGGTCTAAGTCATGAATCCATTCTCTTTGTTGTTCTGTTATTTTCCACCAACTACTGATAGAAATATACTGTAAATTGTTGTGCCAAGTGTGTTCACACATATGTAAATGATGTTCAGCAGTAGGTAAGTGTGCACGCTGAAAAACACATCCTAAAGCCTTTAATAGATGTCTAAATGTAGCCTAGACGGCTGGTCTAAAATCAGGCAACCACAGGTCTAAAAATGAAAGTTTTTTTAGACGTCTAAATTAAGACCGAGTTTGGACCAAGTCTAAATCTGGGCTATATCTTTACTACACTGTGTATTGCTCAACGACTATCATTATTATTTTGGTTCAGTACTTGGAGATCAGTTATGCAACTCACATTTGCCTCTTGAGATAAATAGTTATCGAATTATGGGTTAAAGTGCAACCGTCTAAATTCCGTCTAAAAATATACAGAATCTAGACGGTTGAAATTAGATCTAAAAAAAAACTAGACGCCGTCTATTGCTCAGTGGGAGGTTTGTGATGGACCTACAGCAGAAAATTTGGAGATGATGAATAAATAAATGACCTTCATGATACAAATTTCTTACTGAGACTGAAAAATGTCAACAGCAAAGTTAATTATGTTTTAAGACTAGGGTCATGATAAGAGATGGACCGACTAATCCGTGAGACAATGGGTCATGTTATGCCATTTTGTGATTTCTTAAAACACTTCTGATAGTTTACAGTAGCTCTAGTGAAGCTCTGTCAAGTAGCATGATGTGAAAGTGATGCTAGACATGATGTCAATCGAAAAGCATTTTATTCAATAAAGATTTAAGAAAAGAAGAAAAAAGAAAAAACAGAATTAAATGTTATGAGACAGTGTGCTTTCGACATAAATGCGACTGAAGCTTGTTAGAAACTTGAAATTGAAAACTCTTCCAGACAGTTAATTATATATTATATTTCTTATTCCTTCTATCGATCTATCAATTAAACTTCAATCAATCTGTCTGTCTGTCTGTCTGCTCTGGTCTGAAGAATCTTATCATAATGTACACACACCAGCAGAAGCCCCTATGGCCCTTTTAAAATTTCCTAGAGGGAATTTTCTAGTTATTTCTGTTGTTCAGTTAGATTTCTTAACAACACACATTGACTGTTGGGTTGCACATTTTGCCACATGCAGTCTGTCAACATAAAACAAGTGCTTTTTTGTCTGTTTATCTTGTAGTTCCACCACATCACTTATTCTGTCCTCAGTTATCCTTAATCTAATTTATTATGACAGTACATATTAATGGTTATTAGCTACAAACGCCACCACTGAACAAGACGTATACAAAACAACACATGGGGCTAGAGATGACTCAATAGCTCAATGGTCGGTTATGAATGGCTTAGTAAATTACATTTGATGGTTAGACAGAAAACAAATAAGCTAATGTTTCACTTTTTAAATGAATAGAGACAGACAGACAGGCACAAAGTGGCACAAAAGCATTACTGTGCCTCTTCATGCTAGCATACAGAAATGTACAAATGTACAGTTTGTGCAGACAGCAAGCAGAGCAGCTCCTGTTTCTGTGTGTCTACAACTTTTCCTGTCCTGTAAGGCTGGATCATTTTAGCCCTAAGCAAGAGACTCTGTTTAGGCTTAGTCGCCCTGAATTTATCACTCACAGCACTGAGTAAAACAGTATTTATAGATGATACTTTTTAGGTAAAGGTTTGAGTTTGCTTCTCATGACGGAGGTAAGAAAACACTGGAAATTTAAGCTTCCTGTTTTCATGTATATCATACACCTTGAATGAAAACAACAAGGGTTAATCAAAGGCAACCATTTTCTATATTTCCATATATTAGGTCTATGAATCTATCATGTTTTGCGTGTGAAAATGCATTTAGGCATCCCCAAAGATATAGGGCTGGGAAACAGGCAAGACAAAACAAGTTTCATGTTGATTATGAAGTTTTGAAACAGCATATATGAAAACGCTTGGTATACTTGATCCAAGTTCTTTGCATTTTTACAGAAATTATAACCTGTCATTATGAGATCTAAAGAAAACACCACCATTATTACTTAGAAAAGTCTGCTATCATTCTAATACAGTTGGGACTTTGTTGTTGTTTTTTTTTTTTTTTTGGTGTCTTTGAAAGCATGCGGTATCTTCCAAGAAAGGCCTTGTGACTTCTGCAATTTTGTCAAGGGAGAACAATGTGGGTGTAGCATCACTGTAAATCAGCAATATTGTGAGTGTAGCATACCAGTTCTATCCTGAGCCCAAGGGAATCCAACTTTTAAACACTTTGTTTGTAATACATTAAAAAAATCATCATCTAACATCCTTTGCCAATAACAGATACTTAGAGTTTTAGAAAATAACATAAATAAACTTTATACATTTTAAATATTAAGCTCTTTGCTTCATTCTGTTCCTTTTTTTGTTGTTGTTGTTCTTAAAGTTTGAGATAAATAAAGAAGGAAGAAAGAAAGAAAGAATATGCACACAAAATAGGTCTTAAATATAAAAGTTCATTCTGTCTATACTTTTTTTACCCCTTTTGTATACAGGTCTACACTCTCACCACCTAAGCCACTGGAGCATTAGAGCCTTGGTTGGTCGGTTTCAACCTGTTTTCATGACAAAATAATAATGATAATTTAAAAAAAGGGGAAAAAAAGAAGGTTTACTGATGATAATAAACTACTTCTCAGATACAAAGCAGACTAATCCACCTGAAATAGGAGTACTTATCCAAGAGTAGTGTCTCAGACTAAACAGTCATCCATTGCATCCATCCAGAAGTGCTTAGCAAGTATGAATATATTTACAAATGTACACGGTATAAAGGAGATATATACATCAGTATATCATGGGTATTGTTATGAATATGCTTTAACTATAAGTATGTACAGGCTATCAACAGATTATACATATGGTTATAAATATGAATGCTATAAACAGACTTTAAATGTGATTATATGACAGATAAATTATACAGTAGTGCAATATTGGGTGTATTTACAGTAGTGCAAATGAGGTTTGAAAGGTTTTAAGTTGGTTACGGATATAAAGGGCAGGTAATAGTAGATCATTGTAAGTAGTCCTTTTCCGAGGTAATTTATTTCCACAGTACAAGCCCTCATCAAAACTTATAAATGACAGTATGACACAGCAACAGCAAGTACAGCCATAAATGCTGTCACACAACATGAGTCACTTGACTGACATTTCCTGTCCTTTATCCAACACAGACTGTAACAAGTAGGCTGGGTAATACTGCTCTGTGCCTTGAATTTGATCATCATTCCACTTGAAACCCTGTTGTGGTCAGAAATGACTGACATATCTATGACATTTGAACAAGATGATACCTGATTCAAAGTTCAGTCTAGGGAAAAGGGGGGAAAAAACAGGCACTATTCCTTTAAATTGAAAATCTGCTGAAGAACTAAACATCAGAACTCACCGCTGCGGACACAAACATGGCAGGCATCGTCCCAGAAAACTCAGATGAAGGTGGAGCACACGCCCTTGTGCAAGTTGTCTGCTGCATAAACTCTTCTCATTCTGTGAGGTTTCTCATAATCATCACCACCACCACCATCATCCTCATCGTACCGGTTAGAAAACCAGGCAGCGCTCTGGTTCAGCGACACTCTCAACAACAGTGTTTTGTAGTCCGTGTCTGTGAATCAAATGGTTTCCTGTGATAGTACGGAGTGGCTTGATTTCGATGGAAGGTTGTGGTCATTTCCATAGCGGTGATGGATATATTGGCAACACCGGGAACGCCGACTCCTCCTCGCTCTGTCCTGGCTACTGCCTCAGTGTGCAGTGCGACTTTCCCACAGTCTGCAGAGATCCGCAGACACTGGCGCGGTGACGTAGAGGAAGAGGGGCGTGAGTGAGCAATCTCCCCTCTGTAGCTCTGCACATGTTAGTAACCCACAGTGGGTTGTGTGGAGACAGGGTGGGGACGGCTGTAACACATTGACAGTTGTAACACCAATCATACGATTTATGTTGAATTGAATTGTAATTTCTCTGACATGTCATTATGACTTCTTTTCTAACCATTGCCAAATATCTATGCTGATACAGCTAGATAAACACTGGTTGACAGGGGTGAGGTAGGTTGTGACACATATACAAGCTAAATCCACAGTATATCAGTAAATCAGCCCATATCAACTGACAGCACAGCCATTAACCTTCAACACATTCAACTGGCAAATGTAAACATGGGCTATTTTTTATTATTTATTTATTTATTTTAATATTTTAAGTGTTGAATGTATTGCCACTTATGGTGGCTGGGAACTGCCACTGCTGCAAATAAAAAAGAATGCAAAAAAAGGAGTCACAATGGAAGTTTCTGATGAAAAAACAAAACAAAAAACAAAGCCCACTTCAAATAAAAAAAAAGAAATGGTGCAGATCAAAAAAAAGTTACTTACTGTTACTTACGGTTTAATTTTGTGTTGTTGTTTTTTTTAATTCATACCATTATTTTTATTTGCAGCAAGCTTTGGTTTCTTTTTTTCTGCATTGGTAACTTCTGTTGTGGCTTCTTCTTTTTTTTTTTTTTTTTTTTTTTTGCATTCATTTTTATTTGCAGCAGTGTCAGTTCTTGGCCACCATAGACACTAATGCCTACTCTGTTATGTTTCCCCAGGGTTTTTGCTGCTGCTCCTCCTGTCTTGGCTTTTCAAATCTGCATTGGTAAGCTCTCTACCCAAAGTGAATTGAATGAAAACGATTAGTTAGCTCTTGCTGTAGCTCTACTTCTTTTATGTTTTTGTTACAGTAAAACAATAAACTACAAGTGAACAACCACTTGTTGCCTATCAGTTCATTACTCAAACTGTTAAGACTGAAAGCCAATTCAAAACTGTACTGGGCCTTGATGCCACTTATTTCCTTTACGTGACATAACTACTTTATCCAAAATGTGATTTTGGATGGGTTAAAGCTGAGAGTGTAATCACACTTGTGAAATTTGAAGCTACTGTAAAAGTTAGTCTGTGGTATCCCCACAGGGTGGCGCTATAACTACAGCTGAAAAAAAAAAATCTCCATTAAGATGTATCAAAGGGTGGAAGTTGATAATGTATATGATAGTCAAACAAATTGAGAGTCAAACTGAAATCTGAGGAGCTACCAGGGACACACTCTTCAACGAAAAGTCACATTACAGACAACAGTGCCTCATCAAAGAGTGAAGGCTTTTCTGACCATATTTAAAATGAATATGTGCAAGAGAGGAGGAACATTTACATCACAGACTAAAATGTCTGATTTGCAGTTGAGGGCAGTGTGGCCATAGGCAAATGAATGTAGGTTTGAGCAGACTGGGACAGTAATCATAAGTTTAAATCTTGGAAATCATCAAAAATAAACACGAGAGTTCAAAGGATTTTTGTTACTGAGCAAATTCCTACAAAAAGGGAAACCTCCTTCTCTGACCCCTAGCCAAGGCTACACTTGAATACATTTCTTAAACTATGTATAGCCTGTGATTTTCAGTTATGTTTTTAGTACACTAAGCATATTTAGGGTTGATGGAATGAACCCTTTGAGACAAATTTGTTCAAATATAAAATGTTTAAAATACAAAAAATAGGTGTTTTGTATAGTAGGGCAGTGAAATGGAATAAAACAAGAAAAACTAATGAAATTTAACAAAAATAATAGACCACTTGTAGACATTTACGTTAGTGTGTGTGTGTATCTGCGTCTGTGTGTGTACTTGTGTGTCTGTGCTTTGATTGCAAGGTTTGTATGCAGTCAAACACATTTGCATAGAATTTGTGTTAACGGTAACCATTGAGAGATTGTTGACACTTTGCTTAAATGAATCCTGGCAGGATGTATTTGCCTTCAACAACTTCCTTTTTAACAACTCATAAAGTAGTGTAAGGGAGATAAGCTGGGTGGGCCTTGTGCCCGCTGTACTGCAGAGAATTGTCTTTTGTGTGAAACATCGAATAAAGAACCTTATCACAGAGGCCATCCAACGTCACAGTGAATGATGTTAACAAATTCATGGTGAATGTTAAATTAAAAAAGGCTTATTATAAAAAAATAAAGACATTAAATAAAATGAAGTGATTTTCATGATGCTATGTAATCACTTGAAAGGGTTTATAAAATCAGACTTAATTCAAAAATAGTAAGTGAAACATAAAAATGCCACAATTACACACTTTTTACACATATTTACGCATTTAGCTGTGTGATTGTTTAATCTATTATTCACTTCATGTCCTCCTTCACAAACTCGTTTTCTTTGGGGGTGTGGTTGTTTACCATGTTTTTAATCAGATGATGACAAAGGTGTTTCTGTGCCAGAATACAGTGACATATGTAAGATCTGACAGCTGGGTTTTTTGTCTGCTTCTAGACTGTTCACAAAAAATAACAAAATAAATAAAAAAAGATGAGCTGCAATACATTGCTAAGTGATATTACTGTAATGGCTTTTACCCAAACCACTACCAAATCCATCTTTTTCTAATCTAATTCAATTCAATTCAATTTCTATCTATCTATCTATCTATCTATCTATCTATCTATCTATCTATCTATCTATCTATCTATCTATCTATCTATCTATCTATCTATGATCAAGTGTTTGGATGGAGGTGTTCTCACTTCCACCTGTCTCTGTTCTCAGAGGACTTCCACGAACGAATAACTCATATTTGGATTAATATCAAATCAATTGTTTCAATAATATTACCACTACCATGAGAAGTCTTTAATTGATACACAGCTTAATCGTTTTTATTTCTATTTCTATTTCTATTTCTATTTCGTTACAGTTCCTTAACCCCAATGATATGTTTGTGTTGGAATAACACCTACAAAGTTTCCCACTGGTTGGGAGAAGCCATGGAGAGGGAGTACTTTGAGCCTTGTTGGCCATATCAACAAACTCGCAGACATACATATTGGGGAGAGTGGGGTAAGAGCTAAAGGGTAAGTTGTGCCACTCCCTGTTGCTTGGAAATGGTAAAAGAAATTGATCATGTGACCAAAATTTTAGAAGATGGGCATCAATTCATTAAGTCTGTGAAGGTTAGAAGCACATGGGTGAAGGGGTTAGACATTTATTTCCAAAAAAAATATATATATATTCACTCTTGAAAGTTAATTTAGTCTGTCATAAATTTTATTAGAATTGTGTTCAGACCAAGAAGGATTATTTTGAATTTGTTTTATACATCAATTGTGGTATCTATGAGCTACAACATGAGATCAAAAACCTAGCATAAAAGTCCACCATTTTAGCTTAGAGGACTAATAAAGTCATAATAGTAGTTCTGGGGTAAGTTGAGGGTAAGATAAAATTTAAAAATATAGAGATAACATACAAGTATTTACACTATAAACAACATAAATAGTAACATTGTATGCATGTAAAACAGTGAGCAGAGTCCAGGTAAAGACTACTGACTGAAGGTGTCAGGGTCTCTGAGGGAGGAGTTCAAAAGTCTGATGACCGCAGTTATATGCAATAATAATAATAATAAAAAGAATCATTGTCCCAGTTGAATAGTGTATAATAGATAAAAAATACACATGAATGTGAAGAAGTGACTGTTATTAAGGGAGAGAGAAGGTCAGGGAGGGCTGGGGTGGAGAGTGGAGGGGTTAGTAGGGATACAGCTCAATTTACCCCACTCCTATGGTCAACTTACCCCATACACGGGGTAAGTTGACCATAGGAGACCACTTTGGACATTCTGTTGGTTTGCAGGGGTGCACAACATCTTGAAATACATGCAGATACACTAGTCAGAGACAAAACTATGATTGCCTTGATGTAGTGATCCGAAATATAAAAAAATGTCTCATCTTACCCCACTCTCCCCTATTATAGTAACTGTAGTTGCTCCATAGACCAACTCTCCTTGGGACATCAACATTCCATTAAACATTTCTCTCGCGGGACTGTCCTGCATGAAACATCGCGAAGTTTCCCTGCGATGTTGTCTCTTGGCAGCAGGAGTCAGGCGGCAGCTAGCAGCAACCCGCAGAGGCAAGTCCAAGGAAGGTGGAGACTCCTGCTTTAACTTCCTGCACAATAATCTTGAAACACTTTAAAGTAAGAACTAGGAGGGTTTCACCGCCGCTTCTCGAGCAAAGGCGAATGGATATACGGTTGACACCCCATTCTTTTCGACTGTGAATCGATAAATACCAAATTGGTGATCGATTAAACACATCTTACCTGAGTTGTAGCTTGCTAGCAGTGAGACTACTGGAAAGGAGATTCTCAACACTTGATAGCGAGGTGGTGCGACGGACAGGAATGGGTGAGTTTTCCATGATGTGGCGCTTGTGATGTCCGTTTAATGCCAACTGCTCCTTCTTTCCGGTTTGACATTCAAAGCAAGTTAAACACACACGAAGCACCAACGGGTCCGTGACTTCAGCGTCCCTCCCAGCGTTAGTCTTAATTGAGACAAAGTTAGCAATGTAGGAAGCTAGTTGGTTAGCCTAGCTAGCTAGCCATCCAGTTAACTGGATAACGCCACCTACATCCTCGGATTTGGCTGCACGTCGATCTAATGTAAACACGAGCTGCCCCGTTGTTAACAAGACCTATTTAGAACATATTACGTCCAGAAAGCATTATATTCACATAATATAGTCAATATGATCGTATAAATGTCTTTAGTCTTGTCTAACTGTACTGCGACGTTGAAAAGTTGGGACCGTTTGCAACTTTGTATAGAAATGACAACACAGACCGGATACTCCAGATATCAAGTAAAGATTTACTTACTGTCGAGATTAAATACTTATTTTTTTAAAGTTCGATACCAAACCACCTCAGTTGTGTAGCACATATCGCAGTCAATAACAATTGGTGTCAGTCTTTTAGAATTTCAACACCTAAATGCACACAGAATTATTATTGTCTGCAGGGTCTGTTTTTGTTATTAAACTAATAATACTGCGAGAACTATATTTAAAGGACTCTGACTGTGATTGATTTAGATCTCTGCTGCATAAAACAACATCATTCAGAGCATATTAGAGCAAAGAGTTTTTTAAAAATCAAGTAGAGTTGTCATCTTTGGTTAAAATACACTAAACGTTGTTTATTTTACATACTAAACACTGCTTTTGTTCCGAACTTGCTGACTTAAATTTATAGGAAACACTCTGATCCTTTGCGTATTTATAAACCTATAATGTATGATGAAACCTACCCTATAAGACTGCGACCGTAAATAGAGAACTACATTTAAAGGATTCTGACTGCTGCGTAAAAATAATCATTCTGAGCACATTAGAGCAAAGAGTCATTTAACAATCAAGTTAAGTTGTCATCTTTGGTTAAAAAACAGTAAAAGTTGTTTATTTTTACATACTAAACTTGGCTACTGTTTCAAACTTGCTGACTTAAATTTATAGGAAGCGCTCTGATCCTTGCATATTTGTAAACCTTTAATGTATTATGAAACTTACCCCATTAGACTGAGACTGTAAATAGAGAACTACATTTAAAGGATTGTGACTGTGATTGATTGAACTCTGCTTCCTAAAACAACATCATTCTGAGCATATTAGAGCAAAGAGTCATTTAACAGTCAAGTCGAATTGTCATCTTTTCTTAAAATTCAGTAAAGGTTGCTTATTTTATATACTAAACCCGGCTTTTGTTCCAAACTTGCTGACTTAAATTTATAGGAAGCTACCCTGATCCCTTGCATATTTGTAAACCTTTAATGTATTATGAAACGTACCCTCTGTAAGTCCACAGATATGCAGCCTAGGGTTGGTGGGGTGGTGTGCATGAAGACTTGTTCAAGAGCTTTGCTATGCTGTCAAACAGGTTTGAAGCTCAGCTTTGCTTAGCCTTCATATGTGCAAGGCAGTAGATTTGTTGTTTTGACAGTATCAGTCAAAGCATTACTAGGAGCATAACTACTCTGTATTGTCTCTGTTATACACTCAAAGCAAAAAATTATAGAAATTACACTGTGATAGACCAAAGGGGGTATCACTGTATTCTGAGTGCAAGGACATTAATATTGATGTCTTTTGACTATTTGTTTCAAAAGACAAAAAGCATCCCCACGTTGAAAAGTATCCACCAAAATAACTGTCTCTTTACAAGTATTCATGTCTGGGATGATAGATTTTTCTGCTTAACTCTGCCTTGGAATGGCTCTCTTGAAGGAGTTCATATCTGAGGATACCTCAGCTGTGTTTGAACATGTCCCAGCCGTGTGTACGTTTGTGTATGTGTGCGAACAGCATACACAAACCTCATCTGGTTTGATGTCACAACCCTGTGCTAACAGTCTTTCAGCAATCTTGTATTTTGAATGTTGTATCTTTCTTTTTTTTTTTTTTGTATTTCTTTTGTAGGAATTGGTGTTACCATACTTTCAGATTTTGATATGATACTTAAACTTTTTGATGCAGTTTTTGAAATTGATTTTATTGATAGCAATACTGAAAGGGATACCTTTTGAGTGGGAGAAAATATGAAAAACAATCACCCAAAAATATCATGGGATTAGAATTCAAAGAGCCACGAAGAGGAAAGACTGAATTTTATTAAATTTATGGGATGTTTGTACTTTGTAAAACTTGGATAAACTCTCTTGCAGTAAGTGTTTAGCAGTGTTGCAGATGATTGAGGCAACTTCTTTTTGTCCTCGGTCTCTATCAAATCCTCAGGCCGAGTTGTTTAAGTGACTGTATCGTCACAAATTGTGCCTTTAGCTTCTTGTTTTACATGTTCAAAGGTGCCATCACACTATGCCTCACTTTCACTCTGCTATGTTAACACGTTTGAGGAAGACTGTGAACAAAAAGTGTTGTGTGGGTGTGTGTGTGCTAAGGCTGTGCATCATAATGCGCTGCATCCTCAGCTCTTCTATATTGCTATTTTTTCATCAATGACTACAAGCAGTCAGATAAATTGGAACTCCCTGTTTCAGGCGTTTTAAGACGTCCAAAAGTCCATGCAAGCGCACAATGATTACAAGAATAATCTTAGGAATTAGGAATTACGGTGAGGTCATCGCATCTACTCAGGGTTCAGGCCCTAACAAAAAGAACCGAGTATTGGTTCAAACTTTTTTTAGAGGAATATTCAAACCCCATTTCAGAGTCAGAATCAGAATATTTATTGATCCCAGGGAAAATTCAGCATTTTTGACCATTTCTGACAGCTCTGGCAGTCAGCTCCTCTGTGTCATCTGTTATTTACCCACAGCATTTGAGCAACTTAGGGCTACCTAGCTGCTAACAAAAAAAAAAAACATTCTCAACTTGGGATGGGGATCAATAACCGGGTCTATGAAATTCCTGATGAAGCATTAGTCAAAACCCCATTCAATCATGTTTGAGCTTATTGAGTCTGCTGTCAAGTCTTGAGAGTCATGTGAAATAAGCCCACGGTTTCCCCTACATGCAATTGATCGTGGCGCACCACCACGGCTAGATAAAAGCCGCCACACCTAAAAAAATCTCACATAGTTCTACCTCGGACTCATATGTATCAGCAGTGTTTCCCCTACATTCATTCAGCAGCGGCGCACCGCTGAATGATTCTATTCGCACTGTGTGAGCACAACAACACACATCGTTATTTCCAACTTGTTATGAGTCACCAAGGAGTGCATCAAATCCTCCTCTATCAATGTGAAAGGTAACGTTCAAGCTTATATACACGGTCTATATAGCGAGTAGTTGGAGTTGGTAGTCAGTTGCAATGATGGCTGAACATCGGAGGAGTTCCAAAGAAGGGCTAGACCCATCAATCAGTCGGCTGATTAATGTGACTGATTATTGGCATTTTGACATAATTGGCATCATATCACCAACATCTTTTCCAAGTGATAATACATCCGTCTTATCCCTCTTTAACAGATTATCAAATCCAAAATAGTAATTGATTGGTGTTTTAATCCAACATTGTCGTGTAAGATTTAGTATTGACAACAATATCAGTAATGTTTGTCAATCTATAGAAAAACCCAATATCCATGTCTTTCCCTTGATCCATTTCAAATCCCTCCAAAACACATCACTGGCTAAGACAGCGATGTATATTTGATTCTAATGTGTACGGAATAATTTATCTGTACATGACTTTTTTGCTATATTTTCACCCCAATCTTTACCTTGTTATTTTTCTTTCAAAGCAATTCTGAATTGCCTGACAGAAATCCTAAAGTTAATTTTTAATCTTGGCATATTTTATGAAATATTTTCTGGATTTCAGCAATTTTGTTTTTAATTTTTTTGTATTATTTAAGTGATGTATTTTGTCAAGTGCAAAAACAAAAAACAAAACAACATCACAATGTAATGCTGTGTTTGAATTACCTCGGAAGTCAGATGTCGGAGCAGAAAATGACGTCACACCCGAGTTACCAGCGTTTCAGTCACCAAGTCGGAAAAAAACAAAATCTAAGGCGGAAACAAGATGGCTACATCTGCCAAAGTTATTTTAGTACTTGCCTTGTCCGAATGTAACATGCGCTAAAATAACTTTTGGAGATGTAGCCATCTTGTTTCCGCCTCAGATTTTGCTGTTTTCCGACTGGTAACTCTGGTGAGACGTAATTTTCTGCTCCGACATCTGATTTCCGAGGTAACTCGAAAGCAGCATAATATTGTAATGTAATTCTAGACCGTGCACTCAATCAAGGAGCCACAAAGTCTGGTCTCTCTGAATTTTTTTGCTTTATATTTTTCATATTTTGTCATTTTTGTGAACCAAAAACAGTGGATGTACCTCTGCTGTTCATTTCTCTCCACTTGATTCCAGCTGCAGTCCACATCAAATATAAGACCCTGCTTCTTTCCTACAAACCAACAACAAAAACCACTCCTGCCTACCTAGAGTTCCTCATTCAGGTCTACACTTGCTCCCGCTTGCAACACTGCCAAAGAAGGGGCCTAGGACTCCCATTCCAACAAGTCCAAGTCCCCTGCCAGACTCTTCTCTTCTGAGTTCTCCCCTGGTGGTGGAATAAGATTTCCGACTCTCAGTAGATCTGCAGAGCCCCTTATGTACCTTTTAAGAAAAATCTAAAGACTCAGGCCTTTAGGGAACACCTAAGCAGTTCAGCATAGCCCATCTCCTCTGTAGCCCCCTGGGGTAAATGATTGGTACAGCCACTCATATCCTACACAACCCTTTCCTACTTCTGAGAAACAAAGGCCCAGGACTTTGTGAACAAGTCAGCACTTATTGTGCTGAAGATGGTGATGTAGATGTTGATGGTGATTTGTTGTTAGTTCCTGTGATGATGACACCCCCTTACACACGCGCACACATACAACAACAAACAAAAATATCTTCATGTGAATTGCCTTTTTGCAGATGTGCATCGCTTCAGATGAAGATGCTAAAAGGCAATGCAACTGGAAACGTATCTGTAATAAATATAGATACATGGATAGTGAAATAATGATCACTCTGTGTCTGGAAACAGAGGTTAATTATTTCAGTTTTTTTTCCTTCTGCTCTCTGTCAGTAGGTGCTGTTTCTGAGCCCCTGATCCAATTATTTCTTTATTGATTAAAGACTAGATGTTTAGATGGTCCCAACCTGGTACGATACTATGATATAGTACTGCTTAACAAAGACGGATGGCTGATTGAACATTGTTCTTTGCTTTGCTGTCAGTTTCCACTGACTGCACCTTTTGTTCTGGTTTCACAGTTTTGTTTATTTACCCATCAGGGCTTGACAGTGCGACCATAACTCGCATTTGCGACTGAAAATAGATGTGTGCGAATTGTAAGGCTAGGTAACAAATGTTTTTTTATGTAAATACCGCAGTGAAGTTAGTTTTAGGTTGGATATTCAATGGACATTCACTGTGGATCTACTGGTGTCTTCTCACTCACATAACTGGGAATAGCAACAGCAGCACGATTAAATCTACTCGGCTCCCTCACTGTCAACGTCGGGTGTTGAATAAGGGACCATCAATAAATTACCTGTTGATATTCTCAAAAAAGGCTGTTTTCCTTCAATAGCTTCAATGTCATGTGACCAATTGCCTTAAAAGTGATTTCAAATAATAGTTCTTGTGGCGACCAATAAGACACGCATTATTTGATCATTTTTCATTGTGCCCCTAAAGTTCTTTGTGTGCTCCTTACTTTTTAACTCAGGAGCACATGTGTGCCTTGTGATAAAAGTTAGTGTCAAGCCCTGCCAATTGACTAAATACTTTTGGTGCAAGTGCAAGGTTGTTCACATTCTTAGAAATTAGCTTAATGGTTGAAAAGTTAACAAAACTGTCAAAACTCAGTAAATTATATATCGGTAGAATGAGGCAGAGATGCCATTTGACAGGCTTTTTGATCCATTACTCTCAGTCCTTTTAGTGATTGTTGTTGGTTTGGCCTGACACCACTCAGCTGTGAAGCAAGAAAATTGAGAAAAAATCATAGTATGCATACACTGCTTCTGACTATGCAAAGAATATTATCATGCTGAAATGTTTTGTATCAGTATCAATTATGATCTTGATAAATGTTCAATCAGTATTATAAACAGTTATTAATGCTTTGTTAATGTCAGATAATCATGAGTTTGTGCATGACTCAGTCACATAAAAGATAACCTTACCAAAATGCAACTGTCTAAGATATGATTATTAACTTGACTCACTGTTAGGGTCTAGTATTACTTAATCCTGAGAATTAATGATGGCGCTTCAGGGTTAAGTCACCACATGGTAAAAAAAATTATGTTAATCATTAATCCAGACAGACTCACCCTGAAGCAACAACTGTGGAGCAAATACAGTTAGCATTTCACATTAAAAGCATCAGTAGTTTGAAAAAAGCTGTTTATTCCAAATTGTTTGTTGTTCTGTATTTAGAAACATGGGTCGATGAAGACTGTCAATTTGTTTACATGTAGTTTAAAAAATTAATTTATCGTAATCGTCTGACTGAAACTGGAATTTTTAAGTGCATGTCAAGTTCGTGTGATTAAAATCGCACTGATGTTGAACTCCTCATAGCTGGACTTACATATCAGGATAATGTGGTTGGATCGATTGGTCGATTTTCTCACAGGGGTACTCTTCTCAAAAATATGTGGCATCTAATACCTTATTCCAGCCATTTTAGTGAGTATTTATATATTTACTACAGTTTTTAGTGGAGATTTAATCATTTAACAAGAAAACACACTAATGTTTAAAACTGACGGAAACATTTTGAAACCACTCCGAGTTCTACATTTTGGCATTTTGATCTCTCTGTCAACAGTGACCTAGTGACAGCTGTCTGATATGAACCTCTTTACGTAGAGGGAATATCATTGATCTGCTATTTTGTTCTGATTGACCATGGCATCTGATTCTTGATACATGAAGGCAGTTTATTGATCAGTCCATCAGAGCTTGTTAGTGAAAGGTCAGATTTTTTTTTTTTCAAATTCTGTGAGATTTCAGAGAGGAAAAAAAAGAGAGGCTGCAACATTCTTATGCACCAAGATTCAAAGGTCCAAGACTGTGAGTTAACATCTCATGGATTCAGCAGATTCTCATTTGAAGGATAAATCTTTTTTTTTTTTTTTGATAGTATGAAAAAGTTTGGCCAACTGATGCACGGTTTTCTGAATGGATTCTTTGTAAATATCTGTTTTGACTCTACTTCTATAGCGTGTTTCTGTTCATATAGGTACACACATTTTTTTTCACAGTACTACTCATTTAGTCTCAAATTCAGCTTCCTATTTACTCAGAGGTGTTTTGATATCATGTTGTTGGGATCAAGCTGGCTCCGTTTTGGTCTTCTACAGCTCTTGATGTAAAGATTCACGCATCTGCACTTTTTGTATGCTATGATATTTGTGTAAAAGAGTTAAGGTCCATTCACACCAGGACCGTTTTTGTCGTGTTTTGCATCTGACTGTCTGAGATTTAAGTTTCTACTGCGATTTTTCACAGTGAACTTTATCTTGAAAATAATCAAGTCAGTCATCTTTTTTTATTGTCTTTTTTTATGAGCAGGGAAGTTTTTACCACATGACAAACAACCACATGCTCAGGCCATTTCTGTATGTGCTTTGTACATCATGGGTTTCTTCTCACAGTCTGCAGAAATGCACTCACAGGCAGAGAAATGTTTCCTGCAACTGCTGTGAGAGTGTTTGCAAAGATGATGTGTGTACACGGACTGCAGGAGAAGCATGTACTACTATCCGACATACATGGACAGAAATTTAACATACTTGTCTGTGAACTGAATTTATTCTCAGGAGATCCAGTGTCATTTTACCGCCATAGTGTAAATGTGACAAGTAACTGAAGTGCCTCGACTGGTCAGAAAGACAAGAATGTTGTTATATCATTTAAGTGCAGGTCTTTTACTATTAATCATTTACCGAAATTGAGTTTTGGAATGACATCAACTAGTTCCTGGTTGCTGAATGCATTCCAGTTTAACAAGAACAGCTCTTTGGTGTCTATATAAAGAAACTGATGACGTGGTGACTTTATTCCTGAAACTTTTATAACCAATTACCATGTCTACATTTAAAAATATGCGTCTGTATGTTTTAAAGATTTTTTTTTTAGGTTTGATTTTATTTAACCTGTCTTTAAGCAGGAGAAATAGAACTCATTGAGATTTTTTTTTGAGTGTCCTAGCCAAAATAGGCAGCAGCACTTACCACAGAGTTAAGACGGACAAAAAGCAGCCAGACACATATATGTATACTGTCCGGGGACCCATCTTAAATTGAGTTATTCATTGAGAGGTGGAGGTGGGGGCTCTAATGTTTTTTTCTCATTCATGAAACGCTCATGAAACGTCTGGTCATCCTAGTAGAACTTCTCAGGCCATCACAACCAACATAAATATTGTTTAATAGACAACTGGAAAACCCTTTGTTCTACTCTTGGAAATGTCACAATGGAATTTTTTGAATCTGTTTAACCCTCTCATTCCTCTTTTCAACCTCTCCTTATCTTGTTTGTTTCTCCCTTATTCACTGCTTGTCCTTTCCTCATCCTTTTTTCTGGACTCCTTAATACCTCCTGACTCGTCTTGACCTGACTTTTCTTACATCTCCCCCCTTTTTTAATCATCTACCTCATTCTGTCTTGAATAGAGGTTGTGGTGGAGTATGAGTACGAAGCGCTCCATGAGGACGAGCTGACGCTGCGACCAGGTGACGTCATCAAGAACGTGCGGTGTATAGAAGAGGATGGCTGGATGGAGGGAGATCTCAATGGGAAAAGAGGCCTGTTCCCTGACAACTTTGTCAAGGTGAGATTCTTCTTTTTGTTCCACAATTAATCTTTATTATCTTTGAATGTAAAACAGAACAAATCCTGCAGAGCTCTTTGTTTCCTCTTTCGGATATCTGGCAGGAAAGTTGTAAGGCTCCATGGGAAATATTCCAGCAGGCTAACTATTCATGTCTCCTTATGTTTCATAAAGTTGTTACCAAAGAGGGAGAGACATGTGAGGAGATGGAGGATGGTTCAAAAGTTGAAGTGGCTGGAGCGGCAGCAGAAGTAGATAAAGTTAATGTGGGAGGGGCTGAGCAGCTTGTGGAGTAGTTACTGTCTATTTATCATTATTGAGGTGAACTGCTTAATATATTGTGATGTTGATTTGGGGTCACATTGCCCAGCCCTGGTTTAGCTTCATCAAAGCTACTTTCAGAAACGATATTATCCATGCAAATCGTAATAATAATCATAGTCATTGATAATGTTGTTACTATTATTATTTTATTGCCTAATAAACTGCAGGACAGAAAGATTCAGAAGATCTTTTGTACCAACAGCCATTAGACTTTATAACTCTTGTGTAAATAGTAGATAACTTTTTGAGATATATTATGTGAGACAACAAACAATTGAATTTCCCTTCAGGGTTTAATAAAGTTATTCTTATTCTTCCTATTTTTAATTTCATGGAAAGTCCCGTCTTTTTTATTTAGACAGCTCTGTTGTGATATTTTGAGTTTTGTACACTTTTGTACACTAAAGAAAATAATATTTTTTTTTTTTTTCTGGGAAGTTATCAAATGTATCTCTTTTTTTTTTTAATCACAGACAGAAATAAGGTGTTTTCCTAGGTTGGTTAACTGACAAAAACAAGAAGTAGAGTCGAGAAAAGGGTTGACAAATTCACAGTCTGTCTTAACTTGTCCCTCTCTCCTAATCTAGGTTCCACCTTCTCTTTTATAATCTCATTTATTCTGCCCCTTTTACCCACTGTGTGTGCTGTTTAAGCTGTTTAGAGTGTACTGGCAGGAGTCAGCAGACTGACCTGGTGATGATGGTTATCCTCATGGGTTGATAGTGTAGCTTATTTGGGAATCCCTTGCATGTGTGTCTCTGGTAGGTGAACTCTACCCTGTGTGTTCACTGCTTTGATGGCTGCTGGGCCGTAGTGAATTTATGTCACTGTGTCACTATGCACAGGAGTGCACAGCCTGCTGCAGCAACAGGTGCACTTTCAGGTTAACATGATGTACTAATCCTCAACAGTTTGAGCTGTGAGATGAGAACTGGCCTTACCTGACTCATTAAACAGAGCGCACTGCTGCTCCTTAGCTTTGCTGAAGGAGGATGTATCTTCAGTGGACTCTACCGTGCTGCATCTTCCTTCAGCTGTGGACGTTTGTCAAGAGGTTGTTTATTTGAACAAAAAGATGGCTATTGAAGGAAATATGTGACCCTATCATATATCGTTTTTCTAACCCTGTAAAAGCTGTTAGCCACTCCCTAAACTGGGTCTCATTCATGAAATGTGAACAGAACAAAATTTATTGCAAAACCGCCATTCATCAGAATTTCAGCAGCTCTGATTTCTATGTAGCAACTACAAAATCTAGACCTGCCTCCAACCACTCGCAGAGTTTGTGCAAGTGAAGAATTTACAGAAATATTACTTGTTATTATTGGAAATTCTTGGTTGACGGTTGAATTCATCATAATCTCCAATCCTCCTGATTCTCCATACACCCGCCCTGCTCATAAGGGCTTTCAGCTCCCGCATCCGTCTTCAGGAAGTCCACATACGTTAGCGCTGAATGTCCTTGCAAATGGTGCCCATGTGTTGGTTCCCATAGGACCAGTCTGATGTCTATGGCAGTGGCCGGCCAGCCTCACACTCCTAGATGCTACCTTCTTGCTGAGCCCCAGCAGTTGCCCATACAGGGCCTTGTTGGTAATGTGGATGTTCTGGTCCACATTCAGAACAGCTCGTAGCACCCATCCAGAGATTTCTGCAGGGTGGGTGTCAGGGTCCAGCTTTCACAGCCATACAGGAGGATGGACTACACAGTGGCATGGAATAGGTTCAGCTTTATGTTTCTGGAGAGATTTGAGCATCACACTCTTGACATACCATTCATATTGTGATCTGTTATGTTTACAATAGGCAGATGCCTTTAAACAACACAATTTAAACATGAACCAAGAAAACAAAATATTGAACATTTAGCGAAATTTTTTGACAACAAGTAGATCAAAGCTTCAGATAAAGTTAGAAATGTGAAATGGGTCGTTTCATAAGTGTGTTCATCATCCTGTCTGGCTCAGAAATGACTTCGACATAATGTTTCCAACATTATTACCAAAACATTTGTTGTTGAAGTTTGCTCCTGAAACGGTGTCAACACAAGTTCGATCATTTAATTTACCAAAGCTGAGTAGAATAAACAATGGCACAACACTGACTGTAACATCTGCAATCATACAAACAATTCAAGGTTACTCTGTTCACTTAAGTTTTGGTGGATTTGCGAGTATTGGAATGCATCTTTGAGGGTTGAGAAGCTTGTCTCCAAAACAAAGTGAATATAAATGTAATAAAAACACTAAATAACTAATTGTTATTAATTTTCCTTTTTTTTTCAGGAAATAAAGAAGGAATCCAAAGAGGTCAAAGAAACAAAGACGGAGCAGAAAGAGGAGGCTTCTCAGCCCCAAAGAAGAGAGAAGAGTGCTGGTAATGTGGCCAACCTGGTTCAGAGGATGAGCACCATCGGCATTCCAACAGGGGGTTTTCAGCCACAGCCCCCAGCAGCTTCAAAGAGTAAGATGCTGTTGATTAGCTTGTTTCATATATTATAATCTAGTATTGTAAGTAATGTTATATTACCTTGGTGTTCAGGAAGAGTGTGGTATATTTCAGTAATGAATCAGTCCATGTTTCTGTCACTTATTTGCATTTTCTTACTATCAACTTTAATTGTTTGAGTTTGCTAAGGCTTCAACAAATGGTTTAATCAGATGTAAGACTTGCTTGTGAATATTTGATCATCTAGGCTAGTGAATCCATATTAACTTTCATGCATATTCATATGTGTTGCGTACCTAGTCCAAACAAGTCTCTTGTATGTGGATAATGTGGATTCAAACAGAAGTTACATCCTAATGAGTTTGCAGTGCTAATCCACTTGAACTTCTATGATGTGGACATTTCATTCAGCTGTAAAATTCTGGAAATCAAAAACAGGATCTGAATTCCTTTTAGAGGCTTAAGACTGCAGTGTGCGGTATTGTTGCTCCGCCCCTTTCATGCTTATTGTTGTTGGCTTATTACCGGTGTGGTTTGCAGTTTCAGCGACAGCCCTATCTCTGTGTTTTGACAGAACCCTGTTGCGTTACCACTTAGCAGTCCAGTAAAGTTAGGTACAGCAGCAGGTACCAAGAGATGCTAAAAAAGATTGAGAGAAATTTCGATTAAAATGATTCAAGTGGGGAGGTCATTTCAGTTCACTCGAGGTAGCTGTGTCTTTTAGACCATTGATAGGTCTTTCTTTTGTCAGAGTCAACTTGATAGACAATCGAAGAGTTCCTGTGTGGTGAGCTACCCTATTGTTTGCACCCACTTCCTTACATCCTCCTTGCCTTCACAGCTGTTCCAGTTTTTACATTTTTATAAGACTGATAGTCAAACTTAAACAGAATAGAATCCGAATGAGTTCTATCGGCCAAGGTTGCGTACACATAAAAGTAATCTGACTCTGGTAAACTTTGTGCTCTATAGACAAACATTTAACATTAAATATTATAAAAAATATGTACAACACAAGGATGAGTCATCACAGATGGATGATTGGCTGATTATTGTTTTCTGACTCATCTCCACAGAGCCAAAGAGGAGGCAGTGCAAGGTTCTGTTCGACTACCAACAACAAAACGAAGATGAGTTGGAACTAAAAACTGGAGACATCATAGACATCACAGAAGAGGTATCAATGTCTGTAGCGGCTTGATAGATCGTCTGTGTATCAATTTTCTCAGCTTGTATTGTGCAACTTTTTTCATGTTTTCTTGTCCCTGCCCTAACTTGCTTAAAAATGTGTTGCTGGTATTAAATTAAAAACAAGCTTCTTTTGTATTAAACCACATATTTCTCTAGTTTTCTCAATCTGTAAACATCTGATATATCAATATTTTTTACACTGTACCAAGTTTTCCAGATTTGGGGTTGTCTTTATGCATAGCATTATGGGCATTAATTAATAGGGATGTCCCGATACAATATTGATATCAGATATCGGTCCGATATCAGCAAAAATTCAAATACCGGATTATATCGGCCTGCATCTAGAATCTTAGATATCACCGCTCTGATACAGGCAGTCCATTCCAGACTCCACTCCACAATCAGTATCAGCCAATATTGAAGGCTACAATATCGGTATGGTATCAGAGGTAGGAAAGTTGTATCTGGACACCCCTACTAATGAACTTAAGTAGTGAAACTATTGACAAGGTTTGACAAAGACTTCCTCCCTTGAAGCACACAGGAACCTCATAGAATTTTTCCTCGTACAGGTGGAAGAGGGCTGGTGGAGTGGTTCCTTGAACGGCAAGACCGGACTGTTCCCCTCCAACTTTGTCAAAGAGCTGGATTCCACTGGAGAAGATGCGGAGACCAGTGACACTGCAGCAGATGAGACAGGTTAGACCGAAAAAACTGACAAGCAGGACCTCAATGATGTGAGAAGTGCAGTAAATATACTCAGAAAGGTTTGATGAATATTACAAATTACACACTTTTCTTTTACAATGTTTACTCTGCAGTCTCCTCTTTGTTTTCCCCCAATTTCCCCAAATGGAATATCAAGAAAGTATATCTTTTCTCTATTATTATTACACATGATATGAAAGTTATGGTAATGTCAGGTACATTTGCTGCAGTTGACAGAGCTTGACCTGCTCTGAGTGGAAGCAAATGTTTTAGGATTTTTTTTTTAGATGCACTTAACTTGAAAGGAAAGTTGTAAAAAATGCTGGAATTCAAGACAATTGCTATTAGCACAAAAGCAGGAAATGGATCAGCTTGTTTTGTCTAACACAGATGGAAGCGGAGTAGAAAGCACCACCACTCCCACCTCCCCACAACCTGCCCAAGGGAACGGCGTCGCCCAGCCCAAAAAGATACGAGGCATCGGCTTTGGAGATATTTTCAAAGAGGGGTCGGTGAAATTAAAAGCTCGACTACCAAGCCCTGAAAGAGACGAAAAGAAAGAGAGAGTAAGTATGATGCAAACAAAGGAAACACAGTGTTTGTCACTTAGAAAAGATGTGTTAAAACTCCAAAAATGTTGTGATATTTTATTTGACCTCAGTGTTCCATCACCTTTCCTGTTAACAACAGTCAGTAAGTGATTAGAAACTGATCCAATGTGTCTTGATTGTCTTGCTGTAACGAGCAGGGACATCTCTTGAAAAAAGAGATGGCAGTGTGTGTTGCTCCAAATTCTGTATGTACCTTTCAGCATTAATGGAGCCTTCACAGATGTGCAAGTTACCTTTGAGATGGGCACTAACACACCCCCATACCATCACAGATCTTGGCTTTTTAACTTAGTGCTGATAAGAATTTGGATGGTCCTTTTCCTCTTTAACCTGGAGGACGCCACATCCATGATTTTCAAAAACAATCTGAAATGTAGACTCATCGGACCACAGCACACTTTACCTTGAGAAAACCAGCTGTGTTTCTGGTGTTGTTGATATCTGGATTTGGATGTGCATGATAGAGTTTGAACTTGAACTTGAAGATGAAGCAACTGACTGTGTTTACTGACGATGGTTTTCTGAAGTGCTCCTGAGCCCACATGCTGATATCCTCTACAAAATGCTGTTGGTTTTTGATGCAGTGCCACCCAGATTCAGATTTCTCTGAATCTTTTGATGATATTTTTGCCTTGCTGCTTACATGCAGAGATATCTCTTGATTCTCTGAAATCCCTTATGTCTTGTAATTGTATGATGAGAAATGTCATTTTTAAACTATTTGCTTATACAGTTGCTCACAAAGTGGTGAACCTTTCCCCATCCTTACTTGTCAACAACTGAGCCTTTCAGGGCCACTTCTTTTATACCCACAATCACGACACTCACCTGTTCCCAATTAACCTGTTCACCTGTGGAATTTTCCAAACAGGTGTTTTTCCAGCATTCCTCAATTTTTCCAGCCTTTTGTTGTTCCTGTCCCAACTTTTTTGTCCCCAGCTCAAAATGAGTGACTATTTGCAAGATGTAACATGAAGTTCTAATATTAGTACTGAAAGCTGATTGGCTTCCCCAAGGTCCCCAAACTCATCCAATCAAAATCCAAAAAGGCTTACAATATTACACTTCACATCCAATTAAGAAGAAATGTATAAAAGTTGAACTGTGCGTAAAAGTCTGAAAGAAAACTCTCTGATAAACTCTCATTTTTTTGAGCCAAACTTCAATCTTTTCTATCAGGTCTCTTCTGCTAAATGCCAGTAAATACATCACACTGTACCTTTAAAAATCTAACTCTGTGATCTGAAACTCTCCTTTTTTCCCCTTCTCTCTTTTTACAACAGCCCTCACACTCTTTCACTACTAACATAGCTTCTTTCACTCTCCTCCACTCCTCACATACTACCACATGTTGCATGCTCTCCACACTATCTACTTCACAGTCACGGGATTCATTATGGAAGGCTAGACCTTCCGACATAATCCACTTACTTTCCCGCCTTCTACCTGCAGTTTTATTTATGCACACAAAGCATTTTGCTTGTGACGGTTTGAAAGCTGACTGCTTTTGAAGTTTATGATGATCCTCTGATAAAATCTGTAGCACCCGCCTGGTCCTTTTATCAGGGTTGAATCCAACACTCTGCAAAAACTCTTATTAGTACCATAGCCTAGCCTTTTTTTTTTTACTTTTTCTTCTTATTGTCAATAGTGCTGTTTATTCTCATGCCTCTCTTATCTTCAAAACGCATATTATAACATTAGACATCCACTGTAAAGCACAAAAGGTTCAAATCTAGTCCTTTTCTGCTTTCTTTGTTCACTCCCAATACTTCTTTTCCTCTCTACCATCTACAAGCTCTACATACTAACCCATTGATTAATAGCACTATTCATATTCATTTAAACTCCCAGGATTAATGATAATATAATGATTATCCCCCTCATTTGACTCCGACAAGAACTGCCATAGACAGGGAATCCACCACATGAAGCAACATATCCATTCATGCAAGAAATCTTTTCCATCTGTATGGTTTGCTTCATTTTAGCCAATCTCATCATTACCATCTGCTGCAAAGCCTGCCCATCCCAACGCAACAGACGCGCAGAGAGCAGAGGGGGACAGCAAATCTAAAGGTAAAAAAAAAAACATCTCTGAAAAAGACGCTTTGATATGAGGGTAATGTATTTCATCCGCCCAATGGTAGAAGCCATTTTCCTCTAACGTTATAGCCAAGGTCTGAAGTGCAAATGCTGCTATGTTTTACTGCATGTTGTAAGTTCCAGGATGCAAGGCTTTTCCTAATAACAGGCAATTAACACTTAGATTTTTTGTAGAAGTTGCCCATGTTTCAAAACATGTGACTGTGATGCTTTTTAGTCTCCATCATTCTCTCTCTCTTTCTGCATCTCAATCGATCCTCCTTTGAAATCACAACTTAGTCACTGTCTGCCACTGTCTAACTTGAGATGGGTTCTGTTTAAGGTTTTTACCTGTTAAAAGGAAGTTTTTCATTGTTTCTGTAACTTTCTAAATTCTACAAACTGTTTCTGTAATCAGAGTGGGTCTTACCTGACTAGATACACCTCAGTTTTATCTTGATGTTGCGTCTTTATAATCAGTGATCAATTGTAAAATATTTCATGGTCACTGGTAGGACAGCTACGGAAGACAAGCATGGCAATAGATTGTTCTTTTTTTTATTAAAGCACTTTTATCTAGTGATAATGACTTATTACCTCATTATCTTGACATAAAGATGATTCTCTCTTAAAGGTGGGGTAGGCAGGATCTGAGGAAGTGCCAGTTTTTGGGAGAAATCTTGAATGTAAACACTACCCCTCCCAACCAGTTTTCCCCTCAGCTCCTCCTCTCCCCTCCGTCTCTGCTCCAGGAAGCCCCACCCACAAACAGACACTCCCACTCGCTCGTATCATTCCAATTAAATTCAGATATAATGCAGATAAGTACTTCAGATGATTACAAATGGAGCCCAGTCAACTTGAAAGTAAAAAGCATTGGTTAGGGCTTTTTTAACTCTTGTCCAGGTGGTCTACTTCCTTTTTAAGCATCTGTTCTTCCGCCAGAGTCTCCGGTATTTACTCTAGTTTCTTGCTCGTGTTGGCAGTCGTGGCCAAAGGAGGATTCAGACAATGTTCCGTACTCTCTGGTTGGTTTCTACTGTCCGATATTGTAGCGCGCTAACTATGTTTGGGCTCCCGAACGACACAGGGAGCAGTGTCCGCCTCACAACCAATCAGGATGGGGTTAGGCAGAGAACGGCTTTGTTTACAGTCAGAAAGAGCAGAGCGCTCAAAAAATTTAAAATGCTGACTACACAGACATAACAAAACACAGCGATATCGTTGTATTACCAAACGGTATTTTAGCCCACCTAAAACAGTAACTTTTAAAAACGCCTTATGGAGTGGGATGTTTCTGAAACACCGCAGCCTTCACTGTTTCCAGTCTCTAACATGTGTTTGTCCAACCAGTTGTCACATTTTCAAAACCACAAACACAATTAGCACAGCATCAGTCTTTTGTGGCCATAACATTCACACATTTCATGTCGTTTTCACACAATATGCAGTCAGTGAACACATTTTCACAGCGCTTATATTTTCTTAAAAGACAATCTTTACCTCCCAACAAAATTATAGATTGTTTTTTTTATTATTTACAAATGTTAACACACAACTCCCACAATATGGTAAAGTGCTGCATTATCCTTATAGCAGTATCTGGGCTTCCCACCCTAATAATGGCATATGAGGAAAATGGCTGCTAGTTGAAAATTATGAGGAGTGTAAACAATATGCTAAAACAACTTTAAATAATTTCTGCTTCTCTGTGTGAATACCATTGTAATGAATGCTCACACACATATTTAACATGATGTCGTGTTCTATTTTTCTGTGAACCTGTGTTGTAACGGCATACTTGTGTTTTCCCAGCAAAAGAGTACTGTAAAGTCACATTTGCTTTCGATTCTACAAATGAGGATGAGCTGAGCATAAAGGAGGGGGACGTCATCCACATCCTAAGCAAGGTGAGTACCTCTGCCCTTTGTTGAGTGATGAAAAAACTAAACAGGAGCTGGACTTATTCTGTGGCTACAATGGCTTTCCCCTGTGTTGGTACAAGGTTGTGTTCAGAGTTCAAGCTTCAAATCAGCTGTACCATCATTTCATTGATTAAAGGGATATTTCTGTGTTTTTTAAAGCGGGGTTGTACTATGGTACAGGTATCTGGTCCAGCCTGTGGACTGTATAGGGCGTTTCTAACGTAATGTGCAAAAAAAGGCTTATTCTAAGGTTATTATAGCACACTAAGGCAGGAAATAGTTTCTGTGATTTTGACTGTGTCTAAATATAACCCATTTGAAAAGAAGGTGCAAATCCAGGTGCCAAGTGTTGCACACAGATGGCTGCATAACAATCCAATTTTTCTTTGGTTTTCTCTCATCCTTTCTTCTTTGTGCTCTTTCACTGTTGCCTCTATTCATTTTGCACACCTGCTGCCAGTCTACTGTCACTCCAAACACCTCATAACATAAACAAGTCAAACACGCCAGCCCTACTTCAAAACCCACGCCTCCCTAGTCCTTGCATCTGACCTCATTCACACAGTTTTTCTTGATCGCTGACGCACACCTACAAAACATTTAATTTGATTGGATGAACACGCGGTTAAGTACTCCTTTTGTGAAAAGTTAAGCTCTAAGCGTATAAATCACAATGGATGTCGGTCACTGCTGCCTCTTGAATGAGAAATTGCAGGGAGAACCAGCTGGCTTGCAAGGCTAACAGTTCTATACAGATGTGATCAAATCTGTTATGTAATATAGAAAATTTTGAGAGACCAAACCCAAGCACTTATCTCAGTTCAAATGTACAATCTCCACACTTTTCTCCGCTTATAGAAAGTTAATTTGTTTTTGCAGGTAACCTCGGGTAACACTAAAAGCAGATGATAAACAGATGTATAGTAATGAGCTGAGATGGCATGTCGCCACCTACTGTTGCAGCGGCAGACATGCTTCTGACAAGAATAAAATTTTGACTGTAGCTGGACTTAACTGTGTTTGTAAATGGACAGAGTCTGACTGAAGCAGACAGCTGGCGGTCCTTCAGGAGCTCGTGAGCATACACTGCACCTGGAGCGGAACGCCTGATTCCACAGAGAAAACAATTAACCAGCTGTGTTATACTGCAATATCTCAAACTGGAGTTTAAACTCTTGTTGAGCATGTTGAAGTGAGCTGTGAGCTACTCGTGTTGTGGTATGCTGGAACCGGCTGGGTATGTTGAACTGGCTGGGTATGTTGGACTGGTTTCATGGTACAACACTCTGGTCTATTGAGCCTGTAGACACAAAAATAGGAAGAGTGCAGAAAAACTTTGGTTTCGCTAATAGACTGTATGATACATGATTGTAGTGTCGGTGTTATCATCCATCTGTTGTTGGTGGTGGTCATCGTAATGGAAATGCTGACTCCACCTAACTTTTATCTGGTTGACCTACCAGAGGCAGGCCTTTAGCCTCGCTGCAAACAGCTACAGTGTGCCCGACTGTCAGTCAAACTAGCCGTGCCTCAGCTTCACTAATCTCATCACCTCAGAATCTTCAAAACAAATAAAAATTCAATCCCCACACAGATGGTGCCTGAGTTTATCAGACATATCTCTATTTTTGCTCTAGAAATGAGGTGAATTTGTGTGGACATGGTTTATGATGCTTCTGCAGCCAGTCTTGTTTTGCCACTTTTGGCTTCCCTACATCTGCTTCATTCCTCAAAACCAGAGTTTGCTGCTTGGTTTTACCTGGAAACAGATGTTTTTCACAAAATTCTGGAGCTAGTTTTGTTGGTGTGGCAAATAAATGTCTTTATCGTATATTATAAAATGATTTTGATGATTATTTTAAAAAGATTTGTGTAACCCTTTTAAAGCTGCTCCTTAAAAGCAAAACCACACTTGGTCATTTTGTTTGAGTGAACAACATGCTGTGATTAGCCTACTTTTGGTACTACGGCACAGCCTCAAGTATATTTCCAATCAAAACTGGGCTGATAGTCAGCACAACACTCCCTTTTGAGATACATTACTTTTAAGTAAACTTTTAAGTAAATCCTGATCTACATTTTGCCTTGCCATCTGTTTCTTAGCCTTTCTTATCCATGCCCGACCCTGTAAAACTCCAAGCAGAGTAGTGACACAGCCTTTTGCTCTGAGAGACCATGCTTTTTTGGACAGGTAGCACCATCTGTTGGACACAGCAGAGAAGTGCGTGTAAGAAATGATGGGATATGTTTTTGTTTTGCTTTGTTGAGCCTTTTTCTCAATATTTTTTTTTTTTACATTTTAGAAATCTTTATTCATCTCCCTTTATACAACAATGTTTATTTAACTCGTATGAGGAAAGGAAAAGGGTGCTCTGTAAACGTTTTCATCTTCTGAATTTGCTTCTTGCTGTTAAATAAAATTATGAAGAAAATTTTGATGAAAAATTAAACTGTATCCAGGTAATTAAATCTTCACTCTGTTGTATGTGCTATGTGTCAGGACACAGGAGAGCCCGGTTGGTGGCGAGGGGAAACTGGGGGCAGACAAGGTGTTTTCCCCGACAACTTTGTTGTCATGCTGTCTGAGGCAGAAAAAGAGGTGAGATTGAATAGCAAATCATCTAAATGATAGCAGATCCTTAATTCAGGATTAGTTTCTCATCCTGTCTTTTATGTCATTTTGGGATCTATAAAGATATGTTGAGCATTATTAACTATTCTAACCTTATTAACATGTTGTATCAAAGCAGGTGCAAAAGAAAAAAGTAATTTGTATAATAATTCATATGAAATTAAAATATAAATAATTATATAAAATAATCATTTTAATAATAATAATGATAATGATGGTAATAATAATAATAATAGTTATTATTATTATTATTATTTTAAGAATAATGATAACAATAATAGTTCAAAGTAATTAATGTCTCATCCCTAATTTGCTCTGTATTTTCATGTGAAGGTTCTTTCTTCTGTGATAATAGACTTAGATTTGAGTATGTATTACAAATATATATATATACCTGATCTTTTTAACTGTGTTTTCATGCTTGTATTGCAGACTTTCGCATCAAGAGGGTCATTGAAATCATCATTTAAGCAGGATTCAGAGGAGGTAAGCTATGACTGTCCCCCACAGAAGAGGACTAAAATATGCTAATCAATACTGTGCTCCAAAGAACATTATGATCAGGTATTTTGCACAGAGTTAGTTCTACAGTCTTAGAAGGAAAATATGAGTGCTTCTTCAAGTCTGAAGAAACAAAAATGAACCTCTAAGTGGTCACTGAAAACACCACAGGTTGAACACTCATGTTTGGAGCTGTCCCTTTGTGATCAGCTTACCCCGGGTGCATGTTCACACCAGGTTATTTCCTTGCTATAGAAAGTGGGTGCTGGAAGAAGATCTATTGATTTTAATGGTTGTAACCTTCTAACTAACCTATTCTTTTTTTATCTCTGCTTTCCCTCCTTGTAAGAAGCCAAAGAAGCCACCTCCACCATCAAAAAGCATAGGTAAGCCTACTCAGTGTGAGCACCTCAGTAGTAGAAAATGTTGCTACTTGATGTGTCAGGTTTTTTTCCAGACAAATCTATGTTTTCATGTCAAACACAATGTACGTTTTCTTGCTTCAGAATCACAAAAATGCATTAACAGCTGCTCTAATTGTAGAATTTAATTTTCCTGTTTACAGATCAGCATATTTCATCATAGGAGACTATATGCTTGAAAATAAATTCATGCTTCATTCTTAATTCATTCTTGACCAGGCAGGAGAACAGATAATCCTTCACATCCCAGCCCTCACTCGTTACCTCAGGTGTGCCCCAGGGCTCTGTCCTGGGGCCCCTCCCTTTTATCACCTACCTCCATCCCCTTGGCAATTTTATCTGCAAATTCAACCTCCACTTTCACTGCTTCACGGACAAGAACCAGCTCTACCTCTCTAGCAAACCCAATTCCTCACCCCCACCCCCTCCCTCACCAACTGCCCATCTGGAATTAAATCCCGGTACACCTCAAAATTTCTTAAATTAAACAGCGGCTAAGCAGACGTCTTCCTCATTGGCACAAAAGCTCCTCAGTCTCCTCCTCATAACAGATTAAAAGTCTGGGTGTCATCCTCCACAGTACCCTATCATTCTAAGCTCACATCTATTTTATTGCCTGGTCGCCATATTTCCATCGATGCAACATCAATCACCCCCCATGCAATGCTGTTTTAATCATAAAACTGTGTAAGGAAACAAAATTGCTCTCTGTGGATTCTTGCACTTGTCAGGTAAGACAGATATGTTTAATTTTTCAGCTCCTAAACCAGATGTTCCGAGTGCTGACAGGAAACCTCATCTCCACAGATCAGATGATAAAGGTAGGACTGTTAGTTTAACCCTTCCACACCTTCAGTTTTTATTTTTTCAAACTGCTGCTAAACTGGGTTAGGGATTTACACCAAATTTCATCTGTATTTCTTTTTTTATCACTCCTACTTTTCCTCTATTTCAGTTGACAAACCTACACCAGATCACAGGCCATCCAAGCCTGCACCTATCGTCCCACCCAAGAAACCAGTCCCTCCTGGTAAAAGCAGACCAGGAAGCATTCCACCAAAAAGGCCTGACAAGCCTCTTGCCCCCTCACCAAACCTCAGGTTAGTCTGTTATCCCTGCTGTTTCCCTATCAGTACTGAAGTTAATTTTATGAAAGCCACTTCATTATCACTGAGATTACTGCTTCAGCATAACCGCTGTCAAGACCTATCTAAATGGTTAAATTCTTCTAAACTTGCTTCTGGTATATCCTTTGCCCAACGTCTACGCTAAAAGCTGTTGTCATGGAGGGACATTATTCATGATTGAACAGAAAATAGTTTTTGGGGATCTTAAAATACTTTTACAGCCACCAAACGTGGTGCTTATGAGCCCAGTGAAGCAATCGTATGTTTCAGTTCACACTTTGGCAGTCTACCATATCAAGTTTTGGTAAAATTACACCAACTTTGCATGGATCCTTGCAGAATTAATGATTCAAACCACTTCATCTTTGTTGACAGATAGAAGAGACTTTCTCGACTTCAGGAAAAGACGGTTATATTAAAAGATGAGCTTCACAATCATGTTGGGTTTCAGACAAACAGACAGAAATTTAGCATTTTTTGCTATTGTGAGAAAATGACTGCAGTAGATATAAACTGGGACTGTTCTATGTACTTCAAATTACAACACCAAAATGTGTAACAAACCATAACTTTTGCTGAGGTGTGTCATTGCTGCTCGCATCATACATTTCTGCTTGTCCTCTCAATTTTTTTCCCTTTTGTCTGCAGACACAACGGAGAGGTGCCTTCAACTCGAACGAAATCTGAGTTCGACCCAATATTGCCCACAAAGCCCAAAACACTATCTGGGGAATGGGTTGAGAAGCCCTCAGAGATAGGTATGTATAGTATGGCCAGCAGACTGTCAGAAAATTAAACAGCGTCTGATACATTTTGTCCGAGATTATTCATGTAGATAGTGACCAAAAGGGGGCCTAAAACCGAGCCCTGCAGCACACCTTTATGGATAGTTACAATATCAGATTAGAGTCCATGAAGATAGTTTGAAAACCAAGCAACTGCATTTTTACAGAGTTCAACACCCAAGAGTCTGAACTTTAAAAGCTCATGGTTGAATGTTTCAGGGTCTCAGACAGACAGATCTGATAAAAGAAATAGTCCTTTTATTTTACCTTTACTGAAGGAGGTCCTCGTACAAGCTCTTTTCAAATTGGTACAAAGCAGATGGCAGCTCTGTTTCAGATGTGTCCAATTAATGTTCACCTTGAATTTTGTGAGCATTCATTCTTTTAACTGAAATCATTTTTTTATCCTCAGCTTCTTCACTTTTTGATGGTCAATAAGTTTCTATTAGTGCAGCTCAACACTTTAAGTACTTAGTCTTTCACTTAAGAAAATATGACATTACTTAAAAGGCTCAGAGAGTAAGACACAATGCATTGGTAATTTCAAATCAATACTGAAGGAATCTTGTTGGTGTCAGTTTTGGACTTAAGTTCATACAGCAAGGAATGTTATGTTCCCTAAATATTAGCTCTACACTTTAAAAAAACAATTGATTGAGCCAAAGAGAAAACTCAAGTTAACTCTTTGAATCAGGGTTCCTACGCAAGTATGAAAAATATGGAAGTAATTTGATCAATTTCCAGGTCTTAGAAAGTATGGTAAATGAAAAATAAGTGTGAAAAAATATTTTCCAGACTATTACTACAGTAAAAAAAATACTGTTTTCTAAAATAGAAAAGTAGGTATTTCCAAAAATAATTCTAAATAGTACTGTATGGAAAAGTATGGAAATTCCAACTGTGTATAGAAAGTCTCTGCATTTAAAGTGTACAATATATTGTTAGGGTCGAAATTTTTATGTTTATCTTTTGTCTGTTTCCAATCCTTTTTCTAATGAATTTGGAGAAATGAACTGGTCTTAACATTTTTTACTTTTCATCTTGACATAGCATTTCACAGTTGAAAATATAAACAGTTTTAAATTTTTGTTTTCTGTTGTTTGTCTCAACTATCAGCTGGCTGTCCAAGAAATAACCAGTTATCATCAATTACACTGCATTTCAGTTTCACTTCATTGTATTAGTCATGCACCAGTTCACCCAGATGCTACCTTAGTCATAGTTGAAACTTTGTTTTGAATACTTTATTGTTTATTGTTTATAGATCTGATGAGTTTTGACGATTTGTCATCTGCCTCGGAGAAGCTGTCTCACCCCACTGCTAACAGACCAAAGATGCCCGGTAGGAGGCTGCCAGCTCAGTTTGGAGGAGGACATTCGGTGAGCACAACATCACATCTATGGACCCTCTGATTGATTTATCAGGAGTGACAGTATGCCGACTGAAGCTGAGATCACAGAGATGTGTCAATCTGCACAATAGTTGTTGAAATCCTACTCAAAATGCATTTAATCTTCAAAATGAATTGTTGCAAAATTACATGAGTCAGATGTCTATAAGTCTCTTATATATTTGTCTTTGTACCAAATTTCTTTCACTCGCCTCCTTTTCAGATTGATTATCTCTCCATAAATTTTCCATGTCTGGCTCTCTGTAACCTTGCGCCTCCTGTCTTTCACTCACACTCTGTCAACCTCACTCTTATTCACACCCAGAGACGTGTGAGGATGCAGTAGCTTCTCCCATGTAGTTTCTGACACCAAAAGCCTTTTTCTGTTTTTTTTTTTTTTAAAGAAAAAAACATAAACACAATTTGAACTATGACAGCCACTGCACCACAGTATGAGACATACCCACTTAACAGCAAGCCCCTCCATGCTGGGGCTCCCTCTCCTTGTATCACCTTTTAGAGCAGAGAACTTTTCCAAGACATACATCACTTGATATTCTGCAGGATAAATACTGTGAATTTACTGTTAGATGTCATGATGCTTAGACACTTCGAAGAGTATGATTGGTTAAAAAAAAGTGAAAAAAAACACTCTTCTCTTGCAGCCCAACAAAGAAGTGAATGTGGAAAAATCTTTCAGGAGTGATGAAGAGGATTCAGCCAAACCAAAGCTTACGGAGCCCAGAAAGGTAAACAAATGTGAACATTGCAAAAGCAATTTAAGTTGCTCCAAAATGCTGTTCAAATATTCGTTCTAAAAATCACACATAGGTTCAGACATAATCGAATATCTCGCTCACACAACTTGTATATAACTTTAGCTTTTAACTTTTTAACTTTTGTTTTAACTTTTTTATAACTTTATCTCGCTTAGCATTTTTCCGTTTACATCGTCTGCCCAAATAGGAAGAATTTCCAAAAGGAGCTTCTAAAGTTTGTTGAAGTCCAGACCACTCTCTTTTCACATTGAAATCTCATTTTTTTAAAAATATTTGTATATATATTCGAATTTAGAATATTCATTGACAACCCTATGCTATACAAATAAACTTACCTCGCCTTGGTGTAAAGCTGACAAACACAAGCCATGTCATGTCAAATCTGATTTATAAAACACATTTTATACTCAGAGAAAACACAATGTGCTTCACAAATACAACACGTGAAAGTACAAATAATATACTCTCGCAAACATTCACCCACACATACATAACAACAAGCCACTAATTGGCACCTACCAGATAAGGAAATCATTTTCTGCAGTGTGTCCAGGTGAGACAAATTTAAGCAAGGAGAGAACAGCGAAAGCGAACAGAAAAAAACATGGAAGGAGAGCCAGTGGACTGCTGCATGTGGTTAATTGCCTAAGATCCTATCAAGACATGATTTGTCACGGTAAACCTTGACTTATTAAGTCCACTCTTTCAGCTCGGAGGACATAACATGTGGCCACCTTGTTGTTGTTGATAACAAATACCCACACACAGACAGACAGACAGAAGAATCAGAATAAAGCTTAGCTTGGAGCACTCATAACCCAGTAGATCAGACTTTCAGAAGAAGAAGAAATTATGGGACATGACCGACAATTTGTCTTATCTTTTCAAAATGAAATTCTGCCCCCTCGTAAAAAGTGACCTGTGAGGGTTAAGAACAAGAGCTGAAAAATATGCTGGCCCTCCAGGGGAGTGGAGAATGCAGCTGTTGAATCCCGTGCTTAAACTCAACAACGGGGAGTTATAGGGGGAGTAAGGAAAGGAAAGGCGCACCATAATCATACCAAAAATGTTTGATTGAAAGAATATTAAAATAATAATAAATGTTTAGTGTTCCTACAAATGTAGAAGAAATAGTGTCGGACGACTCCTCTTCTCAGTTAGACCGACACGATTCTCAAAACAATTCGAGCCCCCCTGGTAAAGAAAGGGTTCAAGCTCCAGTTTAGGTGTTTCAATTGGGATCTCCTTCAGGTGTAAAAAGTTTATTGGATGATAATGATGTGGAAAACATCAGTGCATTCTTCATTTTCAGGGATTTATCATGTGGTCGTCCAGCAAAGAATATAACCTGTTATAGCTCAAGGATTAAAATCTAAAAGTCGATGTTTTCTCCAAAGTTTACCGGTCTTTATTTAAAAAAAAGACAATGTCCGCTGAGTTCTTACGATAAACCTCAGTCTGATTAATTCTGTCTTCATTTTCTTTATCTCCACAGCCTTCAACAAACAACTTACCCCCATCTCCATTGCCCAGTAAGGCTGTCTCGACCAGCGTTGACGCCAAGCCGAATCCAGCACCAGCCCCCGTCTCAGACAGCGTGTCACAGGGTGGCAGGGTCCAGCTGGAGTCTGACTATTCCAGCTCCCAGCTGGATGAACTGAGGAGCCAGATGAAGGAGTTGCTGATGACTGTCGAACTGCTGAAGGCCCAGCAAATGTAAAAAGATGTCAGATAATAGATGGGTCTTTAAACGCCTGATGAAAAGTCCACAAGCTTCTACAGTCAATATCTCATCCTTGTCCTTGTCCATCCTGACCTCATCCAGTCTGCTTTAAAAGATGAAGAAATAGCTTTTCCTTTTGTTGAATCATATGAGTAATGACTCATACAAGCATCAAGCAGGATGCAGATCTTTTAACAGTCTAAAAACCACTGAGCTAATTTTATGTAATCATGTAAATACAAGTATTTCAGTGAATAAAACCTTTTTTTTCAGATATATGTATTAAAGAAACCCACATTAATTAGATAAAGGAGTTTGTACTTTGCTCAAATTCTGCAACGCTTTACATCTTCTGATGACTGTGTGTGTGTTTCTCTCCAGGAAAGAGATAGCAGGGCTGCGTGGAGAGCTGGATGAGGAGAAGCTGAAGCGCGTGGCCTTGCAGGTAATATTGATCCTCTTAGCGGTGCATGCTGAGCTGTCTATATCTATTTTCTTCATTTTGTTAGCCACATATTGACATGCCCGCTTCATACGCAAACATCTCGACAATTACACTTAACTTCCAGCACAAATTTAACACAATGCATGACAACTTCCTTTATTCTTGAATTAGAGCGGTCAGAAGCTAAGGAGAGGGAGGAAAATGTGATCAAACACGACATGTAACAGTTAACTAGTGATGAGGACATTAAGAGGCATTAAGATGTACATGTTGTATGTTTCTCAGTGGTCTTTAAACTGTGATTATGAAGTTTTTAGCCAAAATCACGTTACCTGTGCCGTTTTCAAGGGCTTTTCTTCTGCAGAGCTCCAGTAGATCATTAGCAATTCGCCTCTAAGTCGTGGGTGGAGACAGCGCTGCTCTGCACACTTCTCTTTGAGTTAGCTCGCAGCTTAACATTGGTGGTGTAGTAGAAGAAATGGGTAACATAGGAGCAATTCAAGCTCTCGGACACTATTGTCTTTTGGGGCATTATGAAAGCTAATATCATAATTAGCTTTTTTACAAGCATTTTAATCCGTTAATGCAGACGCTTGTTCCGCGATCGTCCTTTCTATTGCGGCGTTTGAGTTACCACATAAGTCAGATGTCTGAGCTGAAAATGATGTCACACCTGAGTTACCAGCATTTCAGTTACCATGTTGGAAAAATGCAAACTTGGAGCCCTAAAAACAAGATGGCTACATCTACGAAAGTTATTTTAGCGCTTGCCTTATATTCGGACAAGGCAATTGCTGAAATAAATTTCGTAGATGTAGCCATCTTATTCCGCCTCCGATTTTGCTTTTTTCCAACTTGGTAACTGAAACTGTAACTTAGGTGTGACGTCATTTTCAGCTCCGACTTCTGACTTCCGAGGTAACTCGAACGAAGCATATTTCTCCAAGCCTGGCCTGCATAGCGGGGCTTCAGGGGTGTAGCTTGGATTGGTTATGTAGGAAATCTCACTGTATCTGATCGTGCTGTTACTCAGAAATGCAATTTCGCACTTCTTTTTCTCATATGTCCTGTAGCATCAGAAAAATGCCTTATGAACATTGTAGACAACAGGAAAAACATGATCTTCATCGGAGCGGATCTTTAACCTTTTTTGTCTTTGCAGGTGGAGATAGAAAAACTTAAGCGGACCATACAGTCTACGTGAAGCCCGCATACCGATCACCTGCGAGCCCCGAGGTCAGGTGTTGGCCTGTCAACCAACCAGAGAATCAGCAGGCGGTGTTTGGAGAGAAATTAACGGATGGAGAAAGGGTGGGGAGTAAGATGAACCACCTCGTGCACAATTCTTTTCAGTGGTTTTCAAAAGTAAACTCTCCTGATATCTGTAAACATACATTTTGCACATACGATTTTTTTTTTTCAAGCTAGATGTAATTTAGTCACAGATGTATATGTTTCTTTTTTTCACTTAGTTTATCTTGCCAACACAAAAAAAAAAAACAAAAACTGAGGCCTTACTTTGAACTATTGTGCTGGACTTGTAACTCTTCTGCAGCTTTTCCCCTGTGCTCCAATCTTCCTCGATCCCCCTTGGCGCTGGAAGTGGGGAGTACGCACTCAGTACTACTGAATTTGTATGACGCAGGGGGCCCTCCTTTTCCCAACCTGGTATTCTTTCACATATTTTTTTTTTTGAAATATAGATAATTATTTTACTGCTGGAAAAATGCTTAATTTCATTTAACAACCTTTGATCTTCCAAGCTAATTATTTTAATTCTGTCCATGCCCCAGTCATCTCCGTGGCTGCAGCGCTTTTGTTTTTCTTTGTCTTTTGTACGGTTTTTCTTGCATTCAGGGTAACACTACTGTGCCTACTATTAGGTGTTTGTAATGGGAGATAAATTACACCATGGTGGTGTCTGGAAATGTTGCAGCATGATATTGTACATCTATATTTTTTAAGTCTACTGACATGCCTGGTCAAATACTAAATAGAGAGCCTCTTCTCGGCTGGTATATTCTATTTTTGTCAAACTGTTTCTCTCGCTTGAAATGTCCTCAGAGATTTAGACAGTTTCACTCTTCAGGTATTGCTGAAGGAGCAAAAACAAAAACACTTAAAGAGAGGAAAAATAGGGATTATATCATTCCTTTCACAAGGTTGCCTACCAACACGTTTATAAAGAAAGCTGTAAAAAATTTATGGTTTCTTTTTTTGTTTAAATATGGCAACAACAACAAAAAAAATCATAGCTATCTCGGGCCCATTCTACTTCTTCTCTCCTTGTTCCAAACTCTTTATGATTGAAAATGTATCATATGATCCATACATAAGCTTTCATGCTCTGTAACGTGACATGCATTAGCACGCACAACATTCATCTTTTACGGCGCCATCTTCTCGTCTCTCTTCTCTTCTTCATCTCCTCCTACATTCCAAGTACACTAGGTAAGCTAACTGGAAGCACAAAGTACAAAGCAGAGACGACAATGAAACAGATTTCCATTTTCTGTTTTTTAAATGTTTGAGGAACAAATACTTAACACGCGTATTTGTGGAGTTTTTATGCGCTCATATAATCCTTTAAATTCTCTTCACTTGGGGAGCTTTTGAGTGTAAAACAATGTGTAGATTGCCATGAAATTTTGTACAGTTGTCCACAACCTCATTGACTTTATTTTTCACGTGAGCCACTGACAAGACAATGATTTTACTCGCCCAGTGAATGAACTGCCAGACCGGCTTCAACATGCGATAGTGTTCGTAAAGTGTTCACTTTGGTATCGCTGCTCCAGAGTGAGCAGCACTTTCATTCAGCACAAACATTTTCTCAAGTCAGTGTGAGGTTGCTCTTTTAGATACCAGATCAGATACCTCCATCAGCATTAGCATTCCTGTCAGTCAGAGCTGCACTTAATGGTAAACGGAGAAACATTAGCACACTTGCACAGAAGGCTTTAAGCGTCGATGACCAAAATAAGCAGAGATACAAGCTGAGACAATATTCTTGAGCCTGATATTTATCAATCATCATTAAAATTACATGCTGATATTTTGCAAATGTTGATCTTTCTGTGTAAACAAACAGCATTAACAGAATTTCTTTTTTTTTTTTGCCTTTAATTCCTACCAAGATACACGCAGTATGAGATATTTTATTCCCGAAACATACATCCAAGTGTGCCCTGCAGATTCAAACGGCAGTCGAGCTGTGACAAAACATATCTTGTGAGCATGTTTTCATTGAGCTCAAGGCAAAAAAGTTAAGCTGTAAAGAGCCGCTAGCGTGGCAGAGTATTAAGTCGTCTTTTAATCCACCACGCCAAGCGATAGATGGGCTCTCATCCAAGAGTCAAGCTAATTCCATGTATGATGCGCATCCCCGTAAGCAGGCTTGAAACTGCGGCCACAAGCGCTAAGTGTAAAGCGTGTGTTTCTTGTTGTCTCAGTCTGACACACTTTTGAGAAACTGGAACTAATAAAACGGCAAATGTAACTTCGATTCGGATTAGTGTGGATCGCTTCAGCCCAGAGTTTTGGTCATGATATCTACAGCAGTTTTCAGAATCAATTTTTGAAAGATTTATGACTGTTAACAACTACTGCGTTCCATCTAAAAATACTCATTACTGTTATCAATTTTTATTTGTACTACGACATATCTCACTGAGTCTTAAAAAAAGGTGTTTATTTGCTTTTTAATCAACCTCAGGCTTGTTTCATGTGTTTCATATCGGTGTATCGGTAATTAATGAACTGTACTTACATCAATTCTGAACCCAGGCGGCTTTGACCAAGCTGGCGTTATATACCTGACCTTAACTGCTCAAAGCACTAATGCAATACTTTAAAAACCCTTGCATTAACTTCCTTTAAGCACAGCAGCTCCTAAAGGGCGTGGTTGGGATATGAAATAATCGCAATCTGGGAGAGGGCTGAGACAATTCGGGTGACAATTCTGTAATATTTGTACCATTGCTTTACTTGTACATGCCAGAGTTTGACACCAAGAGAAAAGAAATTGTGCCCATTTATAACATTTTCAAATGATTTTTGTTTACAAATGCTGTATCCTTGCATGAACTGAGAATCTTCTCAGAAATGAATAAATATCTTTAATTATCAGAGACTTGTTCTGTTCTTTACCAGATTTATTATCTACTGACTCATTTTCCAAAACGGTCCAGATGTGCACTCATCAGAATCATGTAATGGTACATAAAGTTCAAATTCAACTTACTTTTATGGCGCTTTTCAGACAAAGAATGCAGTTTAAAGTACCTCACAGAGGCTAAAAACAACTAACAATAAAACCTGACCCTCCCACCCACACCCACACATACACACACACACAAGTGCACACAGTGTGAGAATTTAAGATATATTGTTAAAGAGACATGGCCTGACACCGAGACATTACGTGAGGAAAGAGCGACCTCTGGGAAACACTGGAGATAAAAATAAAAATGGTAAAAAGAAAGAGTAAAACCTGGTGGACTAAAACAAGAAATTAATATTAAATGAACAGATAAGTAAGAGCTTTTCACCGTATAAAAAGTGTTAAAAGACGTAAAAACCTATAACGAGAATTAAGAAAAAGACTAAGAACAAAGATAATTAATAAAATGACATAAAATAAACAATAAGAACTTCGATTAAAATGAACATTTGCAATAATAGAAATCAGAACTATTGCATATCTGCAAGAGGTGATTAAACACTCAAAACATTTCAGTTTGAAAACCGAGCTTTTTTGTCAGTCGTACCGACCAGTGCAACCGAAATGAAAAGTTACTTAGTAATGCTTTACATGAATTATCATGACTTCATGCGTGAATCAGTAATTCACATTTATGGTGTGTCTAATGCCTGATATCATGATTACACATTACAATTATAAATGCATTCACTAAACTCTGAGTCATTGTGAGTTATTAATGTTGTCCCAGACAAAAGGACAATACTAGGAACTATTCAATCCGCTGAATTTCGATTGTCATGGTTACATCAGCATTACTTTATCGTGACTTAATGTTTGTGGCTCCTGAAATAAAGCAGGGTCCTGATCCGTCTCTAACAGGTAATAAAATCCAAGTATCTTAGGTGTGATTGTGAAACACATTAATTTAGTGACAAAGTTGAAGTGAATTGCAGTTTCGATATTTCCTGATTAAAAAAAAAAATGTTATATATCAATCAATACAAACTTTTTTAAACTTAATTTTTCAGCCCAGTTCAATCAAGATCTTGAATAAATAAATATCCTCTAGTTTTACTAATTTCTCAGGTATGACCCCCAAATACATGATTTTGGCGTCTCTTTAAATAGTATAGTGGAGGATTCTTCCCAGAGTCTATGTATCCATTCAAAACAAACTTAACACCATAAACCTCATTAAACACTCGTGACTCATAATGACTCTCACGCCCCAGTAAATGTATGAGTTGATGCGATGTGTCATCAAGAAGTCAGGCATGAGACGCCATTAACGCGTGTGAATTACTGATAGTTCATCAGGTAATTCATGCATTAATTGCATGTCAGATTTCTCTGGATGTTTTGATGATAGTTTTTACAGAAAATGATGTGATCTCTAAATTCCTTACAGTTGAACATTCAGAGAAACTGTTTTGAAACTGTTGGACCAATACCCAATCATCACACTCACCTGTTTCCATTATCAAACCTGTTCACCTGTGTGATCACTACCAGATGTCTTTATATTAAGTATTTGCTCATGACATGAATTCATCTATAGTCATACCCCTCTTTCTCTCACCCACAAAACAAAAATATTGTTCCTGCTATGTAACTCATCTTTGAATGTTTTCGTTCGTGCGTGGTTGAAAAAGTGCCGATAAAGCCCACGAACAACTTCACTGTCAGGTGAAGTTTGTGTCACTAAAAGCATCAACTTCAGTCTATTTTCATACAACGCCTCGAGCACAATGTGTCACGCTGCTTTGCTTTGTCACACAACGTGACACTTCAAGTAGCTCTGGATGAAAAAAATATTATTGTGGGGCATAAGCAATGTATCTTAAATGGCGTGGTAGATAGTCAATTTTTGAGGGGTGTATAAAGATGCTAAATACCAAAATTAGTTATGCTCATTGTCACTGTGTGAGTGTTTTATTGCCGCACTCATCCCATGATTTTCTGTCCATATTTCATAAAGAACAACCGCTGGACCAAGACCA